CGCTGGCAACAATTGTTCTGCGAAGAAATTGAGGCCATTCACTTCAGAGTGAAAAGAAAATATAGTTTCGTTTTTACATATCAAACGTTAAAAAAGGATCGTTTAAACAATACAGTAAGGTTACACGAACTGTGTACTGGTGGAAAAGGCCACACGGATTATACCAACAAGGTGCTCGTCCTTGACCAAGAACTGAGTCACTTAGTACCTTCAGGGTTCAGGGTTCAACGTATTTATGACTTTATCTGCAATTGGTATACTTTAATTAACTTATATCATGGTCAACAGCGTGGATGTTCTATTATCAGGAAGGACGTTAGTGCAATATATAGTGTGTGGACATGTATGTCTTAGTGCCTGTAAGTGAAGATGTAATATAAATTGTCAAAGCAAGAGAATAAGAAGCCTGGATTTTCTGCCAAAACAGAATCGACTTGGCGCAAAGGGCAAATAGCTTTGAAAATTATAGGAATGGACCACTGGAAATCAGTGATGACACCATGATCGCGAAAAGGGTAAGCACGTCCTGCCCTACCGGTAGCACCTGCCATTCATACAATTGGCATAAAATAGTATTTATTGCCTGATACAGAACAGCCTGTAATGAAACCAGACAAACAAGTGATCGATGAACCAGTGACACGAGAGTACCATTACAGATTTTGTTGAAACTAATAAAAACGGTATCTTACTTATGAATTGCATCTCCACAAGTGCAGAGATTTTGCTGCTTATAATTAAAGACAAACGTAAAGAAATATATTCGTTTTGCATCAGTCGGGCGCAGTTTTAAAGGAAGAAATAGAAGAACCCTATAGTAAATCGGAAATTCGAACCCATGATCAAAGGATCCAGACACGACAAAGTGACGCCAGTTTGCAAAGCGTGTCAACTGTTTCAACAACGATAGGCTTCGAGGTCATTACGTTTGTGACGTCGGGGCGTCAAAATTGATATTTGAATTGCGTTAAAAATAATGAATGACACTGTATCATGTAGATAACAAAATATGAATATGGGCCTTATCTTTTTTGGACATGGCCATTGAACACGTTTTACGTTTCGCACTCACAATTTGGAGAGACAACTCACTACAGGAATGATGAGCTCTCGCATTGGTCGACAATGGTAATGGATTTTGAAGTACCCCATCAATGCTACACTCACAGCCTTACAACAGCGCGATGACACTTAAGTGGCAGTGGTGAAACGAGATCTTGTCTTTACTACTTCCATACAGTTTGTCTTTCAAACAACCCAAACACCAAACCATTATTGACAAAGAACTCACAAGATATCTGAAGAAATATAAACACGCAGCATTCCATCATAATACATATCATGTCATATTAACACTTAAATCGCCTTAGAGTTTCCACAACGAATATAGACTTCAATGTATCGCTCCAGTAGAGTGTTACAGAATCAATCACAAGTAAGCAAAAGGAAGCAATCACATTGTTTATGTCTCTGAAGCATGGGTGGTAGCAACGTGATTTACCCCCGGGGCCTGTGTGCCTTGCAGAGTACGGTTTGGAGCAGAAACGAACGTGTCTATATTGAAGAGTATCTTTTTGTCTAAAGTCAAACATATCTGATGAATATTAGTATCATGTTTATCGGTAACTAAGGGCATATTCACAAAGTAGAGAATGGGATTTTTTAAAAGATTCAAACATCCGCTTCATCACCTGGCATAGTCTTACTGTTACCTGAAGCCACGTCAGAAGTACTCAGGATTGCATAATGGTAAAGCAGTTTTCAGGTCGGTCGTTGGGTATTACTCAGATAGCCACATGGTTTGTCGTTTACTCCACTGGAACAAACGCTGGAGGAACATGTGCTGATTTGAGTAACATTCCACAGCTTGAGGCGTCAAAACGTCTTTTTGGATTTACCTTTCAGACAATCCAAAGCTCATCCCCGCTTGGTTGTGCCAGGGAGTGTCTTTTGAGAAACAGGTGCCTCTCTTTCAACTTTTACCTCCCGACATCAGACTGCGACCTGAATGACATGAACAGCACCAGCGCATCTTCTTACGAAGGTGGGAAGCTTGCCATGGGGAGTTATTACAGGTATTTATGCGTCCAACTTTAGCAAACGTGTTCTTGAATATTGAGCAAAGCACGGAGTCCCACAGATGACATCGACCCGTGAAGAACCTGGGTAGAATAGATCTTCAGCGACCCAGGCTTGCCGTAAAAGGTGACTAAGCTTGTCGTAAGAGGCGACTAACGGGATCGGGTTGTGAGGCTCGCAGACTTGGTTGATGTTTGTCATCGTGTCCTAATTTCGTGGATAGATGCTCATGATGTCAATCACTGGATTGTCAGGTCCAGACTTGATTATTTACAGACCGCCGTCATATAGCTGGAATATTGTTGAGTGCGGCGTTAAACAACAAACCAACCAACCAATTGTAGGGGTGGCAAGGTTGTAGAGATAGTTTAAAAATGCTGAACGAATATATTTCTCTAACAAACTTTATGAATAAACATATTACTATTTATCTTACATGTGTAAGTCTTAATAGTTAGGTAGCAATTACCCTCAGTAAATAAAAAAAATTTAAATCAAAATAAATTCCTCTCCACCCTGTTCGGCTAACATACGGCTAACGATCGCATTTGTGACCAACTCGTGTTATTCCGGGACAAGCCGAATAGCAGGTTACGGAAAGGGGCGAGTGGTGACGAATGCTAACGATCGGTCGGTCTCCCGATCATGTCCCAGACGTGCTCTATGGGGGAAAGGTCAAGACCTATGGCTGGCCATTGCATTCCGATTGTTTTGCTGCTGGAGCTAGTCATACATGCACGAGAGTTATCATCTTGAAAGACAAACCGTGGACCAGCATAGCGCGTTAACGGTCCAATTATTAGCACCAATATGTTGTATCGGTAATACTGTCCAGAGACCCGTCCATGGACAATATGCAGTGGCGTTCTGGCAGGCATAGTGATTCCGCTCCATATCATTAGAGACCCACCCCCAAGTCTGTCATGTTGCCTAACGTTAAAGTCCACATGACGTTGTTTAGGACGCCTCCAGAACCGTTAAGATTTTCTAATCCGGTGTCCTTGCGCAAGTCAACAGCGATTTGATTGGCTGTTCTGGTCCCATTTCAAGCCTGGTTTCTATGGTGGCCGAGAGGGGATATCGCTTTCTCGCCCTCAGTTACGGCCGCCAGAAAGCGATAAAGTCATAAGACGACACGAGAAAGCGATATCACGAGACGAGAAAGCGATAACACGATACGAGAAAGTGATAGCACGACACGAGAAAGCGAAAGATCGATAAAGCGAGAAAGCCATAGAAGGAGGAGAAAGCGAGAAAGTGATATAACAATATATATGAAGCAAGCGAGAAAGCGATAAAGCGAGAAAGACATAGAACGAGAAAGCGAAAGAGTGACAAAGCGACATTTCCCAAAATTCCGTAAATATATAAGTTTTTTGCTGATATTCAGTGATCCCCTCCCATGATTATCACCGCTATGTTGCCTTTTATACGAAGAATCTTTCAACAATTTGTAGTGGAGATTAATTGCCCCTTTTATGGGAGTTATTAGTTTTATCACACACACACACACGCACACACACACACACACACACACACACACACACACACACACACACACACACACGCACGCACGCACGCACGCACGCACGCACGCACGCACGCACGCACACACACACACACACACACGCGCGCTCGCGCGCGCCATCATCATCATGACAGCTTGACAGAGGGAGACAGACTGACAACACAATCCACCCACATACAGAATTTGACCAAACTATACTTAAAATATACATGAAATATTAGAATGACAGTTGATGTAACATATGTTATAGATAATCATAGTAATATTTCATATTGCTATCAACGTTAACTATGTGGCCACACTAACTAGGATGTCTCTCCATATGTGTAGTGCACCCGCGTACACATATCAACACCATTGTCACAGCGATGGGAGCGGGGATGTAACCTCGTGGGTTAAGCGTTCGCTCGTCACGCCGAAGACCCAGGTTCAATTCCCACATGGGTAGAATGTGAGAAGCCCATTTCTGGTGCCCCCGCCGTGATATTTCTGAATATTGCTAAAAGCGGCGTAAAACAATACTCAATCATTCAACGCGGTGTTTACAAGTTACTAAATGAAAGTACATATACTTGTACATTTGCACAAGACAAGAGACACAAGAGACACAATTCAAGTTAATCATAAATCAAATGTCAAGAAGAATATTTACGGACAAAAGTATTATGGCATTCATAATGTAGCATCATATGCTACTCGAAACAATTAAAGAACAAAGTTATAAGATTGTGCTTTGTGATATAATCAGCTATGGCTGATAAACATATAATGGGTGTTCTTTAACTTCTTTTGAAAAATATATATATGAATTTTAACTTGATTTATAAAGAACGGTCCCTTACCCACGTGCACAGAGGAATTGAATGCTCCACGTGCAAGTTTTCGGGCGTGTCAGGGCGTTAGGTTTTAGTTCCGAAATTTCAGGCAGTCATTTTTCAGATTTAATCTTCTGACGACGATCACGACATTAATATGTCCCTTACTTTTTTGGAGAGCATATATTATAGAGTTCTCTGACATCCTCCAAATAGAGTATATACATTAAATAACGTTGTCCCTTATCTTGAACATTTAAGGAAACTTCGTGTTTGATCATCCAAAATTGTTTTTGTGACGTCACCATATCTATTGTTAATATCTATAACCGAGACATAACCTAACCTACCAGTATTTGTCGCTCAGTTTGATTGGACGGCTATTTTTAGCGTCGTGTCATTTGAATCTGGTTGAAAACGAGGCTATGGTAGCGAGGGGTTCCTGTGTAGTTATCATAATAGAATGGAGACTTTGGGTTATGAATCCATCAATATCTCGGTAGCTGAACAGATTCCATATCACGGACAACTAAACGTACATTAACATACAAAAATATATAAAATCGATTTCTTTTCAGTGACATCAACCAGTGGCCTAAACGACTGACGGGGCGATGTGAAGGTCATACTTGCGACAACAACTCCAGATGTGAAGTCAACGTTGACATGACCATCCAATGTGTCAACACACTGGAAAGGGGATATCTGGATAAAGATTAATCAAACTTTTGAATCAGAGTATGCAATGCCATCCAGGGTGTTTGGACCTCCTGCCTATGTCATGTGAAGGACATTTCCAAATTAGACACTTTTGACAAAAATGAAGTTCGGCTCAATTCCCTATTTGAATAGTATTACATATCCCATGTTATTTTCCTGTACACAGTTGACTTGCTTTTGCATGTGTTTGTGACGGGTGCCACCGATCGGACTGGATACCTCACCTCTTCGCGAATACCTAGTATCATCACTTAAATGATAAAGACCCCCTCGGTGGTCTAAGTGGTAGAGCGTCCGCCCGGAGAGCGGAAGGTCCGGGGTTCGATCCCCGGCCGCGTCACCTCAAAATACGTTAAAAGATGGTACTTGTTGTGACCCTGCCTGGCGCTCGGCAAAAAGGGGCTTTAAGGGGCTTTAAGGGGCTAAAGAGGCTCGGAGTCCGCATGCACGTCGCTATATAAGTGCAATCATCTTGGACGCGACGTTAAAACCCATTTCAGATCACCTCACCATATGAAAATGATTCATAAACGCGTGCTTATGACGCGTGTTTATGCTTCTGAGTCGGATATGTATAATGGACTTTTCCTTCAGCAGATACTTCTTATGGCCATGGACACGGTCGCCGGTATTTATTACAAAAGCTGAGTCATGAATTGTTCTGACAATTAAAGCACTTTCTACTTTGTGAATGTGTCAGTCATCTGGAATCATGTCATGACAGACCTGTATATGTATCTTTGTATGTGTATGTGATATCGGCATTATGATACTATTCAACAAGGAGCGGTGGACTAGCCAAGTGGTCAAAGCGGCCACCCGTGACATCGAAAACCATAATGCTGATAAACATTGTGCGTTTTCTGATATTCAGATTTTATATTTTAATTTGAAGTTTACACGATGTACGGCTTTTCCACTGGAAGACACGCCGGTTACATGACCGCGAAACTGACGTTGATAAGTGTATGTACGACACAATTTGACGTTCATACGTTTTTCACGGGACTCTCTTCTTGAAACACTCACGGAATACTTCCACATTCCTGGGGAAACCCCTCGGAATTTCCTTGCACGAAAACATACCTAAGTGTTGTTTCTGATCATGTAGACCCTTTAATCTTGAACTCAGCGTTTTATCATAAATTGAGAAACGGCAGAGAGTTTGACTGCATGATCGTTCACGAATATCCTCGCTACGACCCACCCTAGTGAACACGTAGAAATGCAGGTCCACTGTGATACCGTAGTATCAACCCGATCCGTGCCTTGACTACAGTGACAGTCTACAGCAAATTATGACTTAACCTTGGTATCTGTTTGACACATTCTTATAATCACCCTTCAATGATCGGCCAACTGATCAGTGATTACTTAAACATGTAGCCGCCACAGGTTCATTAACAACTTCGGAAATTTCTCCCGTCACGTTTATCGTGTCGGGCATTTTGACGTCTTGTACTTGATGCAAATGTATTACGATGCGCTGTCATTGTGACTGACTTACTGAGGTTGTTCTTAACAGACCTTTCTCACCCAATGATGATATTATTTGAACGCATATCTTGGAAACAAACTACAACAGATGTTCCTGTAAGGCAAGTTGAGCAAACATACGCTCATGCCACCTCTTTTTATTGGGAACTTTTTTATTCCGCGATACAGCTGGTTGTTGTATGGCTGTCAGTGTAAACATGAAGTAACACGCACAGATCTAGCGCCACATCCAATATAAATGTTACCCCTTGTAGCGTAAATTCTCGCTACTTTACACATAGGGACGGTTCACCTCCCCTTGTATTTGCGACTAAAAAAGTTGGTTCGTGTTTGCAAAGTCTCACAAAATGTAAACAAAAGTATTAAAAAATATAAAAAAGAATTCAATGGCCTTAAACATAATTTTAAACCGACGGCGTGAGGCAGAGATTTCAAATATAAACTTTTGATCTAATCAAATCAGAATAGCCTGCACTATTTCCATACTATGTTCGCACATCCGGCAGAGAAAGCAAAAGGGAGCAATCCGCGCTGCTCTGAGTACAGCAGGACCTCGGCCGACACTGTCAGGAAGCCATATTGGAACTAATGTTCGAGCGCGTGAGTATGTCACGAGTATTACAATCGTCAAAGGAGATATTATGGCGGGTATGAACTGATAACGTCCACTCATAGCACCGATTCTGACGGTGAACGCCTATCGAAAAAGTAGTTCTATGTGGCAAACCTGATTGACAACGTAACGACCGTCGTTACAATATGATAACTACAATATGTTTCAACCCAGTATCATGTATTATCAATCTCAGCCCCACGATACAATGTACAACAATTTGGGAGTACAACGGGGGAGTTTTCCGGACGTATAGCTAAATCAATCTCTTCAATTGTTATCATCTTAATGTTACCGAGTTAATTGTAATGGTATTAAATATTACTCGGAGTATAAGCTTACGAAAATCTCTGTTGCAGAAAATATGTAATACGACCCATTAATCAAATTCGTGTTCGTGATTTGAATAATTTGTCTGATGTACAGACATTTAGCGACCAATTTCCTTCAAAAGTGTTGAAAAAAATATGATATACAAAATGAGAAGGATCATTGTGATGGACCATGAACGTCACCTTAGGGAAGTAGTTGAATAAAACGTTATCAATTTTTTTTATCACCTAATGACATTTTCAGGAAGGCCAGTGAGTCACATATAATGCTAGACTCATTTAGGCCTGGGTCCCGTTCCACAAAGCGATCTTAGCGCTAAGTCGATCGTAACTCCCATTCTTTAACACTGACTTACGACAGTCGTAGCGCTAAGATCGCTTTGTGGAACGCGTCCCTGGTTTATCCCATTAAACTCCAGCACTAGGCAGGGTAATAACTAGTCTGTCATACATACCCTGAAATAAATATAATTATACAATACAACCCATATAAGTCAATACTATTTGGAAAGTCGCTTGGATCATATTTGTTATATTTTATAACTATAATTTAACAACTGAAAAACGTGTTTATTTCAGAAACTACATGATAGTCTAGGTAACAACCAGTACCTTTATGTAAAGTATTTTTTGTGTGACGTGTGCACACATGAATTCAAGATACGGAAGCACCAAGACTTCACATATTTCCTACAAACACAGTCGTGTGATCCACTCCAAATGGTTACGGATGTCCGACATTATAGCTCTTTTCTTCGCGTGTATCGACCGCATGAAAACAACAACAATTAAGATATATATTACGCCTGAAGAGCCGTTGAACGGCGAAAGATCTTGTGTGGATAAAGGAGTTTTGACAAGCACGAATATCTTGACTCTGTTTAATCAAATCTATATTTAATACTTATACACCTGACGAAATTACTTGTTTATATATATATATTCTTTATTCCTCCATAGGAGAGTTACAAACATATAAATACAATATTTACAAGTGTACGAAAACAGGCATTCTTATGTTAAGTCTATCCCTGCTCACATGTCAGAACATATAATGTTTCTTCACAAGGTCTATATATTTCTTCAATTGGAAGAGACCTTTGATTGCAGCTTTTGCAAAGTTCTCTACCGTCTCTGGATTTGCTGGGATCGGGGGCGTACATGCTAGGAGACAGCAAGCTAACTTGGCAATATTTACAAATAACCAGGGGTTGCTAGGATTTAGCCATATATGTTACATCAGTCTATATAGATAATTAATATCTCTTCACGTGCAGTTCACAATGGGGATGATGAAAGAGATGCAATGCTAAATCAGATCAATACATATTGATGTCCCCCGAGGGTCTTATGGATAGACGCTACAGTGACGGCGATAGGTACAGAGAACCAGTCTTCTGATGATCTCGTCAGCACTAGCTTGCAGTAGTCAGTCGATGTAGTCACAAGATGACAAAAAGGCAGTTTGGTGCATGGCGCTGCACTGCCCACTTGGCCATGTGGCTCATAGTCTGTTCCGTTGGTACAAACGCTGGAGGAACATGTGCTGATTTGAGTAACATTCCACAGCTTGAGGCGTCAAAGCGTCTTATTGGATCCACTTTTCAGACAATCCAAAGCTCATCCCCGCTTGGCTGTGCCAAGGAGTGTCTTTTGAGAAAAAGGTGCGGCTCTTTCAACTTTTACCTCCCCACGTCAGACTGTGACCTGAATGGTAACACAACAGCATCACCTTCGTATGAGCAGAGAAGCGGGTATTATTACAGGTACGTATGCTTCCATCTATAATAGGGGCGATGGGTAGGTCTTGTGGTTAAAGCTTTCGCTCGTCGCTCCGAAAGCCCGCGTTCGATTCCCCACTGGACTCCAATGTGTAAAGTTCTTTTCTGGTGTCCCAAGCAGAGATATAGTAGCCAACTACCTCCAATTATAATGCATCTCGGGTGTTTTCTTGTATTTCATGGTTTTAGGGATTGGTGGTCGAGATGAAACTTTTTATTAATACACTTTTAGAACATCGTGTTTGTTTTACATATCGGTGTGTCCGTTTCCTAAGTCGGCAGATCTTCTCATGCTCATATTCAGTACATGTGGTTGTCTCCCTTCAGGGGCACGTGACGAGTTTCCAAATTGGGGGATCGCCCCTTTGTTTTTTTAATTTTCTATTGTTTATGTGCATTAACGAATAACGGGCCTTTATTGTATATAAAACATCTTCTTAAAAGTGTAAAATTAGCACCTTATCATGATGGTCTTATCACTTACCTTAAATGCTAATCCGTGGTATGGGATTCAAAAAACAACACTTGCCAGACTTGGCAAGCCACCTGTGTGTGTGTGTGTGGGGGGGACTACCCGAACGGAGCTCACCCACTACGACGTCCGCGCTTTGTCGCCTCACATGTATTTAAGCTTAATGTTATAATACTCGACCGCAAAAGAAACGTCACAATGGATAGATATATGAGAAACCTTATTCGTCCAAACACTGTAAACATACTTTGAGACATATTAAAACGATGAAACTTGGCAAAACTGATCATCAAGGTTGAAATTAAAGTGTCAAATGTTCTTAAAGTGAAACACAACACTCGTCTCTGAGAAAATGGCATCACAAGTCAGTATCTCGTGTGTCCGCCATGTGCATTGATGACTGCCGTGCAAAGTCGATACATGGAATGGATGAGGCGGTTGATGAAGGCCATAGACACTTGAGCCCACACTCTGAGGAACGCCTGACACAGTTTAACTGCAGTTGTCGGCCTTGGTCGGGCGTCATTCAGCCGTCTTTGAATCTCAGGTGCTCAATGGGATTCAAATCGGGACTGAGGGCAGGCCACTGTATGGTTCTGATGCCATTCAGCTGGAGGAAGTCTCTTGTCGCTCTCGCAGTGTGGGCACGGGCGTTATCATTCTGAAACTCGTTGTTGCGGCGACGTGCCAAATGAGGTATGGCGTGTAGTCTCAAGACTTGATCTATGTACCGAACTGCTGTAACACCATTGCCTCTCCCTGGACCGATGTTCTGAAAGACCACAGGGCCGACACTCTGTGCAAGACCAATTCCACCCCACACCATGATGCTCGGACCACCCCACGAGTCTTTCTCAACAACACAAGCATCCGAATAACGTTCCCCATGGCGTCGCAAGACTCTCTCTGCCATCTGCTGTTGAGATACAGTAACGGATCTCGTCTGAGAAGAGGACTCTTCTCCGCTGCTGGTGGCACCAATGCCGGTGCTGTGTTGCCCACGAAGACGGTCCCGGCGATGACGTAGTGTCAGAATGGGTCCTCGGTGTGGCCTGTGAGAGTGGAGGTGTCTGCTCGTCAATCGTCGACGCTCGGTGTCAGCACTAATGTGTCGCTGGTGTGTCCCCATGGTCTGTCGAGCAATTTCAGCAGCAGTACCAAAGCGATCTTGAAGATGTTGTCGCGCAATCTGACGATCCTGACGTAGGGTGGTGATCCTTGGTCTTCCACTACGTGATCGGTCATCTGTAGTTTTGGTGGTCTGGTACCGTTGCTGGAGCCTGTATATGGTCCTTACGTGGACTTGAAATGCATTGGCTTCTTGCCGCGCGGTTTGTCCAGCTTGCAATCGTCCAAGGGCTTGGTGTCGCTGATTTCTTGTCAATCTTGGCATGTGGTAGCAGTTCAATAACGAATGAATGTTATCCGATCTGGGTGGATTTTTATTGGGCAAGAAATGGGGGAACGCATGGGAATTTCAATTTGCACGGAACTCACGTGCATCGGGTTACCATGGCCGTTGCGTTTGGGCGATCGGTTTTATTGTCATCTGCTTTATTTTTTTATCATCAAATTTAATTTTTCCTGACAAGGTAATGTTAAATTTTAGAAACTTTGACAAAAATTACCAAGGTATTTAAATGACAACTTTTCATGCAATGTTACTTGGAGTGACGTTTCTTTTGCGGTTCAGTATATATCCTCTGAGAGATGTTTAAACACCTGATACGCTGCCCCGCTGTGCACACAGAACCTGGTGACATAAAGGGTGGTTTTGATCCGATGTTAATTACGACTCGGCTCCTCTGCAAGTAAGGCATTGTTCTAGCGTCATCTATATGACTGCTGTCTGTAAATAATCGAGTCTGGACAAGACAATCCAGTGATTGACATCATGAGCATCGATGCACGCAATTGGGATACGATGACATGCATCGACCAAATCACCGAGTCTGACCACCCGGATCCCGTCAGTCGCCTCCCAGGACAAGCTTAGTCACTTTTTATGGCAAGAATGAGTTGCTGAAGACCTATTCTACACCGGATCTTCACGGGTCAAATATATTAAGTGTAACTTAGCGCGTCGGTATCTTGATTTAAACTTGGTGCTTCCTTGGCTTGAGGGCAACTTGGTGCGTCGGTATCTTGATTTAAACTTGGTGCCGTCTTGCCTTGAGTGTAACTTGGTGCGTCGGTATCTTGATTTAAACTTGGTGCTTCCTTGGCTTGAGTGCAACTTGGTGCGTCGGTATCTTGATTTAAACTTGGTGCCGTCCTTGGCTTGAGTGTAACTTGGTGCTTCCTTGGCATGAGTGTAACTTGGTGCGTTGGTATCTTGATTTAAACTTGGTGCCGTCCTTGGCTTGAGTGTAACTTGGTGCTTCCTTGGCTTGAGTGTAACTTGGTGCGTCGCTATCTTGATTTAAACTTGGTGCTTCCTTGGCTTGCGTGTAACTTGGTGCGTCGGTATCTTGATTTCACATCGGAGCTTTCGTATCTCGAGTGTTTGGTGTGCGGCATATTGAGTGTACACTTGGCGCATCAGTTTGCTGATTTCAGGTTGGTGCTTCCGTATCTTCTGAGAAAATTGTTTCATCGACAATTGTATTTGAACTTCTTTTAAACTTGATTGTGTGTAACTTGGTGCTTCCGTGACTCAAGTGTCACCTGGTGCGTCGGTATCTTCATTTCAACTTGGTGCTTCCGTATCTTGTGAGAAATTTGGTTCATCGACAATTGTATTTGAACTTCTTTTTAACTTGAATACAGCTTATGTGTGTAACTTGGTGCTTCCGTGACTTAAGTGTCACCTGGTGCGTCGGTATCCTCATTTCAACTTGGTGCTTCCGTATCTTTGAACGACGCTAGTAGTTCCGTATCTGCAGCCTCTCTTTGGACGGTTGACCGATTGCAACTATCAACGTTACTATAACAGGTCTTCCTTATCTATCGGAGTAGAATGAAGAAAATCAGAACTAACTACCGATGCATTTGTTATAAAGTCGCATTATTTAATTATAAAGTCGTAAAAATGTGAACACAATGAATTTCTTTAGGATATAAAGCCATCCGCAGCGGAACACACGCACCACCACGAGCGTACCAGCGATACGATTGCAATGGCAACACGTCGCTCATAGCTGGGGAAAAACTATCTTAGCCGAGCGGCGACACCATTTCCGAAATTGCAACCAGATAACAATGGTGGACAACAATAGTTTCAGAGCACGTTACGTTTGTGTTTTGCAAGGTTCTATTTTCTATTTGTAATTATTTTCATTTTAATGTGAATCACTTTCAGACAAGCAACTCCAGGTATCGATATGTCGTATTTATATTGCCGAATTTAAACACTTAATGGTGAGCTAGGTTTTCTGTTTTCAGTAAAGACAAGCATGTAAAATGTAGCTTGGCAAAGGATTTGCCTCCAAGTGATCCCCTTAACTGTTTTTATTTAATACATAATGGAATAAAAGAAATGTCTTTTCGAGGGGCCCATGGAAAATTTAGAAATTAAATGCAACTTGCAATCACAGATCTACACATTGTACGGTAATATAGCAATGAACGTTTGTGACATTTATCAAAGTTAACATTTCTGTGAAGACAAATATATAATACAATCGTCAGTCAAAGTTCCGTAGATATGTTCGTTATTCCATATTTAGGACACATTAGAAGACGTACGCGCGTCCATCACAACTGGCTTTGTTTGCAAGAAATACGGGTTCATTATATATCTCCTCCGTTGTCACTTCGAATAGCGAGATTACTCAAGCAATGTGAATGGCTCCTTCACTTGGTTGATGCATGTCATTGTATCCCCATTGCGTGAATCGAGGCTCATATCAGTCACTCATTTGTCTGGCCCAGACTCGATTATGTACACACCCGTTACATAGCCAGAACATTGCTGAGTGGCGCGTTAAACAACAAGAAAACACAATATGAATGTGAATGAGGCCAGTTTTGTGTTCATTTCACTCCGATAGAAAGGAAGGTCCGTATTATTCAGCAATATTTCATGTTCACCTAAATATGTATATTTTCAGTGAGATCTACCATTGGCCCACAACCCTGGCAGGTAAATGTCAAGGTCACAACTGCGATGACGAAACGAAATGTGAGGTCGGCGTTGACATGACAACCAGTTGCGTGACAGCGGATATAACCGGCTCTATGTGCCCCCAACCTGATCCGATCCCAAATGGACGCTTGATGGAATATTTTTCTTCTGGCGGATCTTGGAGTCCTGGAAGTGTTGGGTGGTGGTACACTTGCAATGTAGGCTTCTATCAACAAGGCATGTTGGAATGCCTTCCTGATGGATCATGGTCCTCTGTTACTTGTAAAAGCTATTACGGCTGAGGATTAGGCATTGTACGAAAGCAGGTTAAAGGTTATTGGCTCCAACAGTTACGTTGTAACGCCTTCCACCCTCTATTAAAAACTGCAAGGTCAGAGTTGCCTTTGTTTTCTATTATACGAGAGTTGATTGATAATCTCACAAATGGAATTGCGTAATAGTGAAATATTGTATGATGTATATCCTTAAAGAAAAGCCATTTTATGAAAGTGTTTCGCTGTGACAAGTCACTAAAATAAGCAGAGTCGGTGACCTTTGGAAAAAGGACAAACTTGAGGAATGTACATGGAGTGAAAAGGGGATTAAAGTACTGTCGGAAATGCTAGAAAACTGCAAAAACTTATGAAAATCACCAGTTTTCTTTTTCGCCTCGAAAACATCCATCAATAAGACCCATATCATGGGTTGCAGCGTGCAAAACAATGACACGATTACCATTACCTGATGGTACCATGGGTGCTTTTTGTCCATCTGCCAATAGCCACATGTAGTCAGTGGAATGAGTCACCAAGGTAAATTATATGGAAGCCCTGACTGTGATAGTTATGAATGGTTCGGAGATATGTGACCTCATAGACAGAATGGAATATTTTCCCCTGAAAAGTGCTCGGTCATCGCCATGCGCAGTGTATCGAAATCCCATCTCTTGGTGAGCAATAGTGCAGCCCGGGAAACATTAATTATCTCCCGCCCAACAAAGTTGGCGGGGGATACAGAAACGGGCTCCGTCCGTCCGTCCGTCCCGTTTCGTTTCCTGAGCAAAACTCAGAAACCGTTCAATATGTTTTCATGAAACTTTGCAGGTCTGTCAAGTACATGCTGAACTTGTGCCTTTTGCTATTTAGAAATTTTAGAAATTTGTATTTTTTACGTTTCCATGGCAACAAGATGGACTTAGGTTCTGTGAGGGTAGGGTTCGTTTCCGGAGAATAACTCATAAACCGTTCAATATTTTTTCATGAAACTTTGCAGGTTTGTCAGGTACATGCTGAACTGGTGCCTTTTGCTATTTAGAAATGTTAGAAATTTTTATTTTTTACGATTACATGGCAACAAGATGGACTTAGGTTCCAAACTCTTCTTTTTTTTACAATTTCCATGACAAGTTCCACCTCGGTTAAAAAAGGTTAGGGTTTGTTTAGATTTAATTATGTCATAAATCTGCAACAGGGGCGGGGGATATACACTATACGCCTAATCACCCTGTATCAAAGCTGTCTTATATCCTTTTACGCCCCAGTTTTGTATTTGAGACCACCCCAATTCCCTGTTTTGCTTTCTTATCATACCGTAGACTTGGTGGTATGAATTGAAAACACAAATCTAAATTAATAAATGGTTTCCCCCTATCTCTCTAAAGTGTAAAGAACTTGTATGCATTTCCAAGTACCTTGGTTATGGCTGTGCAAGTGTAATGTAACATGCATCATGGAAGCAATGTTAACAAAAACAAGGCAGCGTTATTTTGTCATTTTAGAAGATGCACATCTAGAATTTTCTCAAAATGATTTGTGTGTGTGGAGTAGATCTTTTATGATGACTACATTATTATCATTGTAACGGAGTCATGTGCGCATATTTCTATATAGTAGGTCCCTTTGCTCATCTCTCCATGCAGGGATTGTAAGGTAAAGTAGGTCCCTCTGCTTGTCTCCCCATGAAGGTATCACAGAGTATAGTAGGTTGCTATTCTTGTCTCTTCATGCAGGTATCGCAGAATAAAGTAGGTCCCTATGCTTGCCTCTCCATGCAGGGATTGTGGGGTAAAGTAGATCACTATGCTTGTCTCTCCATGCAGGGATTGTGGAGTAAAGTAGGTCCCTATGCTTGTCTTCCCATGGAGGGATCGCAGAGTAAAGTAGGTCCCTATGCTTGTCTTCCCATGGAGAGATCACGGAGTAAAGTAGGTCCCTATGCTTGTCTTCCCATGGAGGGATCGCGGAGTAGAGTAGGTCCCTATGCTTGTCTTCTCATGGAGGGATCGTGGAGTAGAGTAGGTCCCTATGCTTGTCTTCCCATGGAGGGATCGTGGAGTAAAGTAGGTCCCTATGCTTGTCTTCCCATGGAGGGATCGCGGAGTACATTAGGTCCCTATGCTTGTCTTCTCATGGAGGGATCGCGGAGTAGAGTAGGTCCCTATGCTTGTCTTCCCATGGAGGGATCGTGGAGTACATTAGGTCCCTATGCTTGTCTTCTCATGGAGGGATCGCGGAGTAGAGTAGGTCCCTATGCTTGTCTTCCCATGGAGGGATCGTGGAGTACATTAGGTCCCTATGCTTGTCTTCTCATGGAGGGATCGCGGAGTACATTAGGTCCCTATGCTTGTCTTCTCATGGAGGGATCGCGGAGTAGAGTAGGTCCCTATGCTTGTCTTCCCATTGAGGGATCGCGGAGTAAAGTAGGTCCCTATGCTTGTCTTCCCATGGAGGGATCGCGGAGTACATTAGGTCCCTATGCTTGTCTTCCCATGGAGGGATCGCGGAGTAGAGTAGGTCCCTATGCTTGTCTTACCATGGAGAGATTGCGGAGTAAAGTAGGTCCTTATGCTTGTCTCCCCAGGAAAAGTAGGTCCCTGAGCTTTGAGAGACTGCTAACAAAAGTAACTGATTTATAACCTTTGTATTTCACAATGTGGCTAAACATGTGTTTTCCAATTTGTGGGTATTTATAAGTACATGATTCCCAGTAAAGGAAGCAAATTCCTTAAAAATTTGGTTGAAAAAACATCACTACAAGAAATAAATTACAAATTACACATCATATTAATATTTTATTGACTTCATATTCACTTTCAAACTGCCTTTCATTGCTTCCCAATGTTTCATTTACAAAATATGTAACACAGTGACCTACAATCCCAATCTACAAAATTGTATTCACAGCAAATATAGGAATTTGATCAGCACATAGTGAACAGCTCGTCAATAGAAAATAATACACATATCTCTGTATGTACAATATAGATATCACAGATGAGCAAATATATACAGTATGTATAGAAATAACTACTCCACAAAACACACCTAAACAGCACCCTTCTAATGCTGAGGAAGAAGTCATAGCAAAATCATATCACAAATCCTAAAAACGTCAAATTCGGGGAATTCAGTCACCAGTTCTGTCATATTAGGTTTGATTCTTGCAGTTTGAAGTACATGAAGTAATTTAAAGCATTGTCCTTTGAAAATGACTTCACAAGAAGCAAACTGTTCATGATCAGGAAACCTGTGAACACTAGGGACTAAACAGTAGTCTACATATTGATGGAAATCCCTGTCAGTGTACACTGGTACATGTATCACACCTATTGTATTGTGGAAATGACTGGCAATAGTTTGTTAAAGGACATGCCCATAAGTTGTATTCTGTATTCACAGAGAAGCGTAACGTAATATCAGAATTCTGAACACAGCCCACAGCCTACAGCACAAACTCATATGCTTCTTTCCTATAATTCCTGATTTTCAACATTTGGTAATTTCAAATGTGAATATTAAATATCACTAGGATCTGGACACTACAAAACTTGCTATTTTGTTATTAGACATAATTTAAATCCCAGAGGTAGAAGAGTGATGGATATTGATGTGTGAACAGAGCATATTAAACATCTGTTGTATTTAAAACTAAAAAATAATAATACTGAAACATACTCAAGTACAGGACGGATTTTCTGATACCCCTTCTCCCAAACTTTGGCAATACTGAAATTAACAGCTATTTGTCATATTACAAAAAATAATGTTTGCAACACAGTAACATAGTATACAGCATAAAAACAATTAAAAAAGGTATCACACTGTCATGTCCATATAAAAACACTAATATGAACAATAACACAAACAGCAAAAACTGCATTGTTTGATAAATAACATCTCGAATGTGGACACTCATATTTGGATTGAAAAAGATAAATATGTTTTAAATTTGCTTCATTGATAAAAAGAACATCCTCTGCACTGAAATGTTAAATTTGGTTCCATTGACCAAGGAATGGCAATATTTCAGTATACATAATAATGGACATGATAAATACTGTTTTCAATGAAAAAACAAAAATACAACATTGCCATGGCAACAATAAAGTTGTTTCCACAGCAACCGCTAGTTGTCCAGCTGACACATCAAAGCAACACCACGTCCGATCCAGTGGGATTCGGGTTTGTCCGATGGGATCATCATAGCAATAACAAAGTTTGTGGAGTGACCAGTAGTGGACAATGTCCCTCTTCTCTCGCTGGTCTTGTACACTGGACACTTGTACACAGGCTTGTCTGGAATGTCGGACCTCTTGAGGGGCTTCAGCCAAAGCTGAAGTCATAAAATGGAATGTTTGATGAAATCATTTGAAGCAGTTTGGAAAGAAAGGATAAGGAACCTTTTTGGCTTTGAGTGAGTGAGTGAGTGAGTTTGGTTTAACGCCGCTTTTAACATTATTCCAGTTATATCACGGCATGTCAGCTTAATGTGGGAGGAAAGCCCGAAGTGATGCAGGTCTTAGACGTTTACCACTTCGGTGAAACCCACGAGCACGGGTATGGTGCTGACAAACCTAGAAACATAATCGGGGCGAACCGGGATTCGAACCCACAATCATAGGTTTCTGGCGTGTCCAGGGGACGCAACTCTGCACAGCGAATCGCGGCGCCTTAGACGACTCGGCCACCCGTGCCCCCTTTTTTGGCTTTGAAATACTGATATGAAATTTAGCCATTTAGAAGTCTGACCACTTGACTTTCTTTCATCTGATACACCTCCACTGAGGTAATTCTATTGTTATCCAAGTGAGCTAAATCTCATATTTTGGAATAATACAATATCCCAGGGAGTTTATATAAAATAAACAAGGGTGTTTACAGAACATCCCAGAGACTTGTTACCACTTTGCTCACTGCGACCTTCTGAACAGTGGGAAATATTTTGAAGTCATAAATTGTGATGAATTATTATTGCCACTGTGTGATAAAAAATATTGCTGTTTTTCTACATTAACAATACGGACAATAACATCTGAATGATTCAAACAGATACACATTGCCAGATACACAGAATGTTTATGAGATCCTGTGGAAGTGGTACTAACTAGAAGAATTTCAGAAAAGGTAAGGTTCAGGCAGACATTAGTGACTTTGAAAGCACTTAGTCCAGGATTATGCTTACCGGTGGCATGGTGTCAAACAACACCTTTGGTAATGACTCTGCAAGTTTCTTGCCCTTGCGATCCCATCGGGCGCCATCCACATACAGGCCATACACATACACACCTGGAAATGAGGAGTTTCAAATTCAGCTATTCATAAAAAAGAACTGACCTGTCAGACATTTAACCCTGGCAGAATGAATCAGAAAAAGTCAGTCCTTTTGGATCATCATCATCATCATCATCATCATCAATACTCACCATCCTCAGGGGGTTCATCATACTCCTTATCATCCAGAACTTCATAGTCAAAGCCAAGTAGATCGATGGGGATGGTGTACTTCCTGGCATAATTCTGCTGAGCGCCTGTCAAGAAGGCCTGGGTAAAGAAGAAGCCTGACACCCAGAAGCAAGTAGGTGGGCCAGTGTCGTACCAGTCTTGGAGGAACTTGAGACGAGTCAGGAAGTCGTTCACGTAGCTGCCGAGTGGCTTCAGGGATGGGTAGGACCTCTTCATCCACATCCCGGGAATCTTGCCCTTGAGGATGCTGAGCACCACCTCCTCCAGCTCCGACGACATGACCACCAGACCCTGAAAGGGAAGATAAGAAAATAATACACTGTGGTCTCTATGTGATGCCATTCTCAAGGTAACATCAATACTTTTTATACACCTTGTTTCTCCATCAGCTGAGAATACATACTGCTGCTATGTGGTGTAACATTAGAATAGACACAGCTGCTATGTGGTGTAACATTAGAATAGACACAGCTGCTATGTGGTGTAACATGGGAATACACACAGCTGCTATGTGGTGTAACATGTGAATACACACAGCTGCTATGTGGTGTAACATGGGAATACACAAAGCTGCTATGTGGTGTAACATGGGAATACACACAGCTATGTGGTGTAACATGGGAATACACACAGCTGCTATGTGGTGTAACATGGGAATACACACAGCTGCTATGTGGTGTAACATGGGAATACACACAGTTGCTATGTGGTGTAACATGTGAATACACACAGCTGCTATGTGGTGTAACATGGGAATACACACTGCTGCTATGTGGTGTAACATGGGAATAGACACAGCTTCTATGTGGTGTAACATGTGAATACACACAGCTGCTATGTGGTGTAACATGGGAATACACACAGCTGCTATGTGGTGTAACATGGGAATACACACAGCTGCTATGTGGTGTAACATGGGAATACACACAGCTGCTATGTGGTGTAACATGGGAATACACACAGCTGCTATGTGGTGTAACATGGGAATACACACTGCTGCTATGTGGTGTAACATGTGAATAGACACAGCTTCTATGTGGTGTAACATGGGAATACACACAGCTGCTATGTGGTGTAACATGGGAATACACACAGCTGCTATGTGGTGTAACATGGGAATACACACAGCTGCTATGTGGTGTAACATGGGAATACACACAGCTGCTATGTGGTGTAACATTAGAATAGACACAGCTGCTATGTGGTGTAACATGGGAATACACACAGCTGCTATGTGGTGTAACATGGGAATAGACACAGCTGCTATGTGGTGTAACATGGGAATACACACAGCTGCTATGTGGTGTAACATGGGAATACACAAAGCTGCTATGTGGTGTAACATGGGAATACACACAGCTGCTATGTGGTGTAACATGGGAATACACACAGCTGCTATGTGGTGTAACATGGGAATACACACTGCTGCTATGTGGTGTAACATGGGAATACACACAGCTGCTATGTGGTGTAACATGGGAATACACACAGCTGCTATGTGGTGTAACATGGGAATACACACTGCTGCTATGTGGTGTAACATGGGAATACACACAGCTGCTATGTGGTGTAACATGGGAATACACACAGCTGCTATGTGGTGTTAAAGTCATACATGTCTATTTTGAGTCAAAACTCGTGGGAAGTCAATTAGCCATGTGAGCCTTGCAGGAAGTTTCTGCAAACCCCACTGTTACCTTATCTTGAATAAATATGTAGTGAAGATGGCACATGTTGAATGAAGAATACTGTCAATGTAATCTGAGTGCTCATTGAGCTGGAACCGGACTGTGGCTTGAATTGTTGGTTTAAAAGAGCAACTACATTGCAAAGCTGTTGTCTTTATTCATGGGAAATGGATGTATGTAAAGTAGGAAAACCTGTGAAGTACTGACGGCCTTCTATAGGACAATGATTCAGCATATAACACTGGCATTCTTTTGACAGATTTCTGTTTGGTATGAGCTGACATATTATTAAATGCCAAACTCACAATACACTCACTGAAGGGAAGACATCTAACCAGTGGCATAAAAACAAGGTTTCCGAAAGAGAAAAACAAAGACATTATTTCCTTAGTGGATCTCTCGAAGGGTTGGTCAGATTCAGTTCATGAACTTGCATGCAACATCTGTGCAAAGTTATTGACATTTAGTATTTAATAACTGCAAACTAAAACTATCATTGCACATGTTCCACAACATAAATGATGGCAAGGTGATGAGTCAAACTTCATACAGAGCAGAATGAGTCATATAAACATTCTTGACAATGCATCATAGATTATTTTATATATCTGACTCCGCATGTCTGGTCATTTGAAACTTCTGGAGGAGCATGATTGCATGGTCATTAAAATACCTCTAAGCATAATTGGTCATTTAATACATCTGAGTCAGCAGTATTGACCATTTGATACTTCTGTCCCAGTATTATTGGTCAAGTGAAACATCTGGGTAAGCAAGGCTGATCATTTGATAATTCAGACAAAATATGGTAAATAATTTAATACTTTTGACATCTCCACTGACCTTAATAGCCTTCCTGATGTTGATGAGGCTGGCTCTGACTGTGATGAGCAGTCGATTGAAGCGGACCATCTCCTGCACGAGGACAGTGTTCATGCTCTGCTTGTACGATGTTGGGTATTTCCGCAGCGCTGCATCTGTGTCAAAGTTGCTGGGCAGCCTTGACAAGATGTCTGCCGCGACCTCATCCACCACATCATCAGTAGATTTACCTCCCTTTGCTGAAGCTCTTGCCTGTAAGAAGGTAAGGAATGATGAAGATATTTTTCTTTTCAGTAATACAATGATATCATTACATCTGAAAGAAAACAATGACACAAGTAATACTGAACATAGTCTGAAGGTGCAAGAAAGCCACTTTGGAACAATGTGAAAACAGCTTCACAATACGATATCAATACATGAATACAATAACTTTACATGACTACTTTGATGATTTGTATAAAGTGAAATCAGTTATAGTGATGGTGGCACCTTGATGACATGACTGATTTCTTACATCCATAATCCCTTCTATTTATCCTTAAATAATGGAAACACATATGTTAAAATAACCTTAACATGATAATAACATGCCATGATACTGATAAACTTTTATTGCAGGCTGTTACTTTTAAATGAATTTATACATAAAATTACAACTTTTATATTTCTTAACATAACTTCATTTGACTTTTAAGGAATATACATTTTGAAAAAATTGTGCATTTTGAAATAAAAAAAGAGCTCATGCAGACAGGTAATATACCTGTTAAGGTATCAAAATAATCTGTCATGCAAGTTTTATAGTACATTTCATTGTTTATATTAATATTCATGCTTATTTAATACATTCCTGTGCATATATTTTCTGTTTATCTATGTTAAAAAACAAATGTTATCTATTTTTTTGTTCTAGTCTAAACAGCTAGGTTGCATTTTTATATTAGTGCTCATAAATGACTGAAGACTCGTTTTAATTAAAAAGAAACTTAATTTTATAAAAATTCTCCTTGTTCTATATAAATCATTTCATTGAATTATTTTTGTTATTAAAATAAAACTACAAAATAGAACTCGACACACAGTCAGCTCAGCTAACTTGAATTTATCTGCACAAATTAAATCCTTGTCAAAAACAATTGGATGTTTCATATTCTAAATGATTGAATATTTTCAGTCATTTTTCAATATAATTTTGTCAAATCTCCATTGCCTAGGCACAATCAAATAATCCAATTTCTAAACTACTGTCATTCTAAGGTGATGTAGGTATAGAAATCTTTGCATGACATCTAATGAATAGGAACCGGTGAATGAAATCATGATGAGAAATAGAAACATTATTACGCACTTGATTTGTTTAGTCCAAGACATTACAAAGAAATATCCAAAAGATATATAAAATATCTTATAAACCTATTCAGGTTAATATGAGTGAGTGAGTGAGTATGGTTTTACGCCGCTTTTAGCAATATCCCAGAAATATCACGGCGGGGGACACCAGAAATGGGCTTCACACATTGTACCCATGTCGGGAATCGAACCTGGGTCTTCGGCATGACGAGTGAACGTTTTAACCACTAGGCTACCCGACCGCCCCTAAGTGAATAGGAACTTACTCAAGTTTGAAAATAAAGATTATTTGACACAATAGATTACTTTTTAAATGATGCATCCCAGAGAAACATAGCAGCATATATTCTGTACAAATAGTTACCGTACATAATATTAAACAGACATACATTTCTATTTCTCATCAAGGATGATCAGCTGTGAGTGAAATTGATGACTGCAATGAACGTGACATAAAGGAGAATGTGTGACTGTGACGATATGTCATCCACTATTCTCATTTCCTATCTAACATTTGTCTATTTCCTTCAGCTATACTTTATACTACCTGAATTTCTGCCTGTATATTGTAATTAGAAATTTACACTTGTACATTTCATTGATGACATGTTAGGATGGAGTGTAGCATGCACGTGAGTGTAATCAATTTCAAATGGACATCTATCACACGCTATAACTTACATTGGGATCCTAGTCACAGTAATTACGAGAGCCATGATTCAAATTATTTTGCATGAACATTTGACATCATCTATTGGTACTTACCGTAAATAGTTACATAAATCTCAACACTGGGACACAAACAATACAGTATAAATCAGGTACAGTAAACTACATCTACACTACTACAGAAACATCTATCTAATTATTTGCATGAGATATAAGTGCCATAGTATGAGTGCTTGAAATATATGTTTCAGTTCTCAGAAATCTAACTAACAAACATATGTAAATTGTTATTTTGTTATATCTACAGATGCCTGTAAAAGGTTTATTTCCATTATAGTCTCCAAGATTCTAAAAAACTATTTTTCATTGTGTGGAAAATAAATCCACCTTATTTGAAAATGAAGTTAACTTAGACATTCAAAAGGATGATGCTTTAAATCATTTTTTTCTCTTTTCTTCATAAATTCAATTTGAGGTAAATAGCCCCTTTTACAGACAGTGTACTCCAGATAAGCATTGTTAGATAGGAGAGAAATGCTTGTATGTAGTAGTGCTATCAGCTTTGATTATGGGAAACAAAGCAAGTCTATATAAGATAACCAGGCTATGGTTAAGAAGTCAGCTAGGCTGGATCATCAGACATTTTGAAGATCTTAAGATTCTAAAATAATAATCGAGACATTTTTCGACAGTTCCATATCTTACCCACCATGACAATTTTAAATTTAGGTTCAGAATATGTTTCTTTAAAAAATGCAAATTGATTTAAAACATTAACTTTGAAAAAATAAAGTCTTAAATCAAACTTTGATTATTAAATAAATCATCAAAAAGATAGTAACCATAAATGTTTAAAATAATGTTAATGAACAAATCCTCCATCCATTACATTTCTTCCAAGATGAAAGGTTTATCTGCCTTCAAATTGTCAGCAAATAGAGATCCAGATTATAAGAGATGAAATCACCGTAGAGAGAGTGTCTATCTAAGCAGCAAGGGACAGACTGAGGGAGGTCCTATATGTCTGTCTTACCCGTTTCTACCAACCCCGAACACACAACACAGCGCATTCAGCACATAGGAGGTGATGCATCCCACATGATAAATATAGTGGAGAGTGCATTCGATACAGCATGCAAAAAAATAAAATACATAATAACATTAGTTCATGCAATGTTCAGATTTTAATGTCATTAATGTGCATATTCCATGATTTCTACACCGTGCATCAGCAGAAACATGACCTCTGTCCAGTGAGTGAGTGAGTGAGTGAGTGAGTATTGCTGACACCACATCAACATGTTACAGCTACTTGTGGTGATGTGCTTTCTGGTGTATTGATTATTTCTATCTTGTGTATATATAATGACATTAAACAACGATAAATATATGTCCATATTTTTTGTGTGTTGCTCATCTCACGCTGGTCCTAAATGCCCATCATGCTCAAAACATAAAAAATAAAAAGAGGCTATTTCATGAGACACATGAAACATCCTATTTATTATATACTTCTTGTCTAGTTATTCTACTGGTAAATTAAATTATTTCATTACAAAGGTAAAACTTTGAAACGTCAATTCTCCCTACCTCACAAGCAGGGATAGTTCACCACCCCTTGTAATTGCAACTTAAAAAGTAGTTCTGTATTTGCAAATTTAAAAAAAATATAAACAAAAGTAACAAAAAATATTTGAGGTCAATTAAAGGCTACATTTTTATATGCAGTGATAATTCTAGGGTGGGGCATCTGGAATATCTAACATGTTCAGATAATAGGCCCATGTCAGAAATATTCCTGAGTGAACCCTGCATATGATGAGATACAAAAACAACTTCAAAATGATATTTTTGAAATCTAGAGCCAGCTTTTGGAAGCGAAAGAATACATGCTGGTCAAGTAACAAAAATGGCCCTTTGTGAAATGAACTGTCTCGATTGACGAGTAAAATGAGAAATTTACAGTTTATATCGAAACATTTTCCAGATATTAACCAAAGGAAAGAGGCTACATTAACTCCATTAATGACAACCTGTCATTATTTTGCCTTGTCAATGTGGAACTAAGGTAAAAATGAAGTCAAAAACAGTTTTTGGTCGGGCACGAGACTAACGAAAAAGGCAAGGAGGAGATAACTCTTGTATGACAACAGTTCTGTCAAAGTGTTAGATTCACTGCAGTGAAATATCAAGTGTTATGTTCACTGCAATGAAAATATCCCTTTCCTCAACTCCAGAAAACTCAGTCTTTCACAATGAAGTATATAATAAATATATGTACCTATTCACCCGCCTGAATAGACCTTCTTGCTCTTGAGTAATAAATTAAAATTCCCCCTTCCAAAGAAACATGATTGCTGTATTTCATCAGAAGGTTTTATTCAAAGAAGCACAGTTACTCTGCTTAACAGCTTCACTTATCCATCTTATGTTTTCCACGTTATCAACAGCGACACAGCTACGAACATATCACAATAACTCATGTGAAATTATGAACAGATGTGGTTTTGGAAACTGTCCAAAATTTATAACCAAACAACAGACAACATATCAGTTGTATTCTGAACCAAACTACAGATTTTGTCCTCATATAATTTTTTGTTATTTTCTTTCCTCCCACCAGCTCCTTCTCAATCTGAGCAGGGAGACGAGAACACAAATATAATATGAACGTCTACTGCAATGTTAATATATAAATTGTGCAATATATATCGCCTACAATTTCATATGAGACAAATAAACATCACATATAAAGACAACAATCTGAATTTGACAAAAAAAGAGATTACAACCACAAATTTCCCATTTACGGTAGTTTTTTTTATAAAAACATGTTACTGCAAATATACACATCACAGCTATACAGTGTATAAAATGGAACTGGCCCTATTAATGTATATTTAAGTAGATAAACAAACTCATGTACATAACTAAATGATGTCCCCTTTTTCCCACTGCCACAGACACAAAGCAATTAAAGAGCTTTCAGACATGAACAAACAACAGATACATCAAAATAACTTCCAAATTAATTCACACTCAAACCGAGCAAAAGACATGTATAAAACAGAAACAAAACCTTTCATTTCATCTGATCAGAAAATAATTATTTATTAGGCATGGAAAGTATCTGGATTTGGTTTAGTGTCATTTAATGTTTTGTCATTCAAATTGTCTTTCCTTTTCAAACCATACTGATGATTACATGGCCACAATGAGCAGCTCTATACAGTATTTCAATCATATCACAGAGTGAGGCAGTGAGAGCAAAGTCACACACGTCATAGGCAGTTACAACCGTAGTGAAACCATCCGACGGACACAGCATCATTACATCAATCATGGTCAAAGTCGGGTTCAAACCCATAATTATTAAGCAGATCCTTGTTCAACCAAGGGATGCAACTCAACACAAGACATTAGACCACTGGACCACCAATGCCCATCTGAGAGGTGGTAGCACAATTATGTAACTAGGAAGACATATTTAATTTCATAACTTACATTTCATACTAACTGGAAAGTAATCCTACTAAAATTTAGATTTATCTTTTCCAAAATTAATTCAGATTAATTAAGAAATTCAGAATGTCAGCTAGATTGGTCCATAACTCAGCATTATGGTGCAAGTTCTCATTTTCAGTCCTTCTATAAATTAGCAGACAATTTTCCTCCATAAATCATTGAATTCATCATTTACTTTAGGGGAAATCCAGAATCCATCTACTTTCCCGCACAATCTACAATCATTGTGAATCATCCCTTGTTCAGCTGACTAGTGTTCCACTGACCTGAGTGAGCAGGATGTTGTCAAACAACGTCTGTGTTTCCTTCTGGTCCTTTGTGATGTCAGCGTTGGCGTTCATGCCGAAGATCTCGGGGGACGGATTCAGGGGCAGGTTCCTAGTGTACTCAATGTAGCTCTCGTACTGAAATAAATACACCCGTAGGGGACATGTGACACGTGACACGAGCAGGGTTTAAATGAGTCTACTAGGTAAATGGGCTTGTACAACACAAGACCGAAGGTCAAGGAGTTTACACCAATGGTCAGCTTGTAAATTCCAGTACACCCCACCTCGTTAGTGACACATGGAACTAATCTATTGTTAAATTGTTTGACATTTTTAGAAGTTGGTAAATAATAGTAAAGACAAGATATTTGTAAGATAGATCCTTATACCATTGTCCAGGGAGACAACTCTTGCTTGGCAACGATATAAAGATCTATTCTGAAACCTTGCATCATACTAGAATAAAGAAGTCGCCATCCATAAAACATCTTGTCTTGATTATAATTTATTTTAGAAGTTCAAAATTTTGTTCAATTTATCAAGGTAAAGACTTATTTGTGTGTGACAATTAGGTCAATCTTGAGGCCACCATTTGACTATAAATAGACCAGACCAGAGCATACAAACAAGGGGTTGAGATTATGACCAATATCCCCACATATGAGGGTATGATGACAAACAAACAACCAAGTTGATGGCACTCAGAAAAAGTATCGAAAGCATTTATTTTGATGAGGACTTTCATTTTCAACACATGTATGTGGTAAATTAATGCCAATGTTAAATAAAGATCTAAAACAAAGGGAAGCAACTCTGCATAGATCAATGTTCCATCTATGCCAACTGGAATGCTTCTAAGGTTCCATGAATTATAATGAACAGAAGACAAAAACCTACATCGCCTGTGGGAGGGGAGTAGAAGAGGCCGCTGACATCAAAGTAGTAGTCCTCGCGCTCAATGATGTCGAAGCAGTAGAACTTGTTGAGGATGGTGAGCAGCGTGCGTCGATCCCAGTCGTCAGTGACACGACCACCGTAGTTACACTCTCCGGTCAGGTAGCGCAGGGCATCAAACTGGACACTCTAAACACAGGCCAATGTCATTGGTGAGACATGAATGAATATACATCTTATGGTATGTTAACACATCTCATCTGGGTACAGGGAAAGCGTATAGAGTTCAGTCAAGAAAAAATATCATGTAACCGATGACTTTGTCATCTTCAAAATCAAACCCATCTGTTCTTTCATCCTTACATCATAGTCATTAAGGAACATGGCCAGCTGACGGACGCTGATCCGGAGATCCGTCTCGTTGAACTCGTACGGGATGTTCCAACCCAGCGGACCAAACTTCCTCCTCTCCTGAATCAGTGCATGGAAGAAGCACAGGCCGTACAACAGTTTCTTCCAGGAACCCTGAAACAGCAGCAGCAGCAGATGTAGCATCTCGACAGGGAGAGAGCCCTCAAGGAGGAGCCCCAGCTCAACCCACACAGAAGGATCTATCCCTCTTAACAACACAACACAGTGGAATCTGGCAAAACCAGAATCTGACTAATTACTTTGTTACAGTGGCTTCTGCTTGGTAATATTATCTCTGTTAAATGTCTTCAAGATAAGTCATCCCCAGCCCTCTGTGCATAAGGACCAGCACTGAGTCTGTTAATGGAATGTCATTTTGTAACTTGAAACTCAACAATCTGCTCAGATCCGAGCACATTCTGACCACTGGAGGATATAGTATAATCCAGATTTCTGTCATTACCGAACTAAATTTACTATGGTAAGTAATAATGTATCTTTAAAGCTTGTTATATTTACTATTTCTTTTTTCCAGTCCAGTTTAGACAGATTCCACTGTATAAGGAATTTTGTGATCATGTTCAATATGGTATACTTTGAATGTTTTATATCATATTTGTTTGTAAAAGTTTTTCATCTTGAAATTAGGCCTATGTTAAATCCTTTGAGGTGTGTGTGAATGTTTTGCTTTTCACTACTTTTGGTAATTCATGAAAAGCTTTATGTAGTATAAATTTGATATAAAATCATCTTAAATATATAATTAGAGTTATCTGTATTATTTGAGTTGAGGTGAAATGGGGTTTAACATCGCGTTCAAGATTATTGCACTTATATAGCGGCCTGCATGCACATGTGTGTCTTCTTGTACTAATCCGGACTATGCCAATTTTATTGTGCTAGCCCAATGAGATACCATGTTGCAGTTTAACATGAATACCCAACAGAGATAGAGTATACTGACTCCGAGCCGACCAGTCCTTGTTTTAGACCCTTAATGCTGAGCACCAGGCAGGGTAACAACAAGTACCATCTTTTAAAGTCTTTTGGTATGATGTGGCCGGTGATCGAACCCTGACCTTCTGCTCTCGGGGCAGAGTCTCTACCACTAGACCATGGAGGCAGTCCCTGTGTGATTTGAGAAAACATTAACATTTTTGTTGATCTTTGATTTTTTATGGTGTTTTTTTGTTTAACGCCACACTCAGCAATATCCCAGCTATACAACAGCACCCTGTAAATATTCAAATCTTGACCAGACAATCCAGTAATTGCTTTTGTGAGCATCAATCCATGCAGACAGGGTATGTCTGACACTCCATCAACAAAGTCCAACCCGCTGATCCAATTGGTCATGCGCCTCCTACGATATTTCAAAATGACAACTGAGTGTTTAAAACTGAATTGAAATGGAGGCTGATAGATTTAGAGTGGTCCAAACTTTACACATGATTAGAAACTTTGTTGAACGAGTGATGTACTTTGAACAGTACTTTTGTTACATGCTTGAATGCCACACATCTTGTCTCCTAAGTCTGTTTATTAGAACCATGCAGCATGTCAACTCCTATATAATTATCTTCAAATTAGAATAAAAATATATGCAAACATCTACTTACCTAAAAACACATTCTCATGAAATTACCATACATTTGCATACCATGTGCTAATGTGCTACTATTTTTCTACTCGGGAAAAACATATCAACTTAATCATTCAGTTTATTGGAAATCTGTTGCTTGTACAACATTCACTGTAAAATAAACATACTACAATATAAACCTTGACCATGTGTAACCAGACTAAAGATAATTGCTGAATTTAGAGGTAAATATATTTTGGAACCAACTCAACCTTGATTTGCTCACATGGAATCAGAAGTTCAGAGTGTCAGATGAAAAGTTTGTTTGTGTCACACTCAGCAATATTCCAGCAAATATTCCAGCAATATGACACCAATGAACCAAGGTACCGAGACTGACCATCCAACCCAATAAGTTGTCTTACATGACAAACATAGACTGGGGACATAGTGGTAGTCTAACCCTGAGAATCACCATGGGGTAGAGATGAAATGAAACAGTTTTACTTGTGTGTACCCTATACAGTGGAACACTGTTGTTGATGTGTTGAATCCCTGGTTGTGTCAAACTCACAGCCCAGTCTCAGTAAACTTACAGTCCAGTCCCAGTAAACACACAGTCCAGTCCCAGTAAACTCACAGTCCAGTCCTAGTGAACTCACAGTCCAGTCCCAGTAAACACACAGTCCAGTCCCAGTAAACTCACAGTCCAGTCCCAGTAAACTTACAGTCCAGTCCCAGTAAACTTACAGTCCAGTCCCAGTGAACTCACAGCCCAGTCCCAGTAAACTTATAGTCCAGTCCCAGTGAACTCACAGCCCAGTCCCAGTAAACTCACAGCCCAGTCCCAGTAAACTCACAGCCCAGTGTCCAGTAAACTCACAGCCCAGTCCCGGTAAACTCACAGCCCAGTCCTGGTTAACTCACAGCCCAGTCCCGGTAAACTCACAGCCCAGTCCTGGTTAACTCACAGCCCAGTCCCGGTAAACTCACAGCCCAGTCCCAGTAAACTCACAGCCCAGTCCCAGTAAACTTACAGCCCAGTCCCAATTAACTTACAGTCCAGTCTCGGTAAACTCACAGTCCAGTCCTGGTAAACTCAAACTTATAGTCCGATTTTTCAAAAAGTAAAAAATATTTTAAATCTTACGTGAAAAGTCAAACTCAAGTTTTTCAGACAACTACAAAGAGGCACTGGTTAGATTTTATATCAGGTACAATGGCCCAGTCTTGATGCAACATGAAACAGATATGACAAGTGCCTCTGTTTTTATTGCTTGTTTTACAAACGTTATTTACATATAATATGTACAACGTGGTACAATTGCTAGGTCACACGTTATAAGGTCGAGTCATTTGTGTTGAACTATTTCTTTGGTCCCCAGGAATTCAAGACATGGGGGTCACATGTTATAAGGTTTAGTCATTCGTGTTGAACTATTTCTTTGGTCCCCAGGAATTCCCGACATCGGGGTTTGACTGTAGATAGTGTAACAGTAATGTACACAGCAATAGGCCATCATATCTCATTCCACCCTCCAAACTTCCTATTCATGTGATCAAATGGAATATCTGACAGAAAATGTCCATGACAAAAAATTATCATCTTTTCTGAAAATAGAATGATATCCTCATTTGCAATTATCTTGACATAGTCTACAGTTACACGAGGATAAGTCCTTATGTAACAAAGTCTCTAAGGTTTAAAGAAAATGTAAAGAAATGGAGAGAAATTCTAAAAAAATAACACTCAACAAAAGTTGAAACTTGAAAAGAATAACCCCACTCTCTGTCTCATACCTACCTGGCCTTCTGCCTAACAAACTCAAACTCGAAATAACGAACAGGAATCTTTCAGAACATGCAATGTGCATTTGATCCTCCACACTCACCACTTTATCAATTGTGTCCTGTTGAAACGGTAAAATCTCACGTATATACCTGTGCTCATTTTGACACGACCACACATAGGGTAACATCAATGGTAACATCCAAAATAATGTGAGTACAAATGATAATGACACGGACTGCTTGTGGCAACGTCAATGTGAAGAATCTGCTGGCATCAGATTTTTGCTTCAAATTAGGACAACTGGTTGGATCTCGAAAATTTAATATCTTTGAAGATATTTTTAAAATGTGAATTTTGAATGAATCTATTTTCTCAAATTCCATGCATATACATAAACATTATCAACTGTTATGGACAGTGTAATTTTAATAGAGTTAATTACTTTAACTAATGTCTGAAACTAAACTTTACATAAATTGAAATATATATCTCCCCAAAATTGCAGTTCAAATTTCCAAGATTTAAAAATAGACTAATGAATGAATATTCTCAAGCTAATCAAAAATAAAATTCCAACATCTTATACAAATATATATATAGACACACAAAGTCTTGCATCAGATTCCTGATCCAATTATGCAAACATCTCAGATGAATATGCAAGATGATGAATGAAATACATTGCTAAGGTCATGGCATACCAAGTGCAATAGTTTCTTTTCGTAGCTAGAGGCAAACAGCACTGCATTGGAATGATGACATTATTTAGTATTTAAATCACTACCATAAGACTGAAAACAAAATTTACCTCATTTTTGACGCTACCAAAGAACTCCGAGTCTGAGATCGGATCGCTGAGGTATGACTTGATGATGTTGAATCGGAGACCTTTGGGTGGTTCATTGGTCATCTTGACCCCGTTCTGCAGGATGGAGACTGGGAAGGTGGTGGAGGGATAGCTGGTCAGCCACAGACGGAAGTCAGGGTGGGTGGTCTCGGGGTTGAATTCCTGTGGCAGAATGTAAGGTGTGTCAAGGGAAGTCCTTCTAACATGTCCATGAACTACGTGATCGGGGATTGATTGTGAAGACTCATAAGATTTCAGCCAATCCGATGGCTTCTTACTTAAAGACCAACAGTACTCTGTCATCTGAGTTGAAGGAGATGACAATAGGCTACTAGAGCTGAGAAGGGTATGACAATAGGCTACTAGAGTTGAGAAGGGGATGACAATAGGCTAAAAGAGCTGAGAAGGGTATGACAATAGGCTGCTAGAGTTGAGAAGGGTATGACAATAGGCTGCTAGAGTTGAGAAGGAGATGCCAATAGGCTACTAGAGTTGAGAAGGGGATGCTAATAGGCTGCTAGAGTTGAAAAGGGGATGACAATAGCCTACTAGAGTTGAGAAGGGGGATGACAATAGTCTGCTAGAGTTGAGAAGGGGATGACAATAGGCTAATAGAGCTGAGAAGGGGATGAGTATAGGCTGCTAGAGTTGAGAAGGGGATGACAATAGGCTACTAGAGTTGAGAAGGGGATGACAATAGGCTACTAGAGTTGAGAAGGGTATGACAATAGGCTACTAGAGCTGAGAAGGGGATGAGTATAGGCTGCTAGAGTTGAGAAGGGGATGAGTATAGGCTGCTAGAGTTGAGAAGGGGATGAGTATAGGCTACTAGAGCTGAGAAGGGGATGACAATAGGCTGCTAGAGTTGAGAAGGGGATGACAATAGGCTGCTAGAGCTGAGAAGGGGATGACAATAGGCTACTAGAGTTGAGAAGGGGATGACAATAGGCTACTAGAGCTGAGAAGGGGATGACAATAGGCTACTAGAGCTGAGAAGGGTATGACAATAGGCTACTAGAGTTGAGAAGGGGATGACAATAGGCTGCTAGAGCTGAGAAGGGGACGAGTATAGGCTACAAGAGTAGAGAAGGGGATGACAATAGGCTACTAGAGCTGAGAAGGGATGACAATAGGCTACTAGAGTTGAGAAGGGGATGACAATAGGCTGCTAGAGCTGAGAAGGGTATGACAATAGGCTAATAGAGCTGAGAAGGGGATGACAATAGGCTACTAGAGCTGAGAAGGGTATGACAATAGGCTACTAGAGTTGAGAAGATTATGACAATAGGCTACTAGAGTTGACACGGGGATGAGTACAACTGCGTTCTACAGTTGTCATGGTGATCAACATGGGGACTGCGGATCTCACCTCGCAGATCTTTTCCATCGTGGGCATCCAGGATGCTGCAAGATGACAGTTCTGAAGCATGACCCAGGTTCCCTCCTTCAGGCCCTTCTCTATCATCTGCAGGGCAATAGGGCCTTGACCTTGACCCAAGGACAGGGAGTCAAACTTGGCACCACCAAAGCCCTGAATTTAAAACAATCATTATTGCTACAATGCAATATGAAAATTAATATAATGTTTGATGCTGAATCATGAACGTCCAAAATATCTTCTTTAATAACTTGATTAGAAATGATCGAGTGCTTCTCACCCCACCTTCATTCTTCTCCTGAAATTTGACACTCATTAAAATATTCTCAATTTTGTAAGTGTTTTGAGCAATAAAGGCAAACAAGACTTTGAATGGCTTTTAGAAGTGATATATATATAAGAGAGAGAATTTATGCAAGTCGGCTTCTTTATTAGAGGAACAAAACGTTTTGGAGTATATGCTTACTCCTTCATCACATTCAGCATATACTACGAAAAACGTGCTCCTCATAATAAATAAGTTGACATCCATAAATGTAGACAACGGTTGAAAATATATCCTAAACAATAATAATAATTCAAAGACTTCAGAGCTTTATTTCAAATCCTCTGAATTCTGTCACTAGAGCTCACCTGGTCATCAGCAAACTTGAGCAGTGCAGCCATGGGGTCAGCCCCAGGGGACAGGACAAACAGCAGGGGGGCACAGCAGTGACTGTCTCCGAACGCCTTGGGCAGGTCAAATGGTGGAGGCTCAATGAACTTCTTCCCGATCTTCTCCGTGACAAACTCCTGGACACACGGGATCACCTGTGGGGAGTCCATATTGTCATATGTCACCATAAGAGTATAAAGGTTGACCATAATAACTTGCAAATATTTGCACATGTCCATTTGAGCAATTCTCTATGCTGTTCGATTGGTCAGTTGAGGTAATATGACATCACACAGCTTCATTGTTGAAAATATTGTGGCAGACACAAGTACTGACATACAGTTTTGTTGTACATTTGTTTTTATCTATTTGAGGTCCTTTAAGTCTGTAATATTATTTTAAGTTGTTAATAAAGTAGGTTCTTAGTTCAATATCTAGTGTGGGCTTCTGGATTAGTTTACTTGTAATGTAGAGGGTGGTTGGGTTGGTTCATTGTTTCATCTCTTGTTCTAACCCAAGCCTTGTTTTCATTGGCTTGTTCAAACTGTGCACATTTCATCCATCTTTAGAAGTCAGTCAACATTTTGGATTTGGACACATCTTTGGATAAATAATTCGATTGTTAAGGTTAGTAATCTATAAGATTGCTAGCTAATATCTATGTATATATTTGTATAATAATATAACTTATGTTTTCTAGGTTGTGTGGAATGTTATTTCAGTATCATTAACATGCTTATCTCTGGTATGGTGATTGTATCACCATATTGCTAAATTAGTGATTGAATAAGGCTGAGTAAACACTATAAATGCTTCTTATCCTTCTTCTATATTTCTGTGTGTGAATGTTTGAGTGAATGAGTTGATTTTTATAATTGTGTAAATACCATATTTGTATGCTATGTCAAACATTGTATGATAATGTGTAGTTAGTTACATTTCCTACAATTCTTCAATTGTATTCTATATGTTATATTTATTCATAATTGATTCTATACATAGGATTGTGCTGATAGCTGCAAAGCTACCATGCAAAGAGGCTGCCTGGAGACGACCAACACCCCAGTGTCACCCACAGGGTACGGATAATCGTGTCTCGAAATATATTTTTTAATATTGTATCGTGCCAATTGTATGATCAGTTAATGAATTAATATAGTAGTTTCAAGAAAGTGGTAATTGTATTTGTAATGTTGATTGTATTTCACAATCATGGACCATGTTTATATTGTATCTTATAAGTAATGTCAGGATCGAGTTATCTCCCTTGATGAATTGTTTGTTTACTTTAGGGTTAAGAAATGATTTTATATATCATAGATTATTAAGTTCATGTACATAATATAGACGTATGTTTATATCTAATGAATGGTCGCTTTGTATTGTATGAATATGTATGTGTATGAAACCTGTGTACTACTGTTTTTATAATGTTATTGTTTTGTACATTTCAGGGTGTCAGTATCTACTATGGCAATAAGGACTCACACCCGTAGCCTGTGTTGGACCTTGTATTTGCCATCACAAACCCCGATTACAATATGGTGTCACAAAATGAATCATCGGAACAACAGACTTTAGTCATAATGTTCAGAGTAACCGACTCAGAATTACGAAATATCTCTTCCTCGTCCAAAGATGCTGTCAGTCCATTGCCCAAGGTTGGTTATTCTCTAAATGTGGTCTTTGCAACCTTTTGTTAAGTAAGTGATTCTGGCTTAATGCTACTTTTTGCAATATTCCAGCCATATCACAGCAGAACGAAACCGGCTTCAGACTTATTATCCAGGTAGGGAATCAAACCGGACTGTTTGACTTGATGAGCCAGCTTCTTCACCACAAGGCTACCCGTCTGTCTGTGACCTTATGGAAACATCCTCGGAATGCCTTTATGATTACATACCTTGTCGGACCGGAGACAGCGGAGCACCAACATCTTCTGGAAAGTCCCCAGCTTCTCATCCCACTCTCCCGGGAACTTCACATGGTGGGGCTCCTGCAAAAGGAAGAAATTGTTATTCAAGGATAGACTTGACAACAAATTTGTATATCGCCAGCAAGGCTTGCTCCTTTTATAAGTTACTGGCCCTTCTCCAAACTAAATGGCCAACAACCAAAAGGTGGAGGCTGAGAAGTGGCCGAACCTCGGGTCGCCCAGCCACCTAACTTTGAAAAACGATTGTTCCTGCACTGAGATTAAATCTTGGCGTCCATTTGCCTCATTTCATGGCGAATAAAGAAGTTCTTGAACACAACATTACAAATGGCTTTCCGGTTGTCATTCTACCGAGATGATCAAATTAAAAAAAATTAAACATACACGGAGAAGGGTTGAAATTTTGACTAGCCAGACGGCCCATTTAATTCATGTTTCAGCAAGCACTTTGTAATTTTAACTGGCCAACAGTTATCTCAACCCGTCAATGGGGGCTCTCAAACCATTACTGTTGACTCGCAATCAGTGGCAATTCAAAGGACTAAGCCACACTTGTCTACTTCACAATTCTAATTGGATGATTCATCACAAATAACACATGATGTCAAAGACTGATCATCATCACAAACATTATCATTGCAAATATCTTTCTACTTATAATATGCCAGGTGTCCCTACTGTGACACATTACTATCACCTCCTTCACCGTCAGTTTATTATGTGACATTATGTTCATGAAGAGAGAGTGTCATTTTATTAGCATCAACATCAACATCAACAACATCAACAACATCAACAACATCAACAACATCATCAACATCATCATCAACTTGTCACCACACACGTACTGGGCTATCATAGACAAGCTTCCATGAATCCTTGTAGCTGACAAACTTCTGTCGGATTCCCTTGAAGCGTGCAAGTTCATCGATGCGACACATCTCATCCCAGGACTTGGAGGGAAGCCATGTGGTGGGGTTGCTGTGTGGGTTGTCCAGGCCGATGCCGCCAGTCAGCAGGAAGCGCCACTCATCATCATCGATCTCCTTCTTGTGCTTCAGGATGTTCACACAAAGGATGAAGGAGAACAGAAGCTGAAGTAAAGGAATGAGAAGTGAGTGAGTGAGTGATTGAATGAGGTAATCACCAGAAACATCTGGGTTGGATCAAATAAATATGGAACCAAATAACCAATTAAACAACATCAGAAAGGGCCTCCCTACATAAATGTATTCCTTGACGAGTAAAGTAATGGAATGCTGTATTTGACTTCCGTACGACACACAATCAGACAGGTCACACATTGTAATCAAGTGATGATCATAAGTCAGCTACATCATCATGTGTATTCCGCCCAGAACTCAACAAAAGGTGTTGTCAAGCAGATAAATGATCGGGAACATCGAGAACACTATTCCAGACAGGACTGACCCTACCTGTTCCCTTGTCTAGGTAGACTACAGCATGTATCCCTACCTTATCCTTCTCAAAGAGGGAGCGACACACATTGCAATACAGCGAGTATGTGAAGTGGTCGTGTAGGTTGTTCAGCCTGGTCGGGAGATCCTCCGACGTCTCAGCGTTCTCGATGGACATGGTGAAGAGGTTGATGAACCAGGTGAGGGAGTACTGGTACATGGGCTCGATGTTGGCCAGGTCAGCGATGGAGAAGAAGAGGATGGTGCTGTGGATTGCAATGGGGGTGTAGCCCATTCTGGCTGTGTCAATCTTCTTCTCTGTCTCCTCAGCTATGGCCTATTTCAGAGAGTGATATATGTTTAGGTCATTCAGTATGGGAATAGTTTTGTTTGTTTGTTGTTTAACGCCACACTCAGCAATTTTCCAGCTATATGACGGCAGTCTGTAAATAATCGAGTCTGCACCAGACAATCCAGTGATTGACATCATGAGCATCGATCCACACAATTGGGATACAATGACAATGTCACATGCATGAAACAAGTCAGCAAGCCTGACCACCCAATCCCGTTAGTCGCCTCTTACGACAAGCATAGTCGCCTCTTACGACAAGCATGGATTGCTGAAGACCTATTCTACCCCGGATCTTCACAGGTTTATAGGTATGGTACATGCATCACAGAACGATTAACAAACAACATGGTGGTGGCATTTACCCGAAATCCATAATAAAATCCATTTATTTTGCACAAACACTGGACTGAATGTTTTAAATGGGTTTTTGACAAAGAACACATATATATCATACATAAAAAGATAATATTCTCATGAAAGAGTGGCAGTTGCAAAATTTCTTTGTGTGTACTTAGTTCTTAAGCATTTGATACATGTTACCCGGTAAATGTATAGGATGATCAATGAAAGTTCAGTTTACAATGAATGTTAAAAAACATGAATTGTTTATGTTTTTTATAGTCAATAATATTATGTTCTTAACAATCAAATATACATATTTAACATTATTTACGAAGACTCAAAAACTCAAAATATTTATTTCCTAAATTCTTTTTTGATTGTGACATACTTGATTGGAAGATATCACATTAGTTACATGGAAATAACTTGAAAGAAAATAACATCATTGGTACATTGTAATTGCATGGCTAACTACAAATTCTATGCTATAGTGTAGTACATAATTTCAACCTAAAACTTCCAGTGCAACACAGTGAAAAGTTATTCCACAAATGCTGCCTAAACCTTTCATTTCAAAGTAGTGAAATTTCATTCCTAAACATATGATTAATCATGCAAAATGTGCAATGCCTACAGCATCCCAGTGGCTCAAGTCATCCCACACTGCATCATGCTTTCTGCTGAGTATGCACATCACAACCTCATTTGTGCTGACTAAGCAATTCAGCAGGATGAAATCCCCATGTATTTGTAAACATACACCACAACACAAACCCTCCTGAACTGGAATAGTTCATTCAAGAGGATTTCTGCTGTAAACACATATATGCTTTCATCCTGCAGCCAACTAACTACTGCACACTGTTTACCACTTCCTTGTTTTACCTGGGATAAATAGTGGGTAAATAGTAGGTAAATCATTAGTTCCATAACTTGTAGGAGTCTCATGATTCATTAACGCATCGTTGCATGACAAATTTAACCTGGTGGTAAGAAAATGATAGTCTACCGATGGTTGATCCAGTTTTATTATGTATCAATTTATCTTGTTATGTATCAATTAATCTTACTATATATCAATTTATCTTACTATGTATCAATTTATCTTATTATGTATTGATATATTATATTTACAAAGTTTCTCAATACCCTGTCAAGATAACTACTTGGCTGGTGTTACCGTATCGCCATTCATGAAACATCTTGCTAAATCTGATCACAATACTCCATTAGAACAAGCGTACATTGACCGTTCGTGCAAATACAACCCAAACTGGTCAAGAGCAACATCCTCAACATGGAGAATTTCACGCAACAATAGCACATATTGTACCGTGGCTCAAGTATCGAGATAAAGTAATGCTACATGAAATGAGTGTATCGTAATACATCTAATAAGTCAGCAATATTCCAGGCATATCACATCAGCAATGGGCTTCACACATTGTACACATGTGGCGAATCAACCCGGGTCATTGTTGTTGAGTCAACACTTTAACCTCATGGTCTCCTAAAAATATACACCCTCTACAAAATAGTGTCAGTATTATACTACAGGCCCATGGTGTCATGAACAAAAAGGGAGGATTGGTCTTGACTGTGGGCTTAGGAAACGTGAAATGTTCCAGTTGGAGATACCCAGCACATGTTGCAGATCCCAGTTGCATTCAGCAACTCTAGAACTATACTTATTGTAAACTCCCCACGGAGCTGAGAATGTATTATGAATGCCACCTGATCCACTGACCAGTGTCATAACATACCAGGTGCTGTCAGCATGCCTTTGATGGAGCAGGCAGTACATAACTGTACTGGTATCATCCATGTCAGTCAATGTCAAATTAGGGGAGTGTCAGGATCACTTAGGGCCTGGTAAGCAATCTCATGTCAAAATCAAGGTATTGTGCATATATATACATACAAATGTGACTGCTGACCTTCAACCAACATATAAGGCAGTTCAGCTTGTATATATATTCCTCAGGGAGCTGAGAATGAAATTTTTGCGCACACTGATCCACTGACCAAGGTGGTAATGTTAATCAATATTATTAGTATTGGTGATTGATATTACACCTGAAATTCAAGAGCACCTTGTCACAGCCCTAATGTTAAATGGTAAGGATTTAGAAGATGCCTAGATTCGACCAACACAGGAGCAGACATCACGGCCCCAAGTACCCCCTTGATTTTTAACATGGCTTTGAAGGGCTCACCTGTTTCTCGGAAATCTCATTGGCGAGTTTCTTGGATGAAGACAAGACCTTGATAGCGGTCTCATCCTCCAAGATGTTACCCTCGGAGCTGGACAACACCTCAAGGATCTTGTCTTCAATCTCCTGCAGTTGTCTGTAACATAAATACATATCCTAGTGACACTGAGCATATAGTGTAAATACTTGAATAAATGCTGTGGGTGTCTATTTATTTCAGAGATGTTTTACACCCAGGGCCTATTTTTTTATTATGGAAAGGACTTTTGATTTCATGAAGATGGGACGAATTATTTGAATAGACATGTGTGGTCTGCATTTAGTATGATGACAGCTTTCATTTCCATATGTCTTTATTCAGTACCTAAAGGAATATATATGTTCAGAGATTATGACCCAGTGTCAATTCACGGAAGCGTTTATTCATTTCACAACCAGTCTAGGCAAGGACTGGATAATTTGTTCCAGACTATAATGGAATTATAGAGATTTCCTTCAGATTTAAAAAACCTAAACAAATATAAATGTTTGCTGAACATGTGGATGTCTTTAAGACATAATATGTTATGAATTAGGAACTGTTCACAGCCTCATTCGGAGAAAGTTATGTGTGTTTTAAATGGTTGGTCCCCAAATCAACACTGATCTCCACCCTAACCCACCTCTTGTTCTCTGCACTCTGAAGAATGAGTGCGTTCTTTTCCTCTTCCAGTTCGGGACGTTCCTTGGCCACCACAATCCCCAGCAGTTGGTCAGACAGACCCTCGGGGGTGATCATGAAGTTCAGCAGTGTCACCTGGGGATAAACCACACCAGGGAATGTTAGAACTGAATGGCATCCAGTTGACAGGTCTCAGCTGATGCTAATGAAACATTGTGATCATATCATCATTCAGAGCATCAATGATCTGTTTGGGAAAAGAAGTGTAACAAAGAAAAAACAAGGTCATTAAAATCAGATCTTGTACTCTGGTACTACACCTCTCTGCTTGAATATCAGATGACCACTCCGTAGGTCATGTCAGGTTAATATTCAAATCAGCAAAACAGTGTTGAGGCTTCTAAATTCTCTGTATGAGTAAACGAAGCATTCAGACCAGCATATCTGATTTGTGTCTCAAAATACCCCAGTTCTATAAACAATGTTCCCACTAAAAAAAATATCTACCCAACCAAAATCATTCAATTGCCAAAACAGCCAATCCACATCAGGAGTGAGTCAGTTGTCTCACCTTGACCGCGACCTCTGGGAGATAGTGAGGGTTCCTCAGCTTGGTGGTCATGTAGAACTTGAAGTCCTGGGAGTACTCTATGGTGCTGTCTCCCAGCTTGATGCACATGCTGCCTCCCTGCTTGAATGTCTGCTTCATCAGCAGGGGCTCCAGGATGGGGTCCAACTCCTCGGCTACGTTCTCCAGCAGCACCTGCAGACACACCAGCACACCATGTCAGGAGCAGGAAACAGAGGGCAGGGCAGAATGCTCCCTCAGTACCACATGCTTGTTATATCAGCCAATTACAAGACAAGCAATTCGGGCCTGGACCAGAAAAGCAATTCAAGTCCAAGACAGACAAACAATTCAAGTCTGAGACTGACAAACAGTTAAAGTCTCGACCAGACACACTATATAAACATGTGGCTGATAATGTGAGCAACCTTCACCACAACCAGGAAGCAGTGTAAAATCATTAAGCTGAGATCTACTTGTGTGGCTACTTGAATGTTACTTTTGCCAGCAAACATTGCCAAATACTACATTCAAACATGGGTGATGTGTAAGAATGCTTCATGGATGCAAAAACTGAATTAGTTCACTTTTTTCAAATACTCTGACACCAATCTCTCTTAGTGACAACTTACAGGTGTTCCGAACTGTATGCAGTTCTCCAGTGTGCGGACAAAGTCTCCATCAGACAACTTGATCATGTGGAGATTGTTGGCCTTCTCCATGTTCTTCACCCACTTGTTGGCCTGACCCTGAGGGTCAATCATTAATGGCCATCGACGGGCGTTGCTGAAATAGGTAACTAGATTTCAGCATAGAGTCAACTGTGATTCACCAATTTTTGTTGATATAAACATTAAAGGTATCATCATCATCATCATCATCATCATCATCATCATCATCCCACTGACCTAATAATGATACCATTCTCCACTGAGAAGCCGTCTGTGGGCAGTCCAGCAATGTTCCAGGCCCGGATCTTCACAGGCTCACCAAGTGTATGGATAAGAGAAAAGTCATCAGAGCATGGGATACCAATCTCCTTGACACGCTTCTGCCACTGGACAGCCTGTTCCTGCCGGAATGCTGATGTGAAGGCACCGAGGTACGCTACTATTCCAGAGGAGACGAGAACATCACCAGTCAAGTTGATATACTTCTTGCCCAACTCCCTGGCCGCAACACTCCATCTGTAACAGCAATGTAACTCACGTAACTACAAGCTCAGACGACTCACATCCATTGCAGATCTCTGATCTGTGTCAGATTGTCATGACCAACATGTTGTTACCACACCATATTGACATGGCCTCATCAAGGATACTGTCACATTCTTGTTTCCTCTTTAACCATCTTAGCCCTTCGGAACCTCTGGGTCAGGCTTATGTTTAGGGTAAGTGGGTCGCTATTTACACACAAACAGACTTCTTCTTTGAGCTTGTGATTATGACACAATATGGCCTACTGTTTGTAAGAAATAAGCAAAAGAATTAAGAACCTTCCATGAATTATTTGTACATTATAGTGTCATTGGAAGGTGCTCATGCAGAGTACCACTGTGATTGTCCAAGTAAATCGCTATCATTCTTTAACCAAGTGACAGAGCTCATTTCCAATGTCTTGTCATCAAGAAAGCATCATCATGTCAAAAGCTTACCATGGGCATTTTTACCAAATCTATTTGTTTAATGATCCATCTATCTCTTAATCAGAGTTCATAAAACATTATTACATTTTCACTCAATATTTTGAAAGAGATGGTTCACACACAGATACCAAAATGTCTGCAATTGTAGCTGGCACTGTACAACAAAGCATCCCCATCTTCATCCTTGACCACTGCTGCAGCAGTTTCATCTGCCTCTTACCTCTCTCGCTCACCACCGAGGCCACCTATCAGCTGTTCAGCTCTCTCTAGCTTCTTCCTACAGAGGTCCACTTGGTTCTCAAGGTCAGCCTTCTTCTGTTTGTTCTGAGCCAGCTTCTCCTCTAACTTGTGGAGCTTGTCTTGTACCTCCTTCAGAGATGCTCTCTTCTTCTCCAGTGATGCCATGGCAACAGCAAGCTCACCCTCGGCTTTCTTCAAGGCTTCTTTCTTTGGAGCCACTACCTTCGCAACTCTAAAGACAGGCAAATACTTTGTCAACAACCAAGAAACAAAAAACTACATCAAAACAAAGTGGCACTTTTAGGGATTTGTCTGTTCTATGTGAGGATGTACTTTTCAAACATTTTTATTGACTTTTTCTTCAGTCCAAAGCAATTACAAAAAGAAATGTAAAGACTACATCAAATGTTGAAAAATTTGGAAACAAGCAAATGCTGTGTTTGATGCTTCTTGTTTAAATAGTTTTCTTGGTTTACTGTTCCTTTTTTTTTGTGTGTGGGGAAAATCTACCTTAAATCAACCATGAAAAGGAAAAGAATTATTTATTTCATGTTGCTTTCAAATTGTCAACAAATATCCTCAAAATAGGAACTGAAATGGTATTGTCAGGACCTGTCTGGTTTGATGAATAAGAAGATTATATCATTACAAATGAGGTATCTACGTCTCCATCTCAGAAACTATTAAGCAAGAGAGTTCACTAGTTGAACAGAGACACCTCTTCCTAGTCAGCAAAATTATGGGCAGTGGGATAGCCTTGTGGTTAAAGCATTTGCTCATCACACAGAAGACTGAGTTCCATTCCCTATATGTGTGAAAACCCTTTCTGGCGTCCCCCGCCATGATATTGCTGCAGTATTGCTAAAAGTGGCATAAAATCATTCACTCACTCAAGGCATAAAAATAACCATGGAAATTTTCTTCCTAAAACAAGAAAATCAATTCCACATCATTATTAGTACGGCTTCCTTGTCGTGTTCGAATCTGATATTTTATCGTATGAATACACATGCCAGTAACAAAGTGGACACTCTAGTGAGCAGCTGGTCAAGTACTGACCTGTCATAGGTGTCCATGGCGCGGACCCACTTGCACAATCCCTCACAAGCAGTGGAGGCAGTCTTGATCTTTTCTGGGTCAAAGTCCGGATTGGAGATGTACTTAGCTCTGATTGTCTTCATATAAGCCACGGGGATGTTGTCCTGCAATAGACATGGGTAGGCATCAGATCCACATTTCAGATGGATGAATGTAATATGTTCCTTGATAACCTCGAAATGTTAAACAGATGTAACAAAGCAATGTCAGAAAACAACACCTAGATGGCACCCACCTTGTCATAGTTATGTAGAGACTCCAGGAACTTCATGTCACCCAGGACTTTCTTGGATGGCCCCCAGTAGTCCTCAATCTTCTTACCAGTCCCGGCAGGGTCCGGGATCCTGTCTGGCTTGACCCCCTTCAGGACGCAGATGGTCTCCATGACCAGACGGACGCCATAGGGTGGACTCTTCATACTCTTCACAACTGTGATGTCCTGTAATGGACACAGTAACCTTTGGTCACATTTGATCATAATCATAATGATTACCATTTCTTATCTTATTTTCTTAGCAATGACAACTATTTTACTTATTTCACTGTATTGACAACAGGCAACCACAATGCTAATAGTAAGAAGGAGTGTTTGCTTTACATGTAATACACCCCTGCGCCCTTCAACTATGCCTCTAGTCAACGAAATAATACAGTTACACTTCAAGTTGAATGACATCACTTTCTGTTTAATACAGATGCAAAATGCAGTACAATTTTGATACAGAACATCCTATATGCTACAGTTGTAACCCTCTCCTGTGTAACATCATTTCTGGTTTGGAAAACTGCAGTGCAACTTAAAAAACAGAAAGTCCTGTACTTATAGCTACTTTGATAACATTTTGAGCACATCCAGTTTAACAACACACTTCTGGTTTTGGGAAACATCCCCAGTGCAGTACAAGTTTGAAACAGGAGATTATCCAACATATAAACCAAATGTCATGTCTCTTGTGGTGAAATTCAACATTAAAACAAAAACGATTTAGCACATGTTACACATTGAAAGCAGGTCACTGTGACCTACTACTGGTATCATTAGATTGTCATCAATTGTCATACATGTATGCATAACATGCTAAATGCATAAGACTGCATAAATATCTGCACAGAAAGGCATGGTAGTGGCTGTGTCTTTTGCCTTCCACGCAGGTCACTCACAACCTTTTCCGATCTGGGTCACGCCCAAATAATGACATGTAAATACCTCTTGAGTTGCTGTCAAAACAAACTTTTCCTTAAGCTATGACCTTGAGAATGACCTTGACCAATAAAATGACTGGTCAGTGTGTCAAAATCTTCCCAGGTCTGTGAAGGAGAGATGCATGTTATGATATTCCTGGGATGTCCAAGCAGAACAGTGTTTCAAAACCAAATTGCAGTGGTGGCAGTCAAATTCACACAAAACCTAAAAGATTCCTCATTTAAATTGGGCTGCTTAATAAATCTCATTATGCAAAGACTCCATTAAATGGTGCAGTATCTCCAAAGCGTATATCTGTGTGGTCGGCAGGAAGCACTTACCTGGTTTGTGAGGGTGTCGAGGGCAGAAAGTGCAGCATTCAGGGCTGGGATTGCCTCGGCAAGTTCATGGTCACATTCATCCTTGATGGACTGGGCAGCCTTGGCCTGCTCGTTGGCTACTGCTTCATCTGCTTTCACAACCTAGATGGGACATATAGACCTCAATACATCACCCAGCTTTCACAACCTAGATGGGACATATAGACCTCAATACATCACCCAGCTTTCACAACCTAGATGGGACATATAGACCTCAATACATCACCCAGCTTTCACAACCTAGATGGGACATATAGACCTCAATACATCACCCAGCTTTCACAACCTAGATGGGACAAACCTCAATACATCACCCAGCTTTCACAACCTAGATGGGATATATAGACCTCAATACATCACCAGCTTTCACAACCTAGATGTGACATATAGACCTCAATACATCACCCAGCTTTCACAACCTAGATGGGACATATAGACCTCAATACATCACCCAGCTTTCACAACCTAGATGGGACATATAGACCTCAATACATCACCCAGCTTTCACAACCTAGATGTGACATTTAGACCTCAATACATCACCCAGCTTTCACAACCTAGATGGGACATATAGACCTCAATACATCACCAGCTTTCACAACCTAGATGGGACATATAGACCTCAATACATCACCCAGCTTTCACAACCTAGATGGGACATATAGACCTCAATACATCACCCAGCTTTCACAACCTAGATGGGACATATAGACCTCAATACATCACCCAGCTTTCACAACCTAGATGGGACATATAGACCTCAATACATCACCCAGCTTTCACAACCTAGATGGGACTTATAGACCTCAATACATCACCCAGCTTTCACAACCTAGATGGGACAAACCTCAATACATCACCCAGCTTTCACAACCTAGATGTGACATATAGACCTCAATACATCACCCAGCTTTCACAACCTAGATGGGACATATAGACCTCAATACATCACCCAGCTTTCACAACCTAGATGGGACATATAGACCTCAATACATCACCCAGCTTTCACAACCAACAAACCACTATTTCCCCTTTCAATAATTACAAACCATTATTTCCCCTGTCAGTGATTACAAACCATTATTTCCCCTTTCAGTGATTACAAACCATTATTTCCCCTTTCAGTGATTACAAACCACTATTTTCCCTTTGAATGATAACAGATTATGATTTCTCTTATCACTGACTGTAGATGAATTAAAATGTTCTTGTTCTGTGATTTAATGCCATGAATTTTCCAACTGAATCATTCAAAAAAATCTCATTTTCCTATTCACTGTTTACAGATTATGAAATCCTTATTCTAATGATTACAGACAATGAACAAAATATACATTCTAAGTCTAGAATAACTATATTGTTTTTACATCATCTTCAACATTTCAAATATATTTCAAAAACTAATCAGACATCTAAAAGCTTGGACCCTAGCTACCTTTTCTACTTTAGCCACTTCAATGGAGTCTCTCTCAATGATGACCATTATCTCCGACACATCTTTGGTGGCCTCTATGAGCTGTGGCTGGAGGTCGGTCAGCTCCTTCTGCATCACTGCGACCTGGGAGGAGGCTGAGTCCAGCTTCTCAAGACCCGTCTCATACCGATTCTTGGCATTCATCACCTCCCTGCAAACAGACAGGGAGCAGATGTTTATCCAGTTGTTTTGTCAACAGTTTGGAAAGATATTGCTTATGATGTATTTTTTAGAATAGAAATATCACAGAAAAAACAGCTCACCAGAACACACCTCTGAGTCGTGACTAAGTCGGTAGACTATTCTCTCTCTCTCATTCTCCTACTTACGGTTGAAACACGTTTGAGGTGGAAGAGGGGATGGCTGGGTGGGCGCTTTGGCATATCCCAGGGTTCACCATAGGAATTTTCTGACATGGGCATTTCATGTGAAAATTTCAAATATTGCAGAGGTATGCCCTTTTAGCACAATGTTAAAATGCTCCATTGTATTTGAAAATGTGGGCCTTTTTTCAAATTTAGGGGTTAAAAGCACAAGGCCCCACCCTAGAATTATCCATGTATATGATTCAGGATAAGTATAAATGATATTTTTATTCTAAAAAATACATATTTTACCTTATCCTGACTCATACATATTTCTTGAATCCCACAGAAGGTGGTAGGCTCCACCAATTGTGTGATTCAGACTGTGAGCTGTTCATATAAACCCTGTAGGACTGTTTTTCTTCTTAGTTCATCTTATATCCTTGTGGGGTTATGAATTTTCAACATTCAAACAATGAATCTTCTGAAGCTGTAAAACCTCACAAATCCTGTTACTCCTCACCGCAGTTCACTCATTCCAGTCTCAGGGCCTAATCTGGGGCTGTTTGGTTTACCAATTTTTGACTAATCCTTTAGGCTGGGCATTTTGCAAAATTGTTATGAAAATTTTTGGAGTCCAATATTTATTTGTATCAGTCAGCTAAGTGGGGAAAAATATAGGCCAAATCCATTCTAGTGCATGATGGTTACCATATTGACAGTAACAGAAGGCTTTCTAATCAGTTTGTTCTCTCAATTTAAGCCAGATAAAATACTAAAAATGCATTTGATTCAATACTGTTAAAAAAGTCATATTTTATATATTTTTTAATATATTTTAATTCAGTATCTTTTAATTTTTCTGATAAATAAAAAATAGAGCAATCATGCATATAAAAATATATTTATACTTTGAATTATATTTTCACATTCTGGCTTGAATCCAGACAGTCAAATCCATTAAAGAAAACAAAGAAAGTGTCTCCTAAAATTACCCTCTCTTCTTCTCAAGGAGATTCTTAAAGGTGTTTATGAGCTCAAGGTAGGAGGTGGGTGTGACGTAGTTGTGTCTCTCCAGCTCCAGAAGGAATCTCTCCGACAGGTCCCGGGTTGATGTGTGGAACTGCTTGCACATGTTGATGCAGCCCACCCGCTCTTCCTCCACAATCTCGATCTCCTCCAGGAAGCGAGTCGCCACAGCCTGCAGGGCATCCTCGGGCCAGGACTGGGGAGACACACATCAATATAGAGGATGGTAATATTTCAGATAGTCAACGGGCGACTGAATGTTGTTTAATGCCAGCTTTTGGCCTGTTATGATAAAGTCCAGGCAAATCAGTGACTGACAGCATGAGAAATCCATGCAGTCAGCCAAGTCACAGAGCCTGAACACCCAATCCATTAACTTTGACTCCAACAACCAATTCTATCCTCAAATCCAAACAATATAAGGGTAACTCTATTTTTCAGGGCATTATCATTTGCAGAAGCCAGAGGTCTTCCATTAACTGCCCGACGAAGGAGGGCAGTTGAAAAGACTGAGGGCTTCTGCAATGATAATGCCATGAAAAATAGTGTTACCGTTATTATAGTTAAAATGGATGGAATTTTGTATCAAATAAAAAGAAACAACAATATCGGTTTTGAAACATTTACTGCAATCAACACAAATGTCACTGACCCACTTTTACAAATATGGAAACGTCATAGAACAAACCAGATGACGTCACTATATAGTGAACGTGACGTCACCTATGCCTACCCTATGATGTCACCTAACAACGGGCGTGATAATGGCCCGTCGTCAAGCCATATGAGGGCATTATCAAGTTACAGTGGCCCGCTGATTCTTGATAACATGCGGGCGGTTTACTGATAATTCTATCCAATTTAGCTATAATATCTGATAGCAATATGTGTAATGTGTGTTTAAAATGTGTCAGTAGTGAGTGGATATGCAGGCCTATATTCATTGTGACTTTACTTTGAAATCTTCGCTCGGGGCCCTACACTTATGGCGGCCATATTGCTCTCTGATACAGGATGTCTAACATATAACCAAACAAGTCCTTTCACCTTGTGAAATTGTCTGAGGTAAAGAAATTCTAGATTAACGAATCATTGTTACTGAAAAAACATGTTTGTAGATGTAAGATGTCCCTTAGACAAATCGGCCAGAAAAGGGGTTTTCAGACAACCAGGGTCTGGTTTAACAGGGTTATGTCCCTTCCTACTGGCCATCAATCTCACCTGGAACCAGTCAATGGTGCAGCAGTTGACGAGTGAGGGGAACTTTCGGAGGCGGTTTCGGAAGGCGTCGCCGATGGGACTCATGGCCAGGACGACATGGAGTTGGTCTCGCACTCTCTGGATGAAGAAGTTGAACAAGGCCACTGGAGACCCATCTGTCTGCTTGGACTTGTCCCTCTGCCTATGAATACATACATACATACAGGAGTGAGTGTGAGTGAGTAGTTGGAGTTGGGTGAATCAGGCTAATGCTGCACTCAGCAATATTCCAGCTATTTGACAACGGCCTGTAAACCAGACAGTCTGGACCAGTCTGATGTCAGTGTCTGATGACATGTCATCAACCAAATCACTGAGCCAGACTTAAATAATTCTTGAAACATCAAGTCATAACGCAATCACAGGCTGCTGGGGATTTCCAAGGCACCTGTTAAAGCTGCAGTAAGCAATATTCCAGCTATATCACGTCAGCCAGACATTCAGTGGTATGAGCAATGGTCAACATCAACGTGCATGATGACACAGAATCAGCCAAGTCACCTCACCACCCTATCCTAAATAATCAGCTCTTGCAACAAGCATCGGCGACTTGGAATCTAATCTTCTTTGGAATTCCAACAGCGTCAAATTAGCAACAACCATCTTACCTATCACATGAAGCTGTCAAATGTACAATGATCTCACGTATCATATGAAGCTGTCAAATGTACAATGATCTCACCTATCATATGAAGCTGTCAAATGTACAATGATCTCACCTATCATAGGAAACTGTCAAATGAACCTGCCAAATGAACAGTGATCTCACCTATCATATGAACCTGCCAAATGCACAATGATCTCACCTATCATTGGAAGCTGTCAAATGTACAATGATCTCACCTATCATTGGAAGCTGTCAAATGCACAATGATCTCACCTATCATAGGATGCTGTCAAATGTACAATGATCTCACCTATCATAGGATGCTGTCAAATGTACAATGATCTCACCTATCATTGGAAGCTGTCAAATGCACAATGATCTCACCTATCATAGGATGCTGTCAAATGTACAATGATCTCACCTATCATAGGATGCTGTCAAATGTACAATGATCTCACCTATCATAGGATGCTGTCAAATGTACAATGATCTCACCTATCATAGGGAGCTGTCAAATGTACAATGATATCACCTATCATATGAAGCTGTCAAATGCACAATGATCTAAACCTATCATATGAACCTGCCAAATGAACAGTGATCTCACCTATCATATGAACCTGCCAAATGAACAGTGATCTCACCTATCATATGAACCTGCCAAATGCACAATGATCTCACCTATCATAGGGAGCTGTCAAATGTACAATGATCTCACCTATCATAGGAACCTGCCAAATGTACAATGACCTCACCTATCAATCTGTCGCATCTTCTCACAGATCTCTTGCTTCTCATCTATGGGGTAAAGGTTGGGGACTTCGCCCGCATTCAGTAAGTTGTTGATGTCCTCAAGGAATGATTCTTGTTTGATCTGCAACATTTACACACACACACACACATGACGCTGTGACTGTGACACAGAGGTACATAAACAATGAACACATCGCCAACTGGGATGTTACGCAGTATCACGTTTTACTGTAGAAGTTCACAAACCCGAAACAAATTTTACTGGTCTTGATAACACAAGCTATACCTGTCTGTGCCCAAAACCTTTGATTCTACTAGACCAAACGTGTGTCTCACATCAGACCAAACATGACTCTTACATCAGGCCAACATGACTCTCACATCAGGCCAAACATGACTCTTACATCAGGCCAAACATGACTCTCACATCAGGCCAAACATGACTCTTACATCAGGCCAAACATGGCCCTTACATCAGGCCAACATGACTCTCACATCAGGCCAAACATGACCCTTACATCAGGCCAAACATGACCCTTACATCAGGCCAAACATGACTCTTACATCAGGCCAAACATGACTCTTACATCAGGCCAAACATGACTCTCACATCAGGCCAAACATGGCCCTTACATCAGGCAAAACATGACTCTCACATGGCCTTTTACATCAGGCCAAGTATGGCCTTTACATCAGGCCAAACATGACTCTCACATCAGGCCAAACATGACTCTCACATCAGGCCAAACATGGCCCTTACATCTGGCCTAACATGGCCCTTAGATCAGGCCAAACATGACTCTCACATCAGGCCAAACATGGCCCTTACATCCGGCCAAAGATGACTCTCACATCAGGCCAAACATGGCCCTTACATCAGGCCAAACATGGCCCTTACATCAGGCCAAACATAGCCCTTACATCAGGCCAAACATGGCCCTTACATCAGGCCAAACATGACTCTCACATTAGGCCAAACATGACTCTTACATCAGGCCAAACATGGCCCTTAGCATCACGTTCAGGAGATTATTTTGTCATATGGACTACTTTAGAGTCTGTAATCTGAGCCCCTAGTCCTAACCCTAAGTCTAGTAACATTCAGTTCGGCCTAGTAAGCTCATCTAATAACAGTACAATAACTGATGCTCAGAGCCAAGTTCAGACTTGTAGACTCAAACATTTTTGGCACAAGCTGCCATTGTTAGCAGACCTTATACTAGATCAAGCAGAATTTTACTAGATTCACGTTTCAGACTAGCGGCTAAAAAGGCTGACTGCAATCTAGCTGTCTGTACTGAGTGTAAATTCTAACCCACCTGTGTATCTGAGAACAGGAAGACAGCATGGTTATCAGTCTCAGTAGCTTTCCTCAGGATCCGCTTCAAATCTTCCCTCCACTCTGTAGACGTGTAGCTCTTTGTGATCTCAACCTGCACATAGAGAAATCTGGTGTTACATGCAGCATCCACTGAGTTCGACTGTCACAGAACTTATTTCAGCAAGTCAAAATCCTTTACAGCAAATTTCAGCCATTAATTGCTGCTTTTATTAAAACTTCATTTAATTGTTTCATAACAATTTCCATTTGCACCAACTGGTGCCCAGAATATCAACTAAATGGGTAACATGTCACAAATTTAATTCTTTCTTAAAGGTTATTGTTAGTCTCTTATTAATTAAGACAATCGTAATTTGTCCTTGGAACTTTACATATCAACATCTTCTGTACTATTTTAAACACTTTTTCTGTAAATCTTAAAAAGGTCAGAGTGTTGCCTGAAAATGAAGCATGAATATGAAGGGTAATTTCAACATGACAAATAACATGCATTCACTCCCAAATAGTGAACAATATCCCACAGCATGCACACAACACCCACACTCTTCTCACCATTTGCAATATAATATAGCTATCAATATCCACGCAACAATTACCCATGGATCGAAGAAACTGCATGCATTATGGTTAGCGTAAGCTTTCATCAATATAAACCATTAAACTTCTTCAAGGGGATGTATGCAATGACATATTCACTAAAGATCCTAAAAACCTAGAAAGTATGGGTGAAACGATACAGCAAGGTAACAATACGATACGAATCACGATACACATGTCACAATACGATCCGTATCACGATACACATGTCCTGATACGATACATATCTCTATATGCATATTTACGTCAAATCACTTTTCTTTTCTAAAAACATTTGAGAGCAGGTTTCAAAGCTAGCTGTAGACACATGTTCACAGTGTCTACTTTTAGTTGTAAATTAGAAAAGATAATTACAACACATTTTGTAATATGTGACTGACAAAAATGCTGAGATGGGGTGGGGATCATCAAACGAGCAGTAAGTAATTTATTTTAACAAGTGTATCGTCTTGTATCGATACGAAAATAGCGTATCGTGTATCGTATTGTCGCATGAAAGTTCAGGATGCACCGCTGCATCGTTTCAGCCCTACTAGAAACAGGTATTAATTCAAGACATTTCAGGTGACTGTGCCTTCATGCTTGGATGCACCTCTGTGAAATATACATGCACAATGTGGAAATACATCACTTGACATGCGTCACTAATAACATCACTAATACACACACCATGGTGAAATAAATCTCAATGCAGTTCAGGAACATTATCAATCATTCGAACAATATCCATCTTGGGAAATAAGGAAATACTATAATGTGATTGGTTTATGTCATTGATCATGAACCAATCAGTTGAAAGGCACATTACATTATTTGAAGTTAAAACCTTTGGTAACACCCTTTTTCCTAAACACCTCCCCAGTGAATTTTGAATTCTAAACATTAGATAAAAGCAAGGTGTCCAGGACTTAACATTAACTTCGAGGAGATTGCAATAATATGAATTACTAATGACAAAGAACTCTTGCATTTACACTATGTAAATATTTTTTATCTGTAGTAGCTTACTCGGCTAAAATATGTACAAAAATATTTTGAAATAACACTTTAGGAGTAAATAATTGTTATATCATCAGATTAGGTATCAATGTTCTCCTTCAGGTGTTGTTTTAACATTAAATATGTGAAGATGGAAGAGTGTAAGTATCAGAGATAAAACGTTTTAAAGATAACAAATATGTACATCAATTTGAATGAAAAAACATTCATTATTGTCCACAAAATATTTCTCACTAGGAACCAAAAAAAATTCAAAGCTAGGAAAGGCAATTTCAGTGTCTCATTTTAATTACTAACAAACATGAGTTAAATTCTAATCTCTGGAGCATCTAGGAATGAATCAAGACTCATCTAACCGAAGTGACATTCCAAATCATGATAGTGCCATTCTCATTCACTTTCATTTCATAAGCAGAAAATACATATATTAATAACAAGAAACTTAAAATTCATTTGAAACATACAAGAATAAATAATATTACAGTATTTTGAGAAAAAATACAAATCTTAAACATGATAAACAATTGGGGGAATATATTTTTGTATCAAATTAACCTGATACATAGACTTCCTTTACAGTGAAATATGACAACAGCTAAAGCTGTAGCAGGTTCATTGGTTTTGAAACAGACATGCAAGACTGGTTTACTTCAGCTCACAGCAGTTGACAGACAAATCTGTGTAACACTGTTACAGACGAGCTATGTCTGTGCCACAGAATACAGACATGTGACTGACGCCCACTCTGTCTGTGCAACAATACCAAAGTCAAAAAATTGTATCAACCATCTATGTCTCAAGGTCAGAAATGATTACATGGTATTTCTCAAACAAGATCAACAAAAACATCGGCGGTAATTAAGGCTTAAGTCTCATCGATTTTTTCTTTATATATTACTCAAAAGAAGTTAAAGAACAGCTGTTTTTTGTCATGATAAGAGTTAATGTGTCATGTCATGACAGGTTTCCTTCAACTTCTTTTGAGCAGTATATGATAAAATGTGTTGTTGGTGTCATCAAACTGCTGTGTATATTGACACACTTACAGAAACATCCTTCTTGTAGATCAATGTCACCAGGTAATGTAGATAGTTTCAGCATGCACCATTCAAGAAACTGGTTCATTAATTTTGATATTTGGTATTAATTCCAACTTGAAGCCAGTATCGTAATTTCTCCGGTGTGACAACCATTTCTCTCTTCAGTATATGTGCCCCAAATCAGTGAAAACAGGGGTACGATTTGACAAAGAACCATATGACACCAAGAAAGATTATTTCTTCTTATGTAGTTTATAAATGGAGTTACATGTCCTTGTTCCACAACCACAGTGTTTCAGAATATGCCTATATTACATTTTTAGATTGAAATCAATTTTTTCCCCGGTAATTCAAAAACTAGAATTGCAAAAATGTAAATATTCACATGATCTCTTTTTGTTTTTTTCATTATTCTTGCAGTTTTAATTCAAGAAGGAAAGTCATTGGAGCATTTAGTTTTTCACATACCATGGCATATTTAACACTATGTATTTAAATGTGATAAATTTCACAGAAAAGACTAAACATATTTTAATGTAATCATTTCTGACCCATTTATGATGTGAATGTGAAAAGTACAATATTCCAGTCACGTGACCTATGACCTCTGTGACCTGCGTCACATGACCCACCTTGCTGCCAGGCGCCTTTGTCTGTTGTACAGGAACCATGTCAAGCTCGAAGGAATATAAACTCAATCTACCGTATCTTGTGGCACAAATGCATGATAGAAAACAAATGAAATACCACACTCTCTTGATGAGTACACTGTTCCAACCAGTGACTGTCTTCCCAAAACAGTAATTTCATTTTTCAAATAATTAAATCAAGATATGTGCCTTTTCATAAAATACAGCCAAGTGCACATGTAGATATACAGCTTTGAATAGTAGAGGAAACAACATGTGATCTGAAGTGTTTGTCAAAGAGAGTGTGGTATATGTGGGTTCCAATCAGAAGTGACAAAACTACTGTTTTCGTAGTTCACCAAACTGACTAACAAGGATGCCAATAGATCTCCAAACTGTACTCATCATACTTAAACATGGGATGAATATCAGGCAGGAGTGTTTTTGTAACAGTTACCATGGTTACTGTGAGCATACAGAGGGCTCTTGGTGCTATATAATTTTACTTTGATTCAGGCAGACAATTATTTCTGAAAGGACAAATCAATGTTTCTTCTATTTCATGACACTGCTGAAGCATGTAACCAATGATGTTTGACAACACTGCCAAATTTGTTTCAGTTTTGTTATTAATTCTGCTTCTACATGGGACCACAGTGGTAGATGATCATGTGAGGCACAGAAGTAGAATGTTGAGGCTTGTTGTTATGAGGCTTGTCATTATTGGCTAAAATTTGAATAATATGCAACTGTAATCTCCAAACTTGTACTAGTCCGAAAACAAAGTTTTAAGCTTCTTCAAAATGTAGGCCTGAGGTTATAAGGCACCTATGACTGTACAAATACTACACAGCCTGTCATATAGTATGGACTTGAGAGTTGGGAGTTTGGCCTGTTGGGGAAGATGTTTGGGTGTGGTTTATTTTGCTGTGGGTTGTTGGTTGTGGGTTGTGAGGGATGGGTGTGGGGCGGGGTGGAGAGGAGAAGTATGAGGTGGAACAGAGGTAGGGGTAGGGTGTGGGTCACTAGGGTGGTGTTGTTGTGTTAGGGTGGGGGTAGGGTTGTAGGTGGTTGTAGGGTGGGTGTGGGTTGGGGTGGCTGTAGGGAGAGTGTGGGTTTAGGTGGGGTGTGGGTGGTTGTAGAGTGGGTGTGGGTGAGGGTATGGGTGTGGGTGTGGGTGTGGGTGTGGGTGTGGGTGTGGGTGTGGGTGTGGGTGTGGGTGTGGGTGTGGTGATTTGGGTAGGATTAGAGTGTTTATGTTTAAGATGGGGGTCAGGTGTCGGGATAGGGGATGGGTGTGGTGGGTTTTGGGTGTAGGGGTTAGAGATGGGGGAGGCACGGAAGGGTCAGCAAACTCCGGACTAGATCGAGAGGAAGGTGATGAAAAGAATACATAATTTGGGGGAGAATGGAGAGTATTTCAGTCAAATGAAAATCTTCAACCCATTACCCATGAAAAATAAATTATCCCAAATTATCCTGTTTTTCCCAATGAAAAGGTGGAAAGTTCTTCATCAATTTTTTTTGTTCTTCATCAAGTTTTGTCCATACTAACATCACAAACATTTGTATCAGAATGTAATGTCAAAATGTGTTGCTACGGTTCTACTTGGATGAACAATTGAAAGTCAACCCTTGTCAACATTCGACTTCTGTTGGTAATGGAATACAGTACAGGTTCTACTTCAGCATCCCCATCTTTACATGAATCCCCATTTTTGCATGAATCCCCATCTTGACACGATCCCCATCTTTCATGAATCTCCATCTTTATAGGAATCCCCACCTTGACATGAATCCCCACCTTTTCATGAATCACCATCTTGACACGAATCTCATATTTACAGGAATCCCCATCTTGACATGATTCCCATCTTTACAGGAATCCCCATTTTGACACGAATCCTGATTTTTACATGAATCCCCACCTTTATATGATTCCAATCTTCACACAAATCCCCACCTTTACAGGAATCCCCACCTTTACATGAAACCCCATCTTGACATGAAACCGCATCTTGACATGAATCCCCACCTTTAAATGAATCCCCATCTTTATATGAATCCCCATCTTCACAGGAATCCCCACCTTTACAGGAATCCCCACCTTTACATGAAACCGCATCTTGACATGAATCCCCACTTTAACATGAAACCTCATCTTGACATGAATCCCAACCATTAAATGAATCCCCATCTTTACATAAATCCCCACCTTTACATGAATCCCCACCTTTACATGAATCCCCATCTTGACATGAATCCCCACCTTTACATGAATCCCCATCTTGACATGAATCCCCATCTTCACACGAATCCCCACCTTTACATGAATCCCCACCTTTACATGAAACCGCATCTTGACATGAATCCCAACCATTAAATGAATCCCCATCTTTACATGAATCCCCACCTTTACATGAATCTCCATCTTTACATGAATCTCCATCTTTACATGAATCTCCATCTTTACATGAATCTCCATCTTTACATGAATCTCCATCTTTACATGAATCCCCATCTTTATATGAATCCCCATCTTTACATGAATCCCCACCTTTACATGAATCTCCATCTTTACATGAATCTCCATCTTTACATGAATCTCCATCTTTACATGAATCCCCACCTTTACATGAATCTCCATCTTTACATGAATCCCCACCTTTACATGAATCCCCACCTTTACATGAATCCCCATCTTTACATGAATCCCCATCTTTACATGAATCCCCATCTTTATATGAATCCCCATCTTTACATGAATCCCCACCTTTACATGAATCTCCATCTTTACATGAATCTCCATCTTTACATGAATCTCCATCTTTACATGAATCTCCATCTTTACATGAATCCCCATCTTTACATGAATCCCCACCTTTATATGAATCCCCATCTTTACATGAATCCCCACCTTTATATGAATCCCCATCTTTACATGAATCCTCATCTTTATATGAATCCCCATCTTTACATAATCCCAAACTTTATATTATTCCCAATCTTTACATGAATTGGAAAACTATATTGAATTTTTTTTGTTCATTGTTGCGGTTTGAATTTGGTATGTGCTATAAGAAAATGAAAGTAGAACTTGTACATATTCCTCACAAAATAACAATAATAATTTCAACATTAATGATTATATGAAGATAAGTCACTTATGGTATAAAAAGTAACGAATCAAGCAATCGCAACGCTTTACACGAATGATAGAAAACACTCGCAAGCGCATTCACTTCTTACAAAGTTTGCATTTAAGTAAAATGTTGATCATTTCTCTTCTTAACTATCAAAGAGTTAAATAGGTCATAATAATACACTGCTTGGTTGTAAGTAAAAGAGTACTTAGGATGTTGGAGTGAATTATCCTTTTAAATTTAGTTTAAATAATCTTAATGATAAAATAATAAACACTCCAGAAACCTAAAAATAATAAGTGATGAATAAAAGTTTCTTTACTGTGAAATTCGAAAAAAATCATTAGACTTTGTGTTAATGCATAAATGAAACCTTTGTATGTGGATAAGTGCAAAAGAATTATTTACACAATTTTCTGTTTCAAACGAAATTGCATTCCATTTATTACTGTTTAAACCTTCCACTCTAAAATCGTAAATTATTGAAAAAATACCAGAATAAAACTTTCAAGTGCAGGAATTTGGTCTATCATGCAGTTTACGTTCTTTAAGAAAAATCTTAACAAAACCTCCTAGAATGTTTTTTGGTATCAAGGATTACTTTTCAAAATTAAAATATTCATTCAATACTAAAACAAATCTGTTTCTAAAATAAACAGGTTTCAGGAGCGCGCACAATCAGAAAAACTGTGCCAAGAGCAGATAACTCTGATGCATTGTGGTATAAGAGCGAAAATCTACCTGCGCAGCCAAAATACCTACCTGAGACGTGCAAAACAATAAAGTTGATAGCATATTACAAAATAATAAGAGCACACAGCCATAAACAAAGGACTGCAGCAACAACTAGCTTGGACTTAGTTACACCATTTATCAGTCACTGCATATACTGCTCATGGATGTCAATATTCTAACTTGTGTTACTGATGGGATGAAAATCATGGCTACTGAAAGAAATATCAGGCAAAGTGACACAAATGACACTTTAATGGAAAGTAACCAGCTGATATTGTTGAGACTACCAGTACTAGACTGTCTACTGTACACCAATACATCCAGGCCTAATATGGACATCTAGTATGCATGCTTATATCAGTCCCTGAAGGATTCCATGGACAAATTCATTTCCGTCCCACATCCTGCAGATTGCATCCCACTAGTTTGTGTTTCCACTCAAAATAAGAAAAGTCATTTTTCTTTTGCAGACCAACAATTTGTTTGTAAATCCGGCACGAATACAGAAATGATAATCTTTCAGGATAAAATGGCATTACATATTGTAACTTATTCTAATCGTACTGAAAACATACAACACTGAACCCAAAATAGTATAATTCTCGATCTTATCCACTTTTTTTCTCAAACGTTCATCTTTTATTACTATGATACAACTGCTTGTTTATACTGTTGAATGATTCCACCATAGAAACCTCTGTCATGTCTATCTGAAAGTTGTTCTGGTACACTGGTATTGGTCACACAGAATAAAGAAATTCTGCATTTCTTCAGCAAACAAATGTCCTTCTGCGGACAAGTGGAATTCCTGCATTTCTTTTCTGGGACCATGAAATAGTGTCATCTTTCATGGACTGATATATAACATTCCAATATATATACATATGATACACCTACATATATAGTATCTCTAAGCATGGCTTTGTGATGTGGTATACAATGATCCCATACATATATATATATATGTGTTATATATATGTATATGATAATTGTTGACTGGGAACTATTCAAAATTTATTGAGAATTATCTCCCTTTGTGTTGGACAATATGAAAGCAGCACACAAATTTTGGTCAACAGGTATTTGACTCTTTATATTCATGACTTTCAAGAAAATTAGAAACCACTATCTAAACATCCTATTAAAGCTTTTAATATTGTCAATGCATGAAGGGGAGATAACTCAAGCCACACCAAAACTTTTACACTTTTCTCCCGAGAAAACAAGTACTTGCCTGGTGTAAATCGTAGTCGGCCATGTGAGCAGCAAGTCTTGTAAGAGACTGACGACCGGAACCACCCACACCTACCAACAGGGCGTGGCTTCTGGGTTGTTTGATTACACGAGCAATACGTGATACATGCTCAATGGCAAATCTGAAAATAATGTTTGAAACATGTAAATACCAAGACAAAAGTTATTCGTCCATTGAGAAAATAATTAGAATTATATATATTTGCTGCAGTAAACATACACCCAGGGGAGAACACTGTCTTAACATTCATGGTTATTGTGCACTGACTCATGAGAACCATTAACACACTCAAATCTTAAAACATATTGTGCATCTATTTCACAGGAACAATAAAATGACGTGAGGCAGGGATGAAAATCTAATAATTCATTTAGTATGACCTTGTCAAGAGATAAAGAATATTGTTTAAACAGATAGTATTTTACACTTGAATTCATTTCACAATAATTTATGATTGTTGTTGTTTAACGCCTCACTCAGCAATATTCCAGCTATATGACGGCGGTCTGTAAATAATCGAGTCTGGACCAGACAATCCAGTGATTAATATCATGAGCATCGATCCAAGCAATTGGGATTGATGAGATGCATCAAGCAAGTCAGCGAGCCTGACCACCTGATCCCTTTAGTCGCCTCTTACGACAAGCATAGTCACCTTTCAATAATTTATGAACATGACAAAGTCTTTTATATTTACTGAAAGCGGATGTAAACAAGGAAACCTACCTAAACAGTACAAGATTCATGGGTTTTTTACTGAGGTTGTTGAACTCTTCCAGGTAGCCCTCTACCACGTGACGCAGCTGTTCCAAGTCTCGCACTTCAACATAATCCTTCTTGTCTGATTTAGGATCAGCAAAGTCACAATATATTAAACTACGGATGTCATCTTCAGTGACCTTGCCATCACTATCTGAATCAAGATGTATAAATAGCTGGTCGAAGTCTTCTCGCATCTTCTGCTTGATGACTTCGCGAGTGTAATTAAACAGCCAATCCCGATCTCCATCATCGACGAGACGATCATAGTAAACTCTGTACACCTAGAATACAAGCAGTTCAGTGTGAATGTGGTTAAAACAAAAGGGAATATATAATTAGATTCACATTCTCTTCCCTCGAACAAAATTCTAGCACTACAGTTTAATAAGGTCACTTTGTCAGACTTCTTTAGTAACAGTAAGATCTGTAACTAGACAGCATGGCCCTGTTTCACAACACAATCCATGTACTAGAAAGATCTAGTACTAGTAGAAAGTATGAGGAACTCCCATACTTTCACACAGATTTACAATAGTTGTAGCGCTAAGATTCTTTTGTAACAGGGCCCAAGCAAAGAAACAACAAAACATTCTATTTTGTACTCATTCACAACAACTTTTGCATGAGGCAGTTAACTAATTCTCTAAAACAGTGGCTCAGACAAAAGGTTTGAGAGTAAAATTAATATCACAATAAGTTTTGGCATCTGATTGGCAATCATTTAGGGTTGGTGGAACCTGCATACCAAGAAAGACAAAACACCTGACAAGGAAAAATTAATCGTGAAGTGCTTAAGCAAGAGTACTCAATGTTTTTTGGCCGTTATCTACAAAACAACATTAACTGGAGTTACGATAACTGCTGAGGACAAGTCTATGTCATATACAATATAATGTTGATTTGATGTGAACAAGCTGTCGACATAAGCACACCAAATTGTCAGTATGCTACATGTATCTTTACGACAAGGAATCCCTTACCTCATGCACCCACAGCCTCTTCATGGACGCAGGTTCCTCCATGGTGTCGGGCGTAGACAGCAGGATGCCCTGGACGACGCGAGCGAAGTCCCGCAGGTTGAACAGATAGTGGGACTTGGCTGGAGTAGGCAGGAGGTTGGTCATGGCTTCCCTGTACACCTGCAGCGTTGCACTCACGACCTGGTCCACGCATGGCTTGAATTCATTGCTGAACCCTCTGAAAGAAACATACACGATAATGTTAGTTGGAAAACTATATGAAACTGTCTTTCTCAACATTGCCCAAACAGTTAAGCCTCTAGTTTAGTAAAATATATCAGTGTTGCAAGCTTATAGCTAATGATCGACTAAACTCTACTTATAAAGATGGCAACTGACAGAGTCAATTTAACTGCTGGCCCATTGGCCCGTGGCCAGTTAAATTACAAAGGGCTTGCTGAAACATCTGGCCTGTCTAAATTTCACCCTTTCTACATGTGTATTTAATAGTCATAATTGGATCATCTCGGTAGAATGACAAGCAGCCGCCATTTTGTAATATTGTGCACAACAACTTCTTTATGTGCTCATTAATCGCCATGAAATGAGGCAAATGGAAGCTAAGATTTAATCTCAGATCCTGGGTCTCTGGAAGGATGAACCCAGGCTTTAAACACCAGGCTACTCCACCACCCCATCCATGGGGAAGAGCACTGACAAATGAACACTTCATGTGCTAGACTCCAGACTGCAGACAGTACCTGGCGGAGATGTGCCACTCCATGATGTTCCTGAAGATGGTGGTCATGCTGTCATCATCAAACTCGTTCATGGTCACAGTGTTGAGATGACGCAGGAATCGGGGAGTGATAGGATTACGTCCTCCTCCTGTCGATGTTCAAACAGATACATTCCAGTTTGCTAGTTCAGCCATACATTACTGTGAAATCAGGGTACAATGTTTCCCTTATTCAAAGAGTGACATCACTGGAGCTCCACAAAGTGATCGTTTCACAGAGCAACTTTCCACTATGACAGCCATACATATATCATCAAGTATTTGCAGTGCTAAGATTACAGGTGTACACAGACAGCAATGGTGAGTAATGCAATCTCAGGCCATGGCAAAACTGCATGACATAACTTGTCTACCTACCATGTGATATACTACAACCTTGTCACATCGAACATGTTTTACTGAATATATCGTGTAAGACAATGAAACAATAAGGTCATGCTAGAATGCCCATCAGAACGTTGGTCTCATGTCGACATTCCACACACTTCAAACTACGAATATCCCAATAAAGTTTCAACGGTTCCTGGACTTCAACTTAATTAGCTTTCACTATACTCTCTGTGCATTTCTGACAACCTGACAACTCATAACTAACTCTGCAATGCTCCCCAAAGATTAGACGATGATAGACCTGAACTGACCTGGCGGGCCCATGGCTCCCATGAACTGGATGTCCACCAGCTTGATGGGTACCACCTCCTTCAGGTCATACCAGTTCCAGTGGTCAAGCCACTGTCTGACCAGCTCTACTGGGGGCTGGGCTCCGTACGTCTCTCGCATCGGCATGTTCAGGTCATCCACGAAGGCAATCTGCAAACCACAGTACAACACACTATCACCACAGTACAATATACACCATCACCACAGTACAACACACTATCACCACAGTACAACACACTATCACCACAGTACAACACACTATCACCACAGTACAATACACCATCACCACAGTACAACACACTATCACCACAGTACAATACACCATCACCACAGTACAATACACCATCACCACAGTACAACACACTATCACTACAGTACAACACACTATCACTACAGTACAACACTTAAACAGTCAACCTGACCATATGGTGCGTCATGTCACTGGGACTATTCCAGTGTCAACTAACTAATCAATCAGTTTAAAAGATTAAAGTCAAACCATTTTTTTCTCACATTATGGACATCTTGGTCAATACATAATAGATAAATAACAACAAAAGAAGGTTTAATTAAAGTTTTGATTGTTTAAAGATTCTAGCAGGTCTTAGTTGTGGCAGGAGTCTGTGACTGCTGACTATATTTCATTTAGATCATGTATCTTTAACAGAGATGACTTCCAACAATTGACTTGAGACTCATGAAGAGAGTGAAACAAAGACATATTACACTGCAGTCAGCAATAGTCCAGGCATACCACTGAGGCCTGTTACAATCAAGTCTGTATCAGGGGGTACAATGAACAACAATCAGCCAAGTCACCAAACCGGACCATCCGATCCAATTTAGTCACCTCTTACTGCAAGCAATAAAATGTTGGATTCATTGTAACCCAGGTCTCAGGTTATTTGAATTTTGTGGAGTGAATACTGACAGCTATATCACAACAGCCTGTAAATCGTCAAATCTAGATCAGGTAACCTGTGGGGGACGGAAGAGTTCATACTTTGGTCAGAGCCCCTTTCCACAAAGTGATCGTGCTAAGTGAGTGAGTGAGTGAGTTTGGTTTTACGCTGCTTTTAGCAATATTCCAGCAATACCACGGCGGGGGACACCAGAAATGGGCTTCACACATTGTACCCATGTCGGGATTCGAACCCGGGTCTTCGGCGTGACGAGCGAAGATCGTGCTAAGACTGGCGTGAGTCTTAAAACTGACAGCAGTCCATGTTGAAGTATGGGACTTATGATCACCTTAGCGCTAAAACTGGTGTCAATCTAAGTTGAAGGTATGGGAGTTAATAATCACCATAGCGTTAAGGTTGCTTTGTAAAACAAGGCCCATATCAGTTTCCTGCTTCTTTATAAAAGACGCAGGATGAAAAAAAAAACTGTGCTGAGTGCCAAACATCATCTACGGTCCACTCACAGCCTTCTTGCCAAGTGGTGGTCCGTAGACCCCCTTCCTCCTCCTGTCCAGTTTGGACATGATGATGTTCTGGGTCTGGTTGGCGCTGGTCTGGGCTGAGAAGTTGATGATGTTGGGCTTGAACACCTCCTTGTCCAGCTTGTTCAGGAGGAAGTCCTGACAACAAAGGCAACATGTTATCCCTGGCTCAGGATGCAAACACGGGTCAAACACGGGTCAAACACGGGTCAAATGGTCCTATTTGGATCATTCAAAATACAAGTCTTTTTCAACCAAATTTCTGCATGAAACTTGCACAGGATCCTGACTTTCATCATTTTTTAACAACTGTTTCAGGACCACTTCAGAACAAAAACTTCACTTTTTAGGCTGAGTTGGATTTCAGCCTGCTTTGTCATGTCAGCTTCCTGTGGCTTGAGAACCATACAGGTTCCACATGTTTGTGAAACGCAAGAGCTCAGTCATGGAGCTACCAAGGATCATAAATGAGGCAAATATAGTTCTAAACTCAAAACCTATCATCACTGAATCCTGACATGGTAAAGGGACGCAACTCTGTACAGTGAACTGAGGTGCCTCAGACAACTGTGTCCCCAAGCCCAACATATGGAAATATACAGTGAACCATGAGCTACTGTCGAGCTGTTAACGAAAAATGTTCAAAACTCCTTTGAAATTCAGCCAATTTTTTAACCTGATGATAATTTCCAAGAAATGGTCTATTTTCAAAGTTTCCTCTTTTTACTGACAGGGTGTCAGATTACAAAATGAAATGAATCATAGAGCTAATGAAGCAATCGTATGCAATTGCAAACATTTCTGTATTTACGACAAGGACTTTGAACACGTATTTGACACTATGTGTGGTGTACTCACGATGATGTAGCAGCTCTTCCCCGTGCCAGTGGGTCCAACGAAGAGGCACGGCTTGCTGTGCTGCACCAGCATGTTCATCAGATTGGTGTAACGGATGGTGTCAATGGTGGGCACAATGATCTCATTGAACACAGCATCTTTGGAGATGGGCGGGGCTTCCTTCATCTCCTCACTCCAGGGTACCCATTTGCCAGAACCCTAAACCATCATCATCATCATCATCATCATCATTCTGATGGATTTGCATATTACAGTTACATATATATATATATATATATATGATTGTCTTATATCTTTGAGCATCGAATACTCATTATTGACATCACAAAATTTCAACATGAAACCTCATTTATACTATAGCCTCAATTTTATTAATAACTGTAAATTTTACAATATTTTGCACACTTAATATTTATATGCTTATCCTTTTGCACAATATGCATTTCTTACTTCTTCGTTCGATGCTATATGGAAATGTGCTTGGTTCCACATAGGATCAAAAATAGAAGGAAGAAGTAAATAGTGTGAGAAAACTGGTTTAATAATACAGTCATGAGATCTCACAATAAATTTAGAATGGTCTGTTTTAAACAAAAAGATGCTTCTAATTTAAAACAAATGACAATATATCAAGGAATATTCCTAATTCTCTCATGACTGCGTGAACGGACAATCAATAAAATTAGATATAATCAATTTGGATTGAACATGCCTCTGATTTTATGACTGCTTCACTGCACACTTAGACGATATTCAATACATCAGTGAACATTCCTAAATGTCAAAAGACAGCTTCCTAATCTGAACGTACAGTCTTCACAGCATAAAGATGTCTTACCTCCTTCAAAAACTTGTAGTCATAGACTTTGCCCTTGGGAGGGAAGGGGTTGAGGTAAGGCTTCATGGGGGGCTCCACCAACTCCAACAGAGTCAGTGCAATCCTCGTCTCCTCCGTCATGCCACCCTGCAAACAATGCAGCATGTAACAGCTGGCTGTACCTCACTCCAAGTAATGCAGCATGTAACAGCTGGCTGTACCTCACTCCAAGTAATGCAGCATGTAACAGCTGGCTCTACCTCACTCCAAGCAATGCAGCATGTAACAGCTGGCTCTACCTCACTCCAAGTAATGCAGCATGTAACAGCTGGCTCTACCTCACTCCAAGCAATGCAGCATGTAATAGCTGGCTCTACTTCACTCCAAGCAATGCAGCATGTAACAGCTGGCTCTACCTCACTCCAAACAATGCAGCATGTAACAGCTGTCTGTACCTCACTCCACCATCTTCACGAAGCAAGAGAGTTAACTGACTTTAAAAGTCCAGTTTCCACCCTTGCAGAACTAGGCTTTTTGTATTTTCAAATACTGCTTTGAGCAGTGTTTCAGTTATATCACAACGTTAAACTCAATGGGGGAGGAAAACCACTTCAGTGACATAAACAAGCCAAGGAATGGAGCTCACAGGCCAAGGATCATGACCAGGGTGAACCTGGGATTCAAACCCAGAAATGAATCCTGGCTGTGGGACACTCCGGCTTGTAAACTGAATACTGTAAATCTTGAAATTAATGCATCTCCAAATTAATACGATTGCTAGCGCCTAACCAAAAAAGTTTCTTTAATGCGATAAATACCACACATATTTTTCGCATTCACTTCACACTCTTGTTAATTTCAAGATTTACAGTATATCAAAGGCACTCTATATGTGACAAACTGAAAAATATTACAGATTCAATATCATATACATACAATTCTTAAAACCTTTCACCCTGGCAATACAAATAATTTTGATTTCAGAATTGCTGCAAACTGGAAAACATTGTTATTATATTAAACACTTCATTTCCTGATTCCAAACTGTATTCATTCTGAACATCAAAACTGAGAATTTGTGACATGGTAACTCACAGAAATAAGTTCTCGGAGAAGCTTGTCAAACTTGACACGGCCATTGTCATCAGTGCTGGCTCCGACTGACCACGTGATGGCGAAGAAGAAAATACTCTGTAAAATAGAAAAGTAAAGGTTACTTCCTGACTTCCATTCCACAGCAAGTAAATGGCGTAATTAACACTGGATAAATGAATGTTGTTTTACACCACATTCAGCAATTAAATGAACAGTGGGACAGTGAATGTTGCTTTATGTCACAGTCGGCAATCACATGACAAGGAGGCAAGTCAACGTTGTTTTATGCCTTGGTCAGCAAATAAATAATCACTGTGTGAGTGAATGTTGCGATCAGCAACTAAATTGTCTGAAGCTCAATGAATGCAGTTTCATGTGGTCTGCAATGAAATGATGAGTGATAACACAGATGACATGGTCTGTGACAACACCAACCTCAAGCCACGTGACGAGCTCTCTCTCCTCCATCTGGGCGATCTTGGCCTCGTCTTGGAATTCATCCATCATACAATCCATCAGGTTCATCAAAGACTTGACCAGGTTGGAATCATTAGTTGGTGACAGTTCCTATAGCAACAAGGGGCAACGTGAAAGGGGGGATAAAGAATGGCTTCATTCAACTCATTCAATCTTGTCTGCTGACTCACATACTTTTACTGTACATATCGAGAGGCAATGTCTCACACAGGACACTAATACCATGTGGTTCTATGTGGAAGCATTGTTCATCCTTATAATCAGTACAAGTATATGCAGATACCATAATGTCACTACATGGCTCGAATAATGCTGATGCGACGTTAAAGTTTAACTCACTCACTCTGATACCGTAAACAGGACAGCAAAATCAGCAGTAGAAACATTTTTTGTCCACTAGTACTTAAAATGATAACATATAGCAAAACCCTTAAAAAAGGCAAATTTCTACTAGTCCTCATGATACCTTAACTACTGGGCACTTTGGCAAGGATTTCAGGACTAGTGCCAATTTCTATTTACTACTGTCTAATTTCTAACACTTCAAAATTATTTTCTGGTTCTTGATGACATAACTTTACTAAGATTCACTTCAATGATGAAGATTCTTGGTAACCATGGTAACAAAACAGATAACCTGACCCAATATATTGACAAATTGTGATGGTCGTTAGATTCTGATTTATCAGATCTGAGTATTATCATACCTTGACTCCTCCCTTGCGGACTAACTGGAGGCAAGCATCGACAAATCTCTCGAACAAGTCATTTATGACGCTCTTGTGCGTCTCAGTGAGAGAGGACGGCATGACATGCATCCAGGACTTGACCAGTGGTCTCCAGCCCAAGGACAGGGGCTCCATGTAGATCATGCCGCACCGAGACACCTGCAAGTCAAGGAGGGAGTGAACTTAATGCTGCACCGAGACTCCTGCAAGTCAAGGAGGGAGTGAACTTAATGCAGAACCGAGACTCCTGCAAGTCAAGGAGGGAGTGAACTTAATGCTGCACCGAGACACCTGCAAGTCAAGGAGGGAGTGAACTTAATGCCGCACCGAGACACCTGCAAGTCAAGGAGGGAGTGAACTTAATGCTGCACCGAGACTCCTGCAAGTCAAGGAGTGAGTGAACTTAATGCTGCACCGAGACACCTGCAAGTCAAGGAGGGAGTGAACTTAATGCCGCACCGAGACACCTGCAAGTCAAGGAGGGAGTGAACTTAATGCTGCACTGAGACACCTGCAAGTCAAGGAGGGAGTGAACTTAATGCTGCACCGAGACACCTGCAAGTCAAGGAGTGAGTGAACTTAATGCCGCACTGAGACACCTGCAAGTCAAGGAGTGAGTGAACTTATGCCGCACTGAGACACCTGCAAGTCAAGGAGGGAGTGAACTTATGCCGCACTGAGACACCTGCAAGTCAAGGAGTGAGTGAACTTAATGCTGCACTGAGACACCTGCAAGTCAAGGAGTGAGTGAACTTAATGCTGCACCGAGACACCTGCAAGTCAAGGAGTGAGTGAACTTAATGCTGCACCGTGACACCTGCAAGTCAAGGAGGGAGTGAACTTAATGTCGCACCGAGACACCTGCAAGTCAAGGAGTGAGTGAACTTAATGCCGCACCGAGACACCTGCAAGTCAAGGAGGGAGTGAACTTAATGCCGCACCGAGACACCTGCAAGTCAAGGAGGGAGTGAACTTAATGCAGCACCGAGACACCTGCAAGTCAAGGAGTGAGTGAACTTAATGCTGCACCGAGACACCTGCAAGTCAAGGAGGGAGTGAACTTAATGCAGCACCGAGACTCCTGCAAGTCAAGGAGGGAGTGAACTTAATGCTGCACCGAGACACCTGCAAGTCAAGGAGGGAGTGAACTTAATGCTGCACCGAGACACCTGCAAGTCAAGGAGGGAGTGAACTTAATGCAGCACCGAGACTCCTGCAAGTCAAGGAGTGAGTGAACTTAATGCCGCACCAAGACACCTGCAAGTCAAGGAGTGAGTGAACTTAATGCCGCACCGAGACTCCTGCAAGTCAAGGAGGGAGTGAACTTAATGCAGCACCGAGACACCTGCAAGTCAAGGAGTGAGTGAACTTAATGCCGCACCGAGACACCTGCAAGTCAAGGAGGGAGTGAACTTAATGCTGCACCGTGACACCTGCAAGTCAAGGAGTGAGTGAACTTAATGCCGCACACACAAATGTTTCAGTTGAAAGACTGTGGCCTGTAAATAGTTTCATTATATAAAGCAAACATTTCAGCCATTTCAATGCCTGGGAAGCAATCATATGACTTTCGACAGAAACATATAATGACTCTCAGTCAGGTCTGAACATTTAGGGATTGACTTGAGTATATAAAAATAGAACGAAAATAGAATGAAAAATACCCGAGAGTCATTCCCCAAACCTAAACTATTTGATCAACAGACTTACTGTGGCCGGGGAGGCCGCCTCGAGGTCCATGGGTTCGAACATGAGGTTAGTGGTGTTGGCCAGCTGGATGATCTCGCCACTCATCAGGCACAGCTTCTTGTTGTCGTCCAGCACGGTGTTCATGTTCTCGATCCAGATTGCATCAACGGGACCATCAAAGATCAGCCATTTACGGTCTGGGGTCTGAGGGAAGAGGAGCATAGTTCGAAATTCAAAACGAATACTTTGCACAAAAGATCCTCCTGTGACAGAGTCCAACTTCACTAAGGACCAATCCACCACAAGTAGAACATACAACTTATGATCAGCACAATCCTAAGATTACTTTGTGGAACAAGGGTCTGGTTTTTAAAGGTATTTCCTCACTTAAAGTTCTTTGTGCTGGAACTAATTTTCCTATAGAGTATTTGGGTAATTAACTCATCTCTTAATTTCAAGGCAAATACATAAGAGAAGAATACTGTTTTAACTTTCTTTACATCTTCAAAAGGTCCAAGTTTAAGGTTGACAGGAATCCCTTTTCAGATCATCTACATGTTCATAACTGAGAGAGATACTGTATCTACTCTTTGTCATTTGATGTCATAAAGAGACCAACTAACAGTTTCAAGATACTAAATGATGTAGAATATAATTGCTGGAAAAGGTTTTCAAAGCATAAAAGACATAGAGGGATTTGAGGCATCAAATTCACTAACTTGTGGTGACAACAACTTCAGATTGCAACTATTCAAGTGTCAAATGACGGATGTCATGTGGAGAGTACTCACCGTGGATGTGGCGAAGGATCTGTATGACACGGCCAGGATACCGTCTGACCACTCGTGGGACACAGGGTCAAACTGACCGTACAGCTGTCCCATGGTGATGGCCTTCGGGTTGATGACAATAATCTGGACCTTATTTTCTTCCAACAGACCCTGCAAAGAAACACCATGCTGAATTAGCCACTGATTTCAACCACAATGCTAAAACTAGCAATTCAGACTTGCTTCAGAACTTATAAGGAAAAGGTCAATGAATTTGTTTGTATTACATCAAATCTATCTCACCTTCATGAGTTAATATAACTGTCCCTCACCTACGCTTAGACTCACACAGGCCATACTATCTGTAATGTTTGTCCGGTTGTTCTCTCATTATATCTCACCAACTCCAACATGTAGCTGGTGCTTTTATACCTTCTCATGGATGTCTCCCAGAGCTGCTGCCAGGACTCGGTACGCTGATGTCTTGCCACCGAATGGCTCTCCCACAATCATGAAACCGTGACGCACAATCATCATCTCGTAGATCTACAAAACATAATCAGGAAACATCATCCATCCATCCATCCATATTCAACACTTCATTAACTGGAAATATGTTCAATTAAACCTAGGATGGCACCAGTTGAAACAACATGAGACATCCATAGTTTGAGACAAGAGCTGATATGGAACAATCATGATGATACAGAAGTTTGAGAAAACATGTGTCAGTCACAGTACACATGGTGGAGCCATGGTGACAGACAACACAAAGAGTTTATAATCAACTCAAGTCCACTAATCAGGGACTCATTCAAACTCTGGAAGAACAAATGACATTTCCTTGTGGACTATCACATTTACCTTTAGGTAGATGTAGATCATTGCCGCAGATAAAAAAGCAACTTCATTTCTAACCCTACCATACTTGGTGACAAGTGTTTTACTTAATAACAAAAAGACTTTAAAGTCAGTGTGTCACACCTGAAGTAAGTTCGTCATATTTGTGCAGTGAAATTAACAACAGCAGGTTTGTTATAGTGAAGTATATGCTAAATCCAACTTTGATGACACAGTACATTGAAATGACAGTGAACTGTGGTACAAACCTGTTGGATCTTCTCCAGGAAGAAGTTCGTGCACTGGAGGTTCATCCTGGTGCAGACCTCGGCCACAGCCTGGTTGATGACCTCGTAGTCTGGGGTCGGCAGTTTGATGCCGGGGAACAGATCGGACGTGATGCCGTGGAACAGCGGCAAGTCGTGGTTGAGAAACTTGGGTAGGTTGACATCAATGATGGATCGCAACATCAGGATATTCTCATCTTCATCTGGGTATTTCAGCTGGAGAAGATAAACAAGGTTCATTCATCCTTTATTCCTCATATACTAGTTCATTTATTAAATAACACTTCATAATTCCGTCATCAGGCACTTGTCATTTAATATAGATTCAATCAATTGTTCTAAAGTTCATTTAAATAACCAATCCATATATCCATCTTTAATTTATAAATCCAGCATTTAATAATCGATTTTTCTGATTATTCATCCTTATCTATGTTACAGACTTTCAAGAGTTGTCTCCCCTAGGTTCGTCAAATTAACCTTGTATTATTATTAATTGACCTTGACCTATTGTTTTGTTTGTTGCAATATTGCAATTCAGCAATATTTCAGCGGTCTGTTAATAATCGATTCTGGAAAAGACAAGCCAGTGCATAAGCATCGATCTACGTATTTGGGATACGATGACATGCATCAACAGAGTCAGCAACTCTGATCACCTGATCTGTTAGTTGCCTCTTACGACAAGCATGGGTTGCTGAAGAACAATGCTAACCTGGATCTTCCTTGACTAATGGATTGTTTGATACATCATAACAATCACAGTTTAAGACATATACCTTATAATTCAGTACCTTTAAAACATTTAAAAACTAACAAAATCAGACAGGCTGAATCATAACTGCTCAGTCAAAATGACAACTGTACCTTTAAGTTTGCAGCAGCAGTGAGCACAGACTTGACGGCTCTCATGCCGTAATCATAGTGATGTTGTGAAGACAGCTGCTCCGAGCACAATCTGTACACGGCCACAATCTTCACCGACAGTGGGCGTGCCTGGACAAAGCCACAGGAATACAGCGAGATCTCCGCAATCAGGGCGTAGTCTGGCACCATCATGGCCACAGTCCGGAACAGAGCCTGCAAGTAGACGAAACAATCAGCAATAGATATAAAACATACAAGTGTTTTCCCCTTTCATGTAACCAATACACTGTGATATTGTACAGTGCGGGAGTGAGTGAATATGGTTTTATGTCTCTTTTAGCATAATTCCAGCAATACCACGGCCGGGGACACCAGTAGTGGGTTTCATACAATGTAGCCATGTACAGAATGGAACCGAGGGCTTCAGATGGCAAGTAAAGGCCTTAGCCACTGGATGACCTAACTGCCCAAAAGAGTGTACAAGGCTAATAGTAATACCTGTACCTTAAAGTGGACCTTGGATACACAATATATTGATGTCACAAAATGTTGTTCACAGTATGAAAATTCTGCTGTGCAGTTTTACCTGATATGATACTTCTAAAAATTGAAAAAGCATTTTTTGTTTGGGTACAATTTGTTGAGCAATTACTGCTATATCACGATGGCCTAGAATGATCAAGTTTGGACCAGACAAACCAATGGTTGATAGCATAAACATTCATCAACATTTTGGACACACAATCATCAATGTCACACACAATAACGACCAGACAGTTGTCAGAGCACCATCGGAATAATCCAGTCACACTGTAAGGCCCCGATCACAAGTCAGGTGTTACGTCAACGATGGATACTGAGCACCTATTTGTCCCTAGAACCCCACCTATATTAGGACCATGTTGAACCGAGATCTTCACCCACACTAGGACCATGTTGAACCAAGATCCTCACCCACACTAGGACCATGTTGAACCAAGATCCTCACCCACACTAGGACCATGTTGAACCAAGATCCTCACCCACACTAAGACCATGTTGAACCAAGATCCTCATCCACACTAGGACCATGTTGAACCAAGATCTTCATCCACACTAGGACCATGTTGAACTATGATCCACATCCACACTAGGACCATGTTGAACTATGATCCTCACCCACACTAGGACCATGTTGAACTATGATCCACATCCACACTAGAACCATGTTGAACTATGATCCACATCCACACTAGGACCATGTTGAAACAAGATCCTCACCCACACTAGGACCATGTTGAACAAAGATCCTCACCCACACTAGGACCATGTTGAACCAAGATCCACATCCACACTAGGACCATGTTGAACCAAGATCCTCATCCACACTAGGACCATGTTGAGCCAAGATCTCCACCCACACTAGGACCATGTTGAACCAAGATCCACACCCACACTAGGACCATGTTGAAACAAGATCCTCACCCACACTAGGACCATGTTGAACAAAGATCCTCACCCACACTAGGACCATGTTGAACCAAGATCCACACCCACACTAAGACAATGTTGAACCAAGATCCTCATCCACACTAGGACCATGTTGAACCAAGATCTCCACCCACACTAAGACCATGTTGAACCAAGATCCCCAACTACACTAGGACCATGTTGAACCAAGATCCACACCCACACTAGGACCATGTTGAACCAAGATCCACATCCACACTAGGACCATGTTGAACCAAGATCCTCATCCACACTAGGACCATGTTGAACCGAGATCTCCACCCACACTAGGACCATGTTGAACCAAGATCCACATCCACACTAGGACCATGTTGAACCAAGATCCTCATCCACACTAGGACCATGTTGAACCAAGATCTCCACCCACACTAGGACCATGTTGAACCAAGATCCACACCCACACTAGGACCATGTTGAAACAAGATCCTCACCCACACTAGGACCATGTTGAACAAAGATCCTCACCCACACTAGGACCATGTTGAACCAAGATCCACACCCACACTAAGACAATGTTGAACCAAGATCCTCATCCACACTAGGACCATGTTGAAACAAGATCCTCACCCACACTAGGACCATGTTGAACAAAGATCCTCACCCACACTAGGACCATGTTGAACCAAGATCCACATCCACACTAGGACCATGTTGAACCAAGATCCTCATCCACACTAGGACCATGTTGAGCCAAGATCTCCACCCACACTAGGACCATGTTGAACCAAGATCCACACCCACACTAGGACCATGTTGAAACAAGATCCTCACCCACACTAGGACCATGTTGAACAAAGATCCTCACCCACACTAGGACCATGTTGAACCAAGATCCACACCCACACTAAGACAATGTTGAACCAAGATCCTCATCCACACTAGGACCATGTTGAACCAAGATCTCCACCCACACTAAGACCATGTTGAACCAAGATCCCCAACTACACTAGGACCATGTTGAACCAAGATCCACACCCACACTAGGACCATGTTGAACCAAGATCCACATCCACACTAGGACCATGTTGAACCAAGATCCTCATCCACACTAGGACCATGTTGAACCGAGATCTCCACCCACACTAGGACCATGTTGAACCAAGATCCACATCCACACTAGGACCATGTTGAACCAAGATCCTCATCCACACTAGGACCATGTTGAACCAAGATCTCCACCCACACTAGGACCATGTTGAACCAAGATCCACACCCACACTAGGACCATGTTGAAACAAGATCCTCACCCACACTAGGACCATGTTGAACAAAGATCCTCACCCACACTAGGACCATGTTGAACCAAGATCCACACCCACACTAAGACAATGTTGAACCAAGATCCTCACCCACACTAGGACCATGTTGAACTAAGATCCTCACCCACACTAGGACCATGTTGAACCAAGATCCACACCCACACTAGGACCATGTTGAACCAAGATCCACACCCACACTAGGACCATGTTGAACCAAGATCCTCACCCACACTAGGACCATGTTGAACTAAGATCCTCACCCACACTAGGACCATGTTGAACCAAGATCCACACCCACACTAGGACCATGTTGAACCAAGATCTCCACCCACACTAGGACCATGTTGAACCGAGATCTCCACCCACACTAGGACCATGTTGTACAAAGATCTCCACCCACACTAGGACCATGTTGAACAAAGATCCTCACCCACACTAGGACCATGTTGAACCAAGATCCCCAACTACACAAGGACCATGTTGAACCAAGATCCCCAACTACACTAGGACCATGTTGAACCAAGATCCCCAACTACACTAGGACCATGTTGAACCAAGATCCTCACCCACACTAGGACCATGTTGAACCAAGATCTCCACCCACACTAGGACCATGTTGAACCAAGATCCCCAACTACACTAGGACCATGTTGAACCAAGATCCACACCCACACTAGGACCATGTTGAACCAAGATCCTCACCCACACTAGGACCATGTTGAACTAAGATCCTCACCCACACTAGGACCATGTTGAACCAAGATCCACACCCACACTAGGACCATGTTGAACCAAGATCCACACCCACACTAGGACCATGTTGAACAAAGATCCTCACCCACACTAGGACCATGTTGAACTAAGATCCTCACCCACACAAGAACCATGTTGAACCAAGATCCACACCCACACTAGGACCATGTTGAACTAAGATCCACACCCACACTAGGACCATGTTGAACAAAGATCCTCACCCACACTAGGACCATGTTGAACTAAGATCCTCACCCACACTAGGACCATGTTGAACCAAGATCCACACCCACACTAGGACCATGTTGAACCAAGATCTCCACCCACACTAGGACCATGTTGAACCGAGATCTCCACCCACACTAGGACCATGTTGTACAAAGATCTCCACCCACACTAGGACCATGTTGAACAAAGATCCTCACCCACACTAGGACCATGTTGAACCAAGATCCCCAACTACACTAGGACCATGTTGAACCAAGATCCCCAACTACACTAGGACCATGTTGAACCAAGATCCCCAACTACACTAGGACCATGTTGAACCAAGATCCACACCCACACTAGGACCATGTTAAACCAAGATCCACACCCACACTAGGACCATGTTGAACCTAGATCCTCACCCACACTAGGACCATGTTGAAGCTTACCTTGAGGTTGTCTGGCAGCTCGGAACGCCCAGCATAACCTGGGTTCATAGTGATGAAGACAGAGCAGGTTGGGTTAAGATGGATCTCTGTCCCCTCAAACAACAGAGTGTCCTGTCCCGCACTGATACCTGAAAACAATCATTGAACAACTGAAGTAAACATTTTACCCATAGGGCACAAAAGTAGGTGAAATTATTTTGATGAATTCTCCCTGAGCATTCTGATTGGCTAGTTCACACCAACGGTTCCATTGTTTACAATATTTCCAAAGAGGACGATAACAAACGATATCAAATAAAGACAGTGTCGCAAATAACTTATAGATGACGTCATGTAATCTTCATGGGGTCACAAATGATTTAGCTTGCCGCTGTTTCAACAATAGATGTTTTAGGAAATCAACATTTTTCTTCATTGTTTCAGAAAAAACAACCTTCTCCCAAAGACAGATAATTTGTCCCTCATGTATTAAAGTTGACAGTTCCTCGTCCAGGATTGGAATATTTTACTCAGGACATACAAGCCATAACTCCTGAGCTGCAAGTAGCTTATTCTGTAAATATGACCAATCATGAGATCAGTGACTTTATGTGTGAAAAATTACATTTGAATTTTCATTATATTTTAACACTACAGCATCTTCGGAACACAAAAATACAATTCACAAGCTTCATTTAACATTTATTACAGAGATACATGACATCCCACATGGCTGTCTTCACTGAAGTAAGTTGACTTGAAACATCTTTATGATGTCATAGCACAACTGTATCCTAGCACCCATAAGGTCCCTTTCCCTGGTGGGTCAAAAATATTAATCCAACCTGTCACTGTCCAGGAGGTGTGTTTTGGGGTATCTAAGTTCAGATAACTGAGTCAGATTGTGTAGCATAGTCAATATACTGCACCATGCGTCTTGGATTATCATGAATAATTTCATCCCGGGAGTAAAAACTTGTAAAACATCTGCACTAGACTGACACAGAAACTGTTTTCAGCTAGTTTCACAAGTAAATGAAATACAAAGGGAGACAACTGCAACAGTTTACCTCTCTGAATGGTCAGGATCTGTTGGGCCACCACAGACAATACTTCCAGGTCAATTCGGTTGAACTCATCAAAACAGGACCAGGCACCGCAGGAGGCCAAACCCTGGAAGTAACAGATACATGATCAATCTCTACTCAAACACACAAGCAAACACAGCAGGCCTATAGAGCAAACCCATCACTTGTCTTTCACAACTATCAAATTCTTTTGGTGCAACTCACTTTGAAGAACTTTCCCAGGGCAATGTAGTCGAGACCATCTGAACAGTTGAAGACGACACACTGTTTGGCAACGGCTTTGGCCAGATCCTTGGTGGTCTCTGTCTTCCCGGTTCCAGCTGGTCCTTCTGGAGCTCCTCCCAGGTGAAGATGTAGAGCTCCGAACAGGGTTCTGGGAACATTACACTACACTATACCCTTGGAGACATTACTGTAGGAATTGGTCACTTATTATAGGAAGGGGGATTGGTCAGGATGGGGATGGGGATGGGGATGGGTTGGGATGAGATGGGGTGGGATGGGGTGGAATTGGGTGGGGACGGGTAGGATGGGGATGGGTGGGATGGGGTGAATTGGGTGGGAATGGGAAGGATTGGGGTGGGTAGGGTTGTTGGATAGGGGGTGGGGGGTGGGGGTGGTGGGGTGGTGGTGGTAGGGATGGGGGTGGTAGGGATGGGGGTGGTAGGGATGGGGGTGGTGGGTGATATTGGTGTTAGGACTGTATAGTTCATATTTTCTGACATCATAGCAGCCAACAATATCTCATTTTTGAGCAACATGATTCATGAGAATGTCAATCTGATGCAATACAAATTCCAGGCTGCAATACCTAGCCCTTATAGACAGTAATCAATTCCACTACATTCTACATACTGTCCAGCAGGATTACTGGATTATACACAGGAATTTCTTTCTTAATGACAAGGAAAGACAAATATTATTTTACAGGAGTAAAAGTGAAGTAAAAGAGTTGGGTCTATGCTTGAAATCCCAGTGAATGAGAGATCGAAACAAACGGGAACAGCAATAACACAGGCCTCTAAGAGTCATAATCAGGGCGAATCTCAGATTCAAACCCAGTCAACAGCAGATCCTGGCCCACTATGTGCAATGCATGGCTGATGTAAACTCACCTGTAACACCTGTCAGTCAAAGGTGTGATAACGAGGCGTCCGGTGTTGCCAAGGTACTCGTAGCCGTACTTCAGCATGGAGTTGATCATTCGAGTCACCATCTGGTTATCCTGAAAACACAGAGAAGACGTTTACACTGAAGTCACTCTCCTACCCAGAGTTCCATGCGGCCGGCAGCCAGCTAGCATAGTACCTCTGCCACAGGCCAGCGCCATGTGACGATTCGTCACATCTTTCACAGTCCATTCAAGATATTGCATATGCTTTTCATCCGTTTCATGTTTGACAAGTCTACACATTTTCATAAACAAATGTCAAAGAATGGTTAACTTTCATTGAGAAAGTATGCAAATACGTAAAAATCTACTTGTTTTTGCGTAGTTATCCTATGTTTACATTGGTTGAACGGCTCCACGTGCTGTCATCGAAGCGCAATGGAGAGCTAGCGACACGGTCACTTTGATGCATAAATATATATTGTCATGCAACTCACTGTCGCAGTTGTAGTAGCATATCTATATAGTTATGCAAAACAATATGTAAAGCGCCCCCAAATACTTACATTAGTCCGTTCTATACTGATTTCTGAAAAAGCGCGTTTGTTTACAAACAAGAGAAAAGTCCGGTCACGTGATATGCAAATTAGCCTGTGGCAGTGGTGTTATGCTGAGTCACCACTGCGACGGAGTGTGCACTGAAGTGTGATATGCTTCATCTTAACCCGGTAACCCTGCCAGTCAAATCTATACTGAGGACAGGACTAACTTATTAGTTTCAACCTTTTTGTTCCATGAACGTGATGTTTTGTACAGATACAAATCACATTGACTGAACTAAAACAGTTGAAATCCATATTATCTTCATGCATATTAGACTGCAAAAAGATACTGATAAAATCTGTCCCAAATGTCTTCAGAAATTCTCTCTGCAGGTTGAAAACACATTTTAGATACAATTCCAAGAAGTAACCAATGCACCAGTTCAAGTACTAGCATACTCAAGCTTGACTAGGTCCGAAGTACTTTCTTGCTTGTCATAAGGGAGACTTAATTAATTTGAGTGGTCAAGTTGGTGACCCTTCATGTCATCCTAGTCTCATAGTCTGGCCCAGATTCGAATATTTACAAGCTGCCGTGATATTGCTGACTTTGGAGGAAAAGAAAAGATACCCAAAAGTCATTTTTTACAGGAATGAACAAGCATGAAATACTCATATTCCCTGTCAATATGACATAAATATGAAAACTCGAAAAAACTATCAAAAGGCACCAGTTTACCAATGGACCTATCTATTTGCCAAGTTTGGTGAAGAAATATTGTAGGGTTTTCAAGATCAACTCCAGAAAGGGGCACTACCGCCATTTTCAGACTATGTGCCAAGTAAGGATACGATATCTCTCATAAGTTTTTAGTTCTACTCAGGAAATGAAACGTGACAGATGGACTAAAAGACAGAATGACAGAAGGCTGGATGGACGGACAGACAGCCCCATTCCTATATCCCCCTTCCACATCGTGTGGAGGGATAAGAAAGTGATAAGTGAGCCCATCTGTGTAAGGAGTCCCAAGAAGGATCCTGCTGATTCCACAAGTCTTCAGCTGTGTATCTCCATCAGCGACTCACCTCCCAGTAGTAGCGGAGCTGACTCAACCACTTGAAGTCCAGCTCATTGGAGACGCCACTCTCCACCAGGTGGGCCAACACATCTCTAGCGTGGACGTCCATGACGATCAGAGCCTGCAGTGTGACACGGTGCTGTTTGGAAAGCTTGCCTCGGACCAGGGCAACAATCTCATCAATCTGTTCATTGTTTACAGTCAGGTAGTCCGCCAGGGCCTTCTGGCCCGACCTGATTGCCTCGTGGATGTAGGATGTCCAGTATTTCTGGGATACACACAGGACAGCTTGACCAGACCAGTGTCTCACCCACTCACCCCTGGGTGTCTTCAAGTAGGCTTCCTGAGATTCTCCAATAACCTGCAAAGTAAGAGTGGGAAATAGTGAACACTACAATTATAATTCCCAACCTTGAACAAAGAAACTGTCATACAATAATTCCCAACCTTGAACAGAGAAACTGTCATACAATAATTCACAACCTTGAACAAAGAAACTGTCATACAATAATTCTCAACCTTGAATAGAGAAACAGTCAAATTTCAATAATTCCCAATCATGCACAGAGAAACTGCCATACAATAATTCACAATCATCCAGAGAGAAACTGCAATGCAATAATTCACAATCATCCACAGAGAAACTGCAATGCAATAATTCACAATCATCCACAGAGAAACTGCAACGCAATAATTCACAATCATGCAGAGAATCAATCATAATTCCCCAAATTGGATGGATATCCTGTCATATCCCCTTGTGTAGAGAGGTAAAATATCACAATTTCCTACCTTGTGTAGAGAGCTTATCATGTCGGCCTCCAGCTCAAGCAGCCACTTCTCCACCTGACCACGGGCCTTGGACGTGGAGATGACGTCACGTAGCTCAACCACCTCCCCTTCACTACTCTTCATGTGGGTGATATCCAACACATCCGTGAATTCTAGAGATGCAATGCCTTCAAAGCATTTCTTCAGATGGGGCTGCACTCTGAAGAAAGGATAAGATGTAGGTTGTATCATATGTACTTGATTATCGGACACATTTGTTCACATTACTGATGGAGCACCACTGACAAAGACTGTAAACTGAAATCTGTGACAATCCTTTCCATACTGCAATACTGATAGCTACCTTGTGGGATCTTTGGTCTCCGACAGGATCTCAAGCAGCTCATCATTGGACAAGAAGAAGAAACGGGGGAAGTAAAGTCGCTTCTTCTCCAGGTATTCGTTCAAGCCCTGAAGAAATACACACTCCATGTCAAAGTAACAAACATAAACCAGAAATACCATTTAGACAGAACAGTCAGCAATATTCCGGCCATACATCACCATGGCTTGTATATATATAAGGAAGGTCCCACGCCATCAGTGACACTGATGCATGACCCACCATGTCACTGAACCTCACCACCTGAACAAAGTCAGCCAGCATTAGGGAGCCTGGGGTCTGTTCTAACCATTTCTTACATTAAAATCCCGGGTATTTTATACATAAAATCCTCAAGGCTACAGATAAAATACAATACTTTTAAGAATCTATTTTTCCAGTAAATATTTTACCTCCAATTCCTAAGGTTTATTGAAAGTGTGCTGGAAACAAAAAATTGTTGACAAATGTTGCTTCAGATTTTTCTGTCTGTTTACAAAGTAATATCAAACAGTTCCTCTCAGGTTTGTATGAAATCTTAAAGGCTTATCCTCGGTCTTATCACACACATAATACATTACCTTCTGGATGAGTTCCAAAAGTTCATTGGATTTCTTCAGCCTTTCTAGAATCTTGTCAATGTCAAGTACTGCCAGAACATGCTTGTCAATCATGGCCGACTTCATGATGTCGCGCCAGTTCTTGTCGACGGTGGTGAATCTGCGTCCTTCTTCAGGCATCTGCGCCATGATGTCGGGGGAGCTGAAGATGGGCTCCAGATACAGCCAGGTGGCCTGCACCTTCAGCCACTCGTCTAGGATGTCCTGCAGGGTCATCAGCTTGGACTCCCAGTCCCTAGCACCAGATCAGGGTCAGTTACCAACAGTGTTTGAAATCATTTTAAAACCAAACAAGATAGTCCGGCAGATGACCCATAAGTTCTGCCTGCCCATCTTCAAAGTTACCTGCCTACATTCAGACATTATGAATATTGATAAATCGTGAAAAACAAAAGACAAATCGCATCTTGATTTGGTTGAAATAAAGCAAACAATTACTTGTAAATCAACAAGAAGTTATGATAAAACTGAATACGTAAGTAGTCGTAAAATTATCTGACAGACAAGTGGGCAGATGGAGCAAAATTTCACACAGCCCGACAGAAATGTTACCAGCCACGGGCAGAAAGGCAGATAGTTATTTCGGACACTGGTTACCAAATATGTATCTGATGCTGTTTCTATGTGCTTCAATACTTGATCAAATGTTGCATTGATAAATATCCACATGACAGTAACTTCAAACAGTACATCCAAATTCCAACATGAAACGTGTGACATTTTTACAGCATCTATAAGACATGATAACCGCCTTTTGTGCGTCTTATGTAGGATAATATTTCTTCTTGGGCAATGACGTTGGAAACTTGTGGGCCGTTTTGTAAGTGAGCAAACAGTGTATGCAACTGTCAGAAAGTTTTTTTGTACCTCTCAGCATATAAGAAATCATGAGGTCCTTTTACTGATGGTTCAGAGATTTACAAATGTATACTAAAACTTCAATTAACTTCTGACTTTTCTTAAATAAAGAATTAAAATGCAAAAAAGGTTGCATGAAACCTACTTTATTTCCATCTCAAATGGCTTGATGAACGGTGAGCCTCTCATTGTCTGGGTCTTGACGATGTGGTCATCAAGCAACTGCTGGATGTCGTCGATGGAGGACAAGATGGACGTCCCAGTCTCGCGGTACGGGATCATCGTGAATTCAATCTGGAATCACACAGCATGAGATGTCAGGTACTGCAACACAATGTTGCCTAAAAGGAGAATTATATTCAGAAAATGTTGAATACATTTCAATGCTGACCGGAACCAACCCTTTGACTGAGATGAGAAGTGAAAAGCACTTGGAGTCGTATTGCAACATTTCACCAAGTACCAAATGACATCAGTTCAGATCTCTAGTCTACAGCAGGATTTGTTCCCTGATAAGTCCTATTATTTGAACCATGCATTTGATAATCCTGTCAAGAAGATTTCACCAGGGTACGTTGATGTAACCTCATCTAAAGAGGGAATAGGCGACTGGCAAATGGCAGTCCTAATAAGTTTGGTCTATTTACTTACATTTAACTTTATTTACTAAAATTTTCCACTTCACACCAAGTATCGACTGTGGAGCTTAGCCTATTTTTGTCTTTATTTTTTATAACGGAGTGACTGACTGAGTGATTATTGATTTAACACCACATCAGTGTTTTTGCAGCTATTTGCCTTATAGTTGAATGTTTGTTATTTAATGCACTCAACAATATTTCAGCTATATGACGGTCAATAATCAAGGCTGGTTCAGACAATCCAGTGATTGAGATCATGAGCAATGATGTTAGGTACAATGTTACGCTATCAACCAAGTCGATGAGACTGACCACCCGATACTTTTGGTCGCCCCTTCCGAAAAGCATGGGTTGCTGAAGGCCGATTCCAACCCATAATCCCCATGGAGTGGCCCTGTATCAATGTTAAGGAGAGAACTTACCGGAGCCCACTCTCCCTTCATGCTCTCCATAGCCTTCTCCAGAGAGTACTCCTTGCTGGCTGCCTCCGAGATGCCCTCGAACTTGGTGATGTACGAATCCAGGTTCATATCGACAAACTTGGACAGGCAGTACGAGTCGTCGGGACGGATGGTGTAGCCGACAATATCTGTAACCTGGTCCCAATGTCGATCCCTCATGCCGGGGTTGAAGATGGTCTGGACAAGCGGCATGTGTTCCTTGAACTCTTCCACTTTGCCTTTCACCTGCATACATGGAGGAATTTGTGTACGACAATCTCAGGAATATTATTTTAGGACAATACCAAATTCTTCGAATTGCAATCAAAATGTGTGCATATACAGGAATCCGATCTAAGACAGATCTTTTACAGGTGGGATACTGTTTGACTTGCTGCAGAACTATACCATCCCACTATTTTTCTTTATCGTTCTCGCTATGATGTCATGTCGATGTGAAGTCACAGTTGAATGCCAGTTTTACTCTTGTGCTTCTATCTTGCTCCCATTTTTCGCATCCTTATTCCTTTTACAATACTTAAGTTCTTTTTTTAAGTTAAGCTCTGAAAACCAAAACTAAACTGATTAGTTTTAATTATGTTCAAAAAGGGATATGCCTTTCATCATCAAAAAAGGAAATAGTGGCATCAAATAGAAGTAGTACGCTAAATACACCAAACTAACATAAACAAGAGGACAAAGTCATCAATATTCCACGCAATTGTAAATTCTTGTCACAATTATATATAAGAAACTTGTTGCCATGGAAATTCGAAACAAATTTTTTGAAAAAATCATAAACTATCAACAGGCACCATGTACCAACCAACTTTGCTGAAAAATTATTGTATGGTTTTCAAGTCAAAGTGGTTGCCATGGAAACTAAAAAACTTTTTTATGTTGAAAATCCCAAACTATGAAAAGGCACCTGTTCACCACTAGACCTATCAGTGTACAAAGTTTGCTGCAGGTATATAGCAGGGTAGGTTTTTAAGATCTGCTCCGGAAACGAGCACTACCGCCATTTTCCAGCCTAACTCAAAGTTGTTGCCATGGAAACTAAAAAAAAAATTTTTAATGTCCCAAGGCACTTGTTTACCACTAGACCTATATGAACTCTGGGCCATGTGGCCATGTGGCCTTCATTCATGAATAAACTTCTTTTTCTGTTTACCACTATGCCTATCAATGTACCAAGTTAGCTGAAGAAATATTGTACGTTTTTCAAGATCTGCTCCCGAAACGACATCTTGCATGGACGGATGCACGGTTTCTATATTAGTACCCCCAAAAAAGCGTTATCTACGCCTGCATCAATAGTCACGGGGACTGCTTATACAATATGATGCCTGGTGACAAACACACACCTTGGATGTTATTTTCTTGGGAGCAGCAACGCCATCAAACTGTTTCTCCAGCTTGTACAGACCGCGCCAGATGTTGCCCACCTCCTGATCCACCACGTCAGGATCTACACCGCCCATCGGCCCGTCCATCCACTGCCTGCAGCAAGTAGGTGAACATCACACATTGCCATCAGGGGACACTCAGCAATTTCATCAGTCAAGTTGTAACAATGTGGTATATATAATTGTAGTATCGTCAATTCCTTCAGTTGCTCTTCCCCAATTTGTCCATCTCTACACTTCATTCACTCTGTCATCCCGATGCAACCATTTCTATGCATTAACTCACCTCTCAGTCAGTCATCTAATCCATCCATACTTCTATCAAACAAATCAAAGCTCTTTATCACGAGCCATCTAATCCATCTATTCATCCACGTGATCACTCACTAAAAGCCATCGAAACAATCCATTCATTCATTCACTCATTGAAGCCATCAAAACAATCCATTCATTGTCTCACTCACTCACTCATTCCAAGCCATGAAGCCATGAAGTATACCCGCCTAGAGTATCTGTCCACTCACTCACTCATTCAAAGCCATGAAGTACGTCACATACACTGTTGGTCCACTCACTCACTCCCTCCCTCCCTTCCTCCCTCACTCACTCACTCATTCATTCATTCAAAGCCATGAAGTACGTCACATACACTGTTGGTCCACTCACTCACTCACTCATTCAAAGCCATGAAGTACGTCACATACACTGTTGGTCCACTCACTCACTCACTCACTCTTTAAAAGCCATGAAATATGTCACATACACTGTTGGTCCACTCACTCACTTCCTCACTCACTCACTCATTCAAAGCCATGAAGTACGTCACATACACTGTTGGTCCACTCACTCACTCTTTAAAAGCCATGAAGTACGTCACATACACTGTTGGTCCACTCACTCACTCACTCTTTAAAAGCCATGAAGTACGTCACATACACTGTTGGTCCACTCACTCACTCACTCACTCACGCATTCAAAGCCATGAAGTACGTCACATACACTGTTGGTCCACTCACTCACTCATTCAAAGCCATGAAGTACGTCACATACACTGTTGGTCCACTCACTCACTCGATCTTTAAAAGCCATGAAGTATGTCACATACACTGTTGGTCCACTCACTCACTCATTCAAAGCCATGAAGTACGTCACATACATTGTTGGTCCACTCACTCAGTCCCTCACTCACTCACTCATTCCAAGCCATGAAGTACGTCACATACACTGTTGGTCCACTCACTCACTCATTCAAAGCCATGAAGTACGTCACATACACTGTTGGTCCACTCACTCACTCGATCTTTAAAAGCCATGAAGTATGTCACATACACTGTTGGTCCACTCACTCACTCACTCATTCAAAGCCATGAAGTACGTCACATACATTGTTGGTCCACTCACTCAGTCCCTCACTCACTTATTCAAAGCCATGAAGTATGTCACATACACTGTTGGTCCACTCTCTCACTCACTCACTCTTTAAAAGCCATGAAGTATGTCACATACACTGTTGGTCCACTCACTCACTCATTCAAAGCCATGAAGTACGTCACATACACTGTTGGTCCACTCACTCAGTCCCTCACTCACTTATTCAAAGCCATGAAGTATGTCACATACACTGTTGGTCCACTCTCTCACTCACTCACTCTTTAAAAGCCATGAAGTATGTCACATACACTGTTGGTCCACTCACTCAGTCCCTCACTCACTCATTCAAAGCCACATCCATTAATCCTCTAGCTTTGTTCCAGGTTTCTTCCATTTTGATACAATATGATGAAGTACAATCCTACTCAGTATTTGGTACTGAGATGATGAGAACTTACTTGTATTTGGAGTTGAAGTCTACAGTGGTCTCGTACAACTGTAAATACGGCTTGAGTGTGTTGATGACTGTCTGTCGCTGAGGGTAGGCTGTTGTTTGCCAGCCAAACGCCTCCTCCTCCTCATTGAAGACCTCAATCTGGACACAACATGGGTGTTAGATAAAGTCTCTTTTCAAACTATAAGAACAATAACACTTAAAAAAACTGGTTATTTAAGACAGTATTAATACTTCCTCACTCTCCGGGCTAACGCTGACTCATCACAACATAACATATCCTGGAAATGAAGATCCTCATTCATAAATACTCTCACCAAACTGATATACACTTTCTGACACTGAAAAAGGTAACATTCATATAAAAAAATGTACAAATTTCAACAAATATGGAAAATTTTAACCAGAGTTTCTGAATGATAAATCACAAATAAAAAATGTTTCATTTCATAACTGTTAGCTATAGCACACCCACTGATACATGACTTTATATGAAACATGTCTGTGATGGACACCAGGTGTACCTTCTCTGCCGCAGCCTGCAGCTTGGTGTCGAGGGACTGTGCACGACGGAGGTACTTCTGTATGTCGGCCATGTCACCAAATGACTGGAACTCCTCCACCTGCTTGGCGAAACTCTCCAGTTCCTCAATGAAGCGGTCACGGCGCAGCTGTAATACACAGGGTCAGATACGATGTCTATACAGATACTATACTCCACACAACCATCTGTATCATTGGAGCAGTTCATTCATCCATCACAAAATTTTGTTCAATTCCATTCCTTAACGAAAAGATGACCAAAATGAATGGTTTTTCAATGGAGCTTTTCACTTTTTACATTTTATTTCACTTTTGCCAGTTTAAGGCAAGTCTGTCCATAAATGAACTGGTCATGCATTCAAGGGGGACTAGAATCAGCCAATGTGGAAATCCCTGCAAGTTTGACTGAAGTTGTTGAAACACTATTTAACCTATATGCCAGCTCTTATTTTATGACATAGATCAACCCAACAGTTAACAGGTGAGGTGAAATGGGGTTTAACGTCACGTGAAAGATTATTGCACTTATATAGCGACATGCATGCACGTGTGTGTGTGGCTGCTTGTACTAGTCCGGACTGATGCCGATTTATAGTGCTAGCACACTGAGATACCATGCCTCAGTTTAACCTGAATACCCTACTCATATACACTATACTGACACCGAGCTGCCAGTTAGTCCCTTATACTGAGCGCCAGACAGGTAACAACAAGTACCATCTTTTAACACTGCCGGGTATCAAACTCAACAGTTAACAAGAATGAAATACTTAGTGATATTAGCCATAGAAAAGAGTTATGATCATCTTAGCACTGAAATCATTTCATGGAACCAGGAGCAGTTCTTTACTGGACTGATCGTTAACAAGTTAACAAGGACTGATAGGAAACAAAACCTGACAGACGGAAGGACGAACCCATTGAATTTTCCTTCCCAATTCATAGCAACAGTCGTTAATCAACCCAATTCCACACAATGTCTCAGTTTCAGGCCAAGGCACTAATCAAAATGTCTAGATCCCGACTTGAAATTGGCAACAAACCCTGGACCGTAGTCCCCCTATTCTGAAGCACTATCCTCCTTTGGAGGATGCATCAGGATCATATTTATCCCTCAAAATTACTTCAACATTCACCACCACCCAGGTACGTTCTTCAACATATGTACTATTCACAAGTTATTTAATCATGACCCCCGGATGGTTAAGAATAAATCAATGAAACACAAATAAGGAATGCTCTTCCAGACTCTAACATGACCTACTTTGAGAGCATCCTCATACTGGTTCCTCTTCTCCGACACGATCAGCTTGTGCTCCTCGAACACTGCCGGCATCCGGCCGTGCCACATGAACACCTGGGCATTGACACGGATCTCGGCTGGGTTGAACTGGGCATAGTCTGACAGGAACGCCAGGCGATCCTTGGACTCCATCAGCCTCTTCTCCATGACGAAGATAGTGTCCGACTCGACTTTCTCAATGAACTGTTTGAGCTGCATCAGCTCTTCTGTGTTGGCGGGCGTGGTCAATGCCTTCTCGGCAATCTGCTCATAGTCGTCACAGAGCCTGGAATAAGGTTGAACATGTCAATAACATACATTATTATTATTCCAAGAGACTGCCAATAAGGGACGGAGAACCAGGGCAGTGGAGTACGTTGGTTTAAAGTCGCGGTGAACATGATGTCAGTTATATCACATTGAGTCAGCTCCAAGTGGGTTGGAAGACCAAAGTGACACAGCTAATATACCACTTTGGTGAAACCCAGCAAGGGTATGACGGTGACAAACTGAGAAACATAATCAGGGCAAATTGGGATTTGATAGTCTTCTTGCATGTCTAAGGGAAGCAATCGTGTACAGCAAATTGCAGCTTTAGACAAATGAGCAACCTTATGAGGCAAAAACTTCTACCATGTTTCAAGACAATTTCAAGGTAATGATGACATTATTATGCAAGGACCCCAATTATTTCAAGGACACCAAGAAAGTCTCATCCTTTCAAACACTGTTTATCATTATCATCAAGAAAAGCAAGTACATTTCTTGTCATTTCATATGCAAGGGCAGATAACTCACTTCTTATTGGCCTCCTGGTGATCCTTGCACATGCGGACCAAGAGTCGACTGCGCAGTGTGTCAGCCCGCTTGGTGAGAGCACGGATCAGTTCATCACAGTGGACCTCGAACATCCCAAGTCTCAGAACCTGAACAAACATACATCAGTGACTTCCTTATTGCTATCACAAAGAACTACACAACACTGATATCAACGTTTGTGTTCAATCATTGAGGTCCAAATCAACAAGTCCAAAAAGTGATCTCTGAGCCAAACAGAACAGTGAGTCTCCTAACTTTAACATAGAATTACAATAGTCACAGCGATGTAAGATCACTTTGTGGAACAAGGCGTTGATGACTGTAATGTTGCATGGAAGGAAACAGCCAACGGTGCTGCAGGTGCAGTGTGGGTGAGTACCTTGCGCGAGTTGAAGGAGATCTCCTCAGTCAGGTGGTGGAAACGAGCAACTTCTTTTGCATAATCATCAAAGTTGTGTTCCTCCTTCATGAACTCATCCACATCTGTCTCAGCCTTGGAACAAAGATGACAGAAAGTGTTACACACTATGACAAGTCTTACCATGGAGTTCAGTGTTCCCGTTTAACAGTAATTACCAGATTTTTTACCAGTAAAATCAGGCTTGGACTGGTAATTCATGTGACTGTCAGTCCCTGAGGAGCGGCAAATAGAGTACCTTATAAATCTTTGTTGTTGAACAAAACATCGGGGATATTCATATAAGTATTAGTACGAATGAAGTCAGCTTGTCTGTTACCATCAGTGTTTCCCTTTGTCTTTTTTTTGTGCAAGGAAATATTATTTTTTTTGCTTCAAAGTTACATATATATTTGTAGTGACTTCGTCTGGAAATATTAAAAATGAAGAAGAGAAAATTGTGACAAACGATTGTGTGAATGAGGTGTAGATCTAACTAAGTTACTGCACAGATGACGTCATTTCACTGAACATGATGTTGAAAGAATTATAACCAGCTAATTTCCATACGTTTTTTCATTTGATGAAAGATGGAACTGGCAAAAGTTAGGGGGGACTGGAAATTATTAGAGTTGCCAGTCCACCATAACTGGCAGTTTCAAAAGCCAGCAGGAACACTGGAGTTACATCCCTGTCAGAGCCTGTCTACTGGGGTCTGTAAACACACTGACTCGCTAACAAGTCACCAGTTAATATGAGAGGACAGTCAGTCATGTCACAAATGAAAGTTGGTCTGGTGCTCACTATTACAAACTTTGTACATTTGAGTGGTCATTATAACCGACTGGTCACCATTCTAACCATAACTTTGACATATAAGTGAATGAGTATGGACTGACATCATGAGCATCAACCAAGTCAGCAAGCCTGATCACCCGATTCCATAATACACTTGAATGTTCTACCAGGATATGTAACAAGAGGGACAATGACATGTTGAAGATGATGTTGACGATAATGATGATGAGTCAGCGTGTTTCATGATGCAGTCAACAATATTCCAGCTACAAGGTGACCTTTTATATAACTGAGTCTAGGTCAGACAAACCAATGGTTGACAACATGAGCATCAATCCACAATGACACACAACTTGAGTGATCAACCAGAGGTCACAAACTGTAACAACCTGATTCCCATTAGCTGGCTCTCATGATAAGCATGGTGTACTGGGGATATCTTCTGTGCCCGAATTGCCAAGGAGAAGGAGGAGGAGGAGGAGGAGGACAAGGATGAGGAGTGAGTGAGTAGGTTTATTGCCACTTTTAATGTGGGATGTGGGAGAAAAGTGATACAGGTCTCAGATAGACACAATTTTTATGGATAACAACTTCTTTAATACTGTGTTAAAGAAGTTGTTATCCATAAAAATTGTGTCTATCTTGTCATCCGTCAACTTCTAAGTAATGCCTATCAAACAATTTAAGGTCTCAGATGTTTACCACTTTGGTGAAACCCACGAGCACGGGTATGGTGCTGACAAACCTGGAAAACATAATTGGGCAAACCGGGCTTCGAACCCCAATCGTAGGTTTCTGGCGCATCCAAAGGACTCTTAGATGCCACCTGTGCCCCCAAAGATGAGGAAGAGCCAACAGTTCCATACAGTTATAGTTACCATCGTTAACACTCACCTGTTTAGTGATGAGGAAGCTGTATTGGTCATACACCTTACAGTGCTCACTGGGGCCCACACTTTCCTTCTTGATGAGCTCACGAACCATCTGTCGATGTTCCTCCAGGATCTCCTCCAGAACTACGGGCTTGAGGAACGCCTTGTTCTTGCTGCCATTCTACAATACCACAAACACTGATTGAACAGACGGAGAACCTTCACATATTACGAACATGACACCAAGGATTGACATCACTTACCTCGGGCAGTAATTCTGCAAAACCAAAACCACAAACCTTCTTTCAACTGTACAGTGCTCTGTACTAAATGTATGCATGAAATACTATTTCTACATTGAACATTGAGTATTTCTAAGGCAGCTTCTATTACAGAATCCAACAGCTACACTCTGCTAATAAGTTCCCAATCTATAGTGAATGGTCTGTCCTACTCTCCTGCTCTGGTTGCAGATTTAAACATCTACTAGAAGATCTAGCTTCATGCTTTCTAGGAAATCAATCATTGGAATTATTCATGCAGGCTTATGTTCTTTTACTTTCCCTACTCATCTAAACTGTATGGAAACTAATTGTTTCAAAGTCAACTACTTGAATGTACTAGGTTTCTCTACTATAAGACTTCAAACTTACATGCAGAATATCACATGCTTGCTTTGTGCAGTAAACTTGTACATGCTTAATGTGATGTATTTTTCTAAATGAATAAAACTTTGACCATCTAGATGTACACACAACAGTGTCATTGTGAAATCTGATTGACATGTATCTGACATGTATATGTATTCACAGTATATTTCTGTGACTTCTTTGTTTTTCTTTTCCTATTTGTGAAGTTCAGGGTGTGACTCACTCTCATTGGGGAAGAAAAGGGTTTGACTATTTCGAACTGATGAAGTGAGATGTTTGACTATTTCAAACTGATGAAGTGAGATGTTTGACTATTTCGAACTGATGAAGTGAGAGGTTTGACTATTTCGAACTGATGAAGTGAGATGTTTGACTATTTCGAACTGATGAAGTGAGATGTTTGACTATTTCGAACTGATGAAGTGAGATGTTTGACTGTTTCCAACTGATGAAGTGAGATGTTTGACTGTTTCCAACTGATGAAGTGAGAGGTTTGACTATTTCCAACTGATGAAGTGAGATGTTTAACTATTTCCAACTGATGAAGTGAGATGTTTGACTGTTTCCAACTGATGAAGTGAGATGTTTGACTGATTGTCATCAAAGAAGTGACGTTTCACTGATTCTCATTGATAAAGTTAGATGTGACTGTTTCCCACTGATGAAGTAGGGCTTTGGCTGTTTCTCATTCATGAAGTGATATATTTGACTGATTCTCACTGACATGCAACCTTTGACTGTTCCCCACTGATGAAGTAGGAATTTGAAAATTTCTCATTGATGAAGTGTGAGGTTTCTTGACTATCAGTCTTAAAGTGACTGTTCCCCACTCCTTAGCTTGGGGTGGGATGCAGTGACAGAAGTGTGACAACATAAGATGAAGACCCCCTGGTCCACCTTCCATGCAAGAAAGGCCATGCACAAGGAAAGAGAGTTGATGTTAAAACATCTACATCATACACAGTGGATCACAACGACAGAGTGAACAAGTATATGATCCTCACAAACATGTATAGGAATATCCTGTGACTGCACACACCATCAAGGTATACTTACGAAAGTTTTCTTTCGCTTTTTTTTCTTTAACTGTTAAAATGTACAACACATTGCTAAACTTTCCATCAAACTCTATACTGTCTGATGCAGATTGCAAGGAAGAAATCAAGATTGGATATAGACATTACTGCATGTTTCACCATGTTCACAACAACTGGATTGTTTAAGCATTCCGTACCTTGAAATCAGTATTAATTTCAAACATCCAATTGGTATGAATGCATATCTGACTGATATGTTAAACACAAGTCACATACCCATTCTGAGTACAGTTTGGTCTCCACCCTTGGCACGACGGTAGACGCTTTGATGACAACATCATAGACATTCAACAGAACCACTTCAAAATCCTTGAATGTTGGTTCAAACTTGATTTGACTTTCGTCCAAGATGAGTCTCAGGATGAAACCTGAATGTTCATATGCCCTTGTTGAATCCTAGAATCCAAAGGTCAAAAGGTTAAGTTAATGCCATGTAACATTTAAACCATGGTACAACAAGAATCCAAATGTTTAAAGGTCAACATCAATATCATGAAATCATGTCAGAGTCAACTGTAGGTTTTAGTGAATAAATTGATTCTAAAAGTATTCAAATAAATTTTAAAAGTTTGGTAAAAGTATGGATAAGAACTTCTTCCTAATCAAATAGTTGCATCAGAATAATAGTTCTCATTCACACTTGTGTTTATAAACTATATCCACTCCATGAGGGCAAATCAGTCATCAGTACCTGTCTATATGATATATTGTGATCACATTGCGTACTTTGAAATTATCTTGAAACATGACTAGTTCACTAATTCAGCCAAGGGTCAAGTGTAATCCTAGCTAGATCCTAGACTAAACAGAAAGATGAAAGAATTCGTACAAAATAAACTTTCATGTCTTCTTTTCATTCCTGTTGAAAGAAAATATTTGCTTAAACACTTGTCTTGTAGAATATCTGCATTTAATCAAAACTAGAGGACATCAATGGACATGTCGAACTAGCTATCAAAAGAAAAAAAATGTTCTTAGAAGAGAAAAATTGATTGTGTAACAAAAGATTTCATAGAATATGTGTTAGTCTGAAGACAAACATTGTTGGCAATTTGGCAATTAGACATTCTTAATAAATCAAAGCAATACTAAAACAAACACCAATCAAATCATTATTCTACAATTGAAAAACAATGAAGGAAATCCCCTATACTAAAGCATTCACATGTCATTCAATAAAAAAAACAAAAAAACTCTTCAATCAACTCTGAAAAACAAGTCCACACCCATGCCTCCACCTCCTGAAAATGGGAAAACAGTGCCAAGGCAATCACTCCTACACCCTGGAGTACCACGTGCATTACATCCCCATCATATATGATGATGCCATGGGCCCAGTTGCCACCTTCGCTTCTTGCTGAAGCCATTTTGAATAACACTTTATTAAGAGACGTCAATCAAATACCATTGTTCCTGCATGATGTTAGAAAGCAGCAGAATGACCAATACTCATCTCAACTTTTGTGTGACATCCAAAATACAAGTGGAAAATCTAGAAGCATAAGACTTCCCTCCCCTGTGTTAGGACTCAGGAAAACATTCTTTCCAACCAAAACATTTTTAACAATCCTAAGATTTGTTTAAATACATCAAGGCCTCGCTCTGATGGTGCCTAGAGTTTAAATGTAGATCTATGCCGAAGAAACATTTTATTGGTTTTCTGATTTTGAGTCTGGACCAGACGATCCAGTGATTGACATCATGAACATCAATCTACACAAATGGGATACAATGACATGCATCAACCAGGTCAGCAAGCCAGACCACCTGATCCCGTTAGTCTCCTTGTATGACAAGCATGGGTCGGTCAAGCCCTATTCTACGATAAGAGAATTGAAGCTGGTGAGATCACATAACAAAGCTATAATGGGGGCAGGTGGGTCCATGGTGTGGATCATAACAGAATGGACATATAATACCCTGGATAATCAAGGATGTCACTTCTGTGAAATAGGAAACATGACAAACCCATTCACCCTCCCCACAACCGATAAGTCAACAACCATCAAAGATTCCAACAACCAAATTGGCTCCGATGTAGCCAGCAAGTGCAGCTTGCAATGCAACTGTGCAGCATATTTAATGCAGTGTGCAGCATGTATCGATGCAATGTTGATAATATAAAACATCCAGCCATACCTCAATGATCTTTAAGAAGAAACGACAGCCAGCAGTAATAGGAGTTAATTAGCACAGGTAAAACATTGGCAACAACATACTACAGCAGTATCAAGTGATGGATTATCTAAACGTGTACACATTGAGTGACAGATGTAGATTACATGTGATGTACATGATATATATGTGTACACAATCATTGTCATGTAGGAATGCAGTGATCAGCTGGTACCATGCTGACAGAACTGTTAACACTAGCATTATTTCATTGATCATCTGAGACTCTATATTGGTTATATAGAAAAACACTCTCAAGACAGCATACCGGTAGTCATAAAAAAACAAATATCAAATGATGGTATATGAACTTTTCTGTAAATCATTTTGGGAAGAATTCTGCTCAACCGATTTTTATTTTTTTTATTCAATAATAACAACAGATCATGCAATTCGCAAATATATTATCATTTTAAAAAATAACCCTTAATACATTTGTTCACATGAGGAAAAGATATATTAGTAGAAGACAGGAAAGCACTGTCTTTGTTAGTAGTGCATGTTTGATCGCCAGTACTTCACAGGTTTGTACACACGATGTTCTACCATCACCCGTAAACACATACAGCCGATTTGCAGAGTAGTTGATATTATTAACCAACGAATCAGACCAATGAGCACTTCATTTACATCACTCAAATAGCAATAGTTCTCGGTCAACATGACAGTTTTGCGGCTACCTGCTCCACAAACTTCATACACAGAATTGGGCTTAGTTGAACTTTATGACACAGACTTATTTATTGCTTGACTAACAATATACACATGTCCCCATGATGTTGCATATCGGCATATGTATTGACGAGAGATGGGGAAACGTGTCTACAATGCCTTAATATTCATGTGTTGATGACGTGCATGGTTTTGAAGATCTACAAGCAAGACTCGGTGACAGGAACATTCAGTGTAAGGAGCACCATCAGTGGCAGGCGTTTGTAGCCATGCTGTCGTGACGCCCTCCACACCCTGTGAAGGAGCTATCACAGTGCTTGTTCAAGTGATCCTAAAACACTTTTTATTTTCACTTGCATAACTTTAGAAATCAAAATAATATTTTAGAATAAAAAAATTATTGTCATGTTGATGTGCAGAATTGGATGTTATTGGAAGTGTTATTTAAAGTCAACTAAATATGATGCAAATTGTTCCATGTGCAAAACAAATAATTTATCATTCCTAAACTAGGGGATAGTGTTACATGTGGATTCAGGGAATGTCTGAGAAATTATTCAATTAATACAACTATCATTAACTTGAGGGTCTGATTTCACACTGGGATATATTAGGAGACGGAATGGACCTCAACAACAAGGAAAACTTACATTCTGGACAGAGACATCCCTTAACAAATCGTGTACTTCATACAACACAACATTGGTTGGCCAGAGCTCTTTGTTGGAAGCGTGGGGCTGCTCTGTCATCAAAATTTGAGATCACCATGCAATATTGAGGGACATTACTAAGAGGGACATAAACACCACACTCTCTCACTCATGCTCTAACCAAACTGTCCCTGGGTGCCCGATGAGACTCTTAGGCTTATCAGGGTTTGATGGATACTGTCAAAAGGGGAGTAACTCACTCACTCACTCACTCACTCACTCATTACCGTCAAATGGTCTCAGGAAGCCTGGTGTTTATCATTTGTTCCCTGTAATAGTGTTATATTGACATTGCTAAGAAAGGGGCCTAACAAACACTCACTCACTCACGGGCCTGGGGTGCCCTATATAATTTCATAACTTATAAACTAACAGCTTGAAGCATTCTTAAAGCTCTGGACACACGAGACACTTCTGGGGTCATGGAGCAGATTCAACTTCTGGCTACTTCAATCCAACTCTTGATATACATGTACTTGCAATCAAAATGGATTGAGAATTTCCACATAACTGGTTTACATACATAATGAGGTCTCTAAAACTATACTTGGACATCTCGTAACTGATCCGCCGTCATCAACCATTTTGTGAGTGCAATGTGTCTGAGGAGAAGGAGCAAAGAGAGAGGGCAGAAATATCAAATAGTCTGAAAAAATCAAGATTAGTGTCGGGAGCAGAAAAGGATAGCTGCCTAGCAAGACAAACTTACCCTTCGATTGGGAAATGTAAGCAACTAGTAAAGTGATATACAGTTAAAACTCTGGAATCATGGTGATAAAACATATGTAACTTATCACACATAAAAAGCTGGCGCCTTCCTTGGTATTATCATTATTATCATGTTTCACTGACTAGGGTCTTGCTTAGCATGTCCATTTGACACATTTATAAAGACTGAGAAAGTTATAACATAAAGAATTCATGAATGCATCTAAATATATTTCATTGTGTTTATTTATTAGTGTGTTATAGCAGCAATATTTCAGCCAAATGACTACAATCTGTAACTAATCAAATCTGGACCAGACAATCCAGTGATTGATATTGTGAGTACTAATCAATGCCATCGGGGTACGAAGACAGCATCACAACACGCTATCAGTCAAGTCATTGAGCGTGAACATCCGATCCATAAGGTCGCTTCACACAACCAGCATAGGTTGCTGGGGACCAGTTCTAAGATCCAATCCCAACTCAGGAAATGTCTTCTTGTCATTGACAGTCCAGAGGAGTTTTACATGTATACACTGACTGGTTCCACATAAGATATATTTCTATACATGAATATGAACCTATGTCATTTCATTTTAGTTAACTTATTCCTATCAATTTTGAAAACTGACATTTAACCTCTAAATGTTTATTTGATCAGCAAAGTTTCCTTGCTTAAAGCATCGTGGTAAGTGGTAGGAAAGTGTAGTATGCAATAGGAGGAACAGATGAGGACAATGAGTAACTTGTTATCAGATTTAGTTAGCAAAAAGACAGACAGATTCAACATGTGTTTAGTCATATCAATGAACAGTGCATGAAATACACCAGACAGTGAAATGAACATCAGTGATGACGGACAGTCGCACAGCGCAGAGTCAGCAGGTGTGACCATAGAGTGAATTTCATCTTGTGCTCATCACTGATATTGATGACATTCATAAATAGCTGGTACTAACTATAAGCTTGACATTGTCAGAAAGCCTATAATAGCTTTCACTTAATGGCAACAAAATTTTCTTAGTCTAGCCTGGCTGTCTGCAAAGCAAAGTCTTCTGGCAATAACTTCCAATGAACCATATGAACTACAATTCTAAATAATGTCCGAGTGTGAACCTACCTCGGGCTGCCACAGCAGGTCAGTATAGTCGTTGAGGGAGTAGAGGGTCAGTTGTTGCAGGTTGTCTGTCATCAGAGTGGCCGCACAGTTGAAGAAGGACTCCAGCATCTCCTGGTCCTGGTTGCTAGGCACCTGCTTCCTCTTGTTGCCCTGGTAGAAGATGTTCTGTACCTCCGGGAACCATCTGGCGGAAAAACAAAACTATTGACTGCAACATTGTGTCCATGTTAAACCTCCCAATAAAGTATTTAAAAGATGGCTTGTCCATCATATTGGTGATCACTACCCATATAGTGATCATGATTTCTTCAAATACATGCTATACTCCTTCTTGGATGACTCAGATGGAACCAGAGGATCAGGAGTACACATCCTCCCAACACAGACACAAGCACTGCCCCACCCCTTCTGAACATCAAAGTCTTATTATTTTGAAAATTCTGAACCAATTTAGCAGCCTTCATAAAGCAATATAATGAACAAGAAAAACACTCTTAATAAACTGTCCAGTTCCCTCCTATGGTATCTCCAATAAGCAAGCTAAAGTATATTCCTATCACTCACTTCTTTAGCAGCCTCTCCTTGGCAGCCTCGATGTGTCTCATGCACAGGTTCTGGAAGGTGGCCAGTTCCATGGAGTCCTGTCTGTTGTGGAACTCATCAATGTCGATGAACCTCAGGAGGCTGGAACACAAGACAACATCATTACATGACTTGGAAGCAACTTAAACTTGTACAAGGGACCTCAAGAGCCAATGATGACTGTTGTGTGTTACCAGGCAGTGTTTGTGCCAGTGATGGTCATTGTGACAATCATGTGATACTGTGGTCCTATTGTGCCAGTACCTACCTAAAGGAGACGTGCCAGAGATCGAGCACCTGCAGATTGTGCCAGTGATGGTCATTGTGACAATTATGTGATACTGTGGTCCTATTGTGCCAGTACATACCCAAAGGAGACGTGCCAGAGATCGAGCACCTGCAGATAGTACCAGTGATGGTCGTGACAATCATGTGATACAGTGATCCTATTGTGCCAGTACATACCCAAAGGAGGCAAGCCTGAGATTGAGCACCTGCAGATTGTGCCAGTGATGGTCGTGACAATCATGTGATACTATGATCCTATTGTGCCAGTACATACCCAAAGGAGATGTGCCAGAGATCGAGCACCTGCAGCATGCAGGGGTTCGTGACATGTAGGTGGTGGGTCATCAGCTCCAGGCCGCCAAGGAACGACTTGTTCCAGGGTTTGGGGACGACGGCCAGCTCCTCCCGATGGGGCAGCAGCTTCTCCTTCTTGTCCTCATCCTTCTCCCGGGGATCCTTCAGCACAAAGTCAACTGGCAGCAGGAAACATCAGCAGTTAAGTATCTACTTCAATACATTCAAGTGTAAGAAAGATCACCCTTAAATTGTGCTTATATTAGCTAGTAACATTTATCAAGTTCACAATATTTCAGGATTATGGAGATACATTTGACATGGTATGAAAACATATTTTCAAATGAACATAACAATAAAATAAATTAATTGTTCCAAACTTGAGGGTAGGGAAGCTAATAACGCATAAACTATGAAAAGGTTTCATTTTATTTTTTGAATGGTCAAATGAAGGGCTATAAGAAAACAATAATCTTATGACCAGAAATCAAACTTCCTCTCACCAATAGCTTTCTTCACACTGAGTAGGTAGTCTTCCCTCATCTCATCAGACAGGTTCTCTATCGTCTCCTCATGACCACCCTGCAACATAAACACCATTATCATGTCAGAATGATGAAATCTGATGGTCCACGTGATCTTGATAAAATACTGTATAACCCGCCTTGGAGGGAAATAAATTTCCAAGCAGGGGAATAAATCTCTTATACCCTGCCACAAGCACTACAGGCTGCACGTTCATTTCTGAGAGACAGAACAAATCCCTTATACCCTGTTTCAAAGCAAAAAGCCGCACGCTTTTTCCAAGCCAATGGATGTCAGGTGACAGAACAAGCTCACCCCAGCTCAATCGAGCAGCTGTTTTCTATCAATTTTGGATTTATTTGAATTATTTTACAATGTCATATTAAAACATGTCGGTAAGATAAATTATGACTCGTGGTATGAAACTTAATGAGGGACGCATAAAACCCCATGTATCCCAAGTCATTCTGCTACAACTTATGATATTATATGCATATTGTATCAGTGAAACACTCTTATAACATTTTAATCTAAATAACAAAGTCTAAATACTGTCCATATAATTTACCTTGAGTGTGTGGGGGACAAGATACAACACATTTTCCAGCCACGAGTCTTCCATTGGTGCAACATGCTCGGTGTCGATACCATTGTGTATGTAGTAGTAGTATCTCTGGAAATGACAGAAATTTTTTGGAAACATTTTAATGGAACAAGTGTGACCACTCAGCCCAAACACCATGCTACCTGGCACACATATCTCACAACTCTCTATATCACGGCACCTGTGGACTGTCACTTGAAAGAGTTACCTCATCATACAAACTAGACTGTGTTTTTACTCATAAACACTTATATATACACCCCGCCCATTTTTCCAATACATTAGTCCAAATTGGTTCCATGGAAATACAAGAAATTTAAAAAATCAAAAACTGAAAAACATGAAAAGGCCAAGAGTTGTTTGAATCTCCATGATTTTTTTCCGTGGTAGCGTAACCAAATAAAATTGAGAAAAATTTGAAAATAGTATATTGTAATAGGCACCAGTGCCAAGTTTGGTTTAAAAATGTCGAAAGGTATTCAAGTTACGGCCTGGAAACAAACTCTACCCTCATTTGAGATTACAATGAAAATTGATTTCATGGAAACATAAGAAATAAAATTTAGAACAATTTCAAAATAGCAAAAGGGACCGATGAGCAATGCATATGCCAAGTTTCATTGATAACCATTGAAAGGTTTTCAAGTTATGGCTCGGAATAGGATGGGACCACCGCCGACATCTACGCCAACATCTACGGGAACCGAGCCAAATACAATAAGCACAATGCACTCTTGTTGTATGAACCGTGATAGTCCACTGTAGGAAACTTTAAAATGAACCATGGATTTATCACATAAACCATTTTACCAGGTCTAACAGACAATCACATCAATCATAGAGTGTAGAGGTATAGGTACATACAAGTGAGTGAATGTTGTTTTATTCTGACATCAGATATATTACTTTGTTAAAACTACAGCATATCATAAATCAAATCTAGACAACCCAGTTGTTGAGGGCATGACCAATAATCTACACACACACTTATCTGTCAAGATCACATATATTGTAACCATCTGGTCCTATTTTCAATTTAGGCAATGGGTGGCCCAGTTCTCTGAGATGCAGCAATTTGCTGCCTCCTTCAGGCACACCAGAAACCTGGGACCATAGGTTCAAATCCCAGATTCGCACTGATTATGTTTCTAGGTATGCCATCACCATACCCATGTTTATGGGTTTCAATAAAGTGGTAAACGTTTGACACCTGCGTCAATTCGGGCTTTCCTCCCACATCAAGCTGACATGCTATAATATTTCTGAGATAAGGTTGGGGAACAAAACACATCTGTTGTCAGCTCTTGCATCCAATTTGTTTTTCTTGGAATCTCAAGGGGGAGACAACATGGTAAACTTACCAGGATATCCTTCTCGGCAGCAGTGGGGGAGCCTGTGCGGGACAGTGGGGGGAGGTCACCATTGGGGGACCCGGCACTGCTCCGGGGTAGGCTCTCTTCCTGCCTGTAACCAGTAGCAAGGAAATATGTATAGACACCTTCAGTTGCTATTACAGATGTCAGAAGAGATAGATATGCACAGGCGGATCCAGTGGGGGCCCTGGGTGTCTGGATCCTGGGGGTCCAGACACCCTCCCCTCTTTTGAAAAACAAATGTAGTATGTTGAAGGCAGAACAACTGACTCAGGGAGGATTTTGACATTTTGGTCCCCTCCCTTTAAAAATGCTGGATCCGCGCTTGGGTATGTCTCTAGTATGTGTCAAACTCCTACTATGACACATGGAAAGTGAGGTTCAAGTATAGAATGTGGAGATCTGTGTATGATGTGCCAAATCATAAGGGTCTCCCCAATGTCTTTTGCATCACTTTCAGTAGATTTTGATGTTTAAATATGGGAGATTAATTGCTCAGCATTAAGACCAATAGAAATTTTATAAAAAGAATTGGAATTTGGACTAGTGGCTAAAGTAGCAGGCCTCATTGTAGCAACACTTTGACTTTTATGACAGACAAACTATCTCCACAACACTCTACATCATATAGTTTGTGACCTTTGCCACTAACCAATTCCAGAGTCCCTTGCTACTTTCTGAGTCTCTTTTCACACAACAATCACAGTGCGAGGCGTAACTCCCACACTTACGATAACTTACAATAGAGCAAAATTTGCTTTATTGAAGACTGGCCTTGACAAATAGTTTTAAACACCACAAACTTGAAAAGAATTTGAGTTTACCAGCCAGAACTTGTCTCTTGGCAGACTCATTAGTGTTGGTATATGGACTATGCCCAATAGAGATTACCAAACACATATTTCCTGGACACAGGCTTCAGACTTGAGGCTAAAAGTGCAGAATACTTCTAGAAAGCATTTTGACTTACATAATGATGTCCACAAGAGCCTTTCTGAAGTTCTCCCTATCTTTCTTTGGCTGTTTGAACTGGTCCATGTTGACATCTTGTTGCTTGTGTGGATCTATAGGCTTCAGCTTGCTTGGCTGTTTTCTCTTCCGACTATCTCCTGCAGAATAAGATGGACTCTTGAAATTGACATGACTGCTTGAATGAACTTGTGATGCTAAACTAGGAGCACTGAATGATATTCTGACACAAACAATAATATTATAGACACATCTGCGTTCGAAATCAAGGGGGACCTGAGGGATTCATGAGGTTTGCTCCAACAGTACTTCAATCTGGGGACCCCCTACATTTTCAGCCATGTTAACATCATGGTTATGAAGACTAGGCTGGGGCGAGTCCAAATTTACTACCCGGGTACCCACCCCCTTTTACCCAACCCTACCCGGGTACCCACTGTAGGTCTCAAGAGACAGGAACAAAATGTCCAATTGGGAATAGTTTGACTGTAGCCCTGGACAAAATGTATTTAGATACACATATAAAACGATCTGGCAAAGCATACTCTAAGTTGACTGAAGTTTTATTTTTATTCAAACATACAAAAGTCAGAAGGAATGGGTGCATAGTCAGAAAGAAGTGTGAACATTTGTGACTTGTAGTGTAAACATAGAGTTCTAGATCATTTTGTCATTAAACAATATATCACATGACTAACCCATGTAGTCCTGTGGGTACCTGGGTCCTTCTCACTGGTTCTCAGTACCCACCCGACCCGAGTAGCCCAGTTACCCATCCCAGCCCTAATGAGGACCCCCACAATTTCATGCTTGATATCGAACACTGCTCTCCCTAATACTCACATGTCGGTTACAGTGTTGCTGAAGCACAAAGTAACTGATGTATACCAAACCTTTTGACATAATCACTCAGTCAATAATGTGGTTCCAGAGTGTTGTGAATAATAAACACAAATTGACTACCCCTACAAGAAATGAAATTGTGTGTCTTGAATCAGTAGCCCAAAATATCCCCCCTCTCTCCACCTCTTCCACTGATGGTCCATATATTACAGATATAAACCGATATCTTACTTTGTATCCATAAGGATAGATGACAATTGCAGTCCATCAATAATTTGATAAATCATTACACAACAACATGGATCAATAGTCATGACATGACAAGTATGTCACAAGAGACCAACTCAAAGTGACCTCGAACAATGTCACACAAGCTTTGACACCATGCCAACTACGCTGTAAATAGCAATGACTCAATAGCAAAACAACAGATTATACATAACCTTGGCACTTATTAAACATCGCACCACGTCATTCCAAAGGTTACCTCAAAGACATGGCACTTGTCTTATGAAACAAACACCCAAAGACCATTTATTTGATTTCACACCTAGCAGATGACAAAAATATTTCTAAATCTGAACAAAATCAAATAACTTATATTGTAAAAAATTAACAAAATCATTACAATGTTGTACAGATGTGATATGTCACCTACACCCAAAAGAACCACAGAATTATTTTAAACAAATCACAAATGTAACAGATATTATATTCCTACAACTCATAACATAGGACAATGAAACAATTACATACACAGTGTCCGAAAGTAAGCATGAAGGTCAAGAGGTCCTTGTCACAGCCCTAATGTCAACATTTAGGGTCCCTAGATTCAGATACCACCGAAGACATCATAGAACCCCCTTAATATTAAACATTGCCTGTATATCTACTGCTCTAACTGCACTGAACCAAACAGCTGATTGATTCACAACATACACAAGCACCCATCCAATTACACCGCCGTGGAAAGATCAACTCTCAGACACTTCTACAGCAAATCAATCTGAATTATTCACACACACACATATAACTTTAATTTCACAAACTTTAAAATTAGCCTGATATACCCTCCATACACATGGCACTCGCCTTCCACCAGACATCAGATCTCATCACGATGTGTTTTTCTTACAAATCTAATTACCCAGTCCACATCGCCAGGAAACAACTACAGCCACCGCCTCCATTATTCATGCCAGTAAGACAATCACTGAGACTAGGCATGGAATTAATCAATTGATTAATTACAGGAGGTCAGTATCTTCAAAGCACTACATACAGGTCTTAAACTGTGAAACTTGAACAAGTTGATATTCCTGTGATTACCTTGGTCTCAGAGGCATGTGACTCTTAGCATTTGCAAATACATGTACAAAATGTATCTTGTGTTACAAACAGAAATATTGCAAGCTGACTAATATATATTTTACTTGATTGGTGTTAGAAATTGGTAAACAATTCAAGGTTGATCCTTGGTTTTAGACTAACATCTAGTCTCTGAAATGAACACATCTTACATAAAAAAACAGTTGTTCAGTTATCTTAATAAAAAATATAATAAAAAGGAGCCCAGTGACTCTACTGCAGTGATCTAGACTTGCCAAACATTATAGACTTGCATGGGCTGTATTTGATATATATTTGTATCAGGGTCTGTAAGACAGACTACCTTGGTTTGTAAAAGCAGTTCAATGATTATTTAATGATGATGAAGCACATGATCATTTATATGTAGAGAGTGAGTTGGGTTTTACGCTGCTTTTGGTAATATTCCAACAATACCAGGGGACTGTTGATATGTAAATAACAATAAAAACAAAAAAAGCAAAACATGTAAATAATATTCTGCAACACAAAAACATGTACTATGAAAGCTTGTAACAGTAACAGACCTTACGAATCAATAGTTATTGTAAGTCATTTCTAAAAGATCACTCACTTGCTGTAAGTTCTCCGACAAGGTCGATGGGACGTTCATCATCATCTGGTCTCCCAGACAAGAAAAATGCTGGGGGGTTGGACTGCCAAGCTGGCTTGCTGCGCTTTGATGGAAGAACAGGCAGGAATCGGATCGGATCATCAGTTCCCTTACCCTTGCTTCCCCCCGCACCTCTTGGGGAGGGCTGCAAACAAAAGGCCTCAATTAAGCCTGGGATAGAAACGTAGATTCTTTTTTAAGTGTGCAAGGGGTTTCCTGTGTGCCAAACTAAAACCTTCTCGTCAATTAAACAAAGAAATAGGATATTTCATTAAGTGTATTGATAAATTATATTACATAATGTTTCTGGTGTAACCGGTTACTGGCTTACTCTAGGCAGATATGGAAAACAACTAAAAGGAGCAAAGTATACAGATATTATGTGATGAAATATCAGGGTTTTATGCAACGCACAAATGTGCATCCAAATGTAGAGAAGGGATGCAGAATAAAATATAAACTGCGTCCCTCGGGGCTCACAATAACATTCATTGTACCTACAGAGCATCAAGAGCAGTTGAGGGAGTCTGTAATTTCATCCATCAATCATGACCACTGTCCACATGATCACTGATTCAATCCAGGCACTGAAGTAATTATCTAAACATACAGTCCACTTCACCATTTCACTACTTTAAAGGACCCATATATTGACTGCAGACCCTTACAATTAATTCTTGGGTGCCCTGGAACCCCCCTTTTGTAAGTCAAAGAAAAACCTGGAAATGTATACATTAAATAATATGTTTTTGAAACTACAATGCAAAGTGTACAACATACACATTTTATAATTTAAATTTCGTCACTTAGCAAATAAATCAAATGGCCAATCTGTTTGTCAATAATACCTGATTTATTCAAAGTAGGGCAAGAATGCATTCTACCAGACATCTGCCATTTTGGTAAGGGACGTGCACAAGCCCCTTCCTTAGCACTAGTTCCTAAGTTTTACAGATGCCATTTTAGCCACCTCAATAAAATAACTGGGGTTTGCCCCTAAACAACGTCTTGAATTGAATGCTTTTTAGAGTAAAAGTTCATGAATAATGGTTTGTTGAAATGTGGCCCCCATGGTTGTCTCTGATGAGGTGTAAGCTTCTATTTCCTAGCACTTTTTCGATGTTTAATGATTAAACTTCAAAATTGAATACTGTAAGTCTGGAAAGTTTTGCACCATTAAATTATTGCAAGTGAGTAACAATATCTTAACTGCGTTAGGAATGTTTTGCGACACTATGGCAATGAGATTACCAAAGATTAAAGTTGCTTTTGCATGTGCCATAGTTTTAGGAAGGTGTCCAGTAAAATGCATTCTTCCTGTCATGCAACAATGAGAGTGTTAGAAATTGGCACTGGTCCTACTATAGTCCTTGCCAATCTGCCCAATAGTAAAGGTATCATAAGGACTAGTACAAGTTTGCCAATTTATAAGGGTTTTGCTATATGTTATCATTATAAGGACTAGTGGACCAAAAATGTTAGTTTCTACAGCTGAATGACAGGTTTTATCAGCACCAAGAATCTAATGGTGGTTGAAGAATCAATATGGGAAAGGGTTCTGTTTGTTTGATGTCCGAAATCAAATGAGACCTTTCCTTAAAATGAATCATTATCAATGATATTATCGATTGGGGTAGACTGCAGTATTTGGGCCCCGAAACTGGAAGGAATGTTTATCATATTTACAGAAGTTCACAAACAAAAAATGTTCCACGCATGCGCACTTCATTATTTACAGCGAGTTGCCAAACGCTGTCGTTATATTTTGCAGTGCAAGTGTGTGTGGTCAAGGTTTGGATGTAGGTGTTATGGGAATCTAAACAAGAGAACATTTAAAATATTTATTCACACTAACTTTACCCAGACATTGATTTTCAAAAGTGATTTTCAGGAGTAGAGTGTATCACGGAACCTGAATTATTAGTCAGAAAGGTCCCGACTGTCTCCGAACCCACATTTCCCACTGATCGAGCACTCGCGATCACGTTTTTCCGAATAGTTTTACTCTTCAACCACTTTTGTACGTCACGATAAATATACGCGCACTGATTAAGTAAGAAATATACCAAGGCTGTTGTATTGATTGGTGAATATGACTAACTAATAGTCTATGATTCAGTTCAAGAGACTGGAATGATTCTGCAAAGAAACTAAAGAGTAATAAACACCCCGGTTACGAAACTCGACGAGATAAACAAACGATGATGGTATCTAACTTTCTCGCCTGAATTTAGCTTTGTCACCCACCTGAATCTCCGCCATTACTTCCCTAAGGTCTTGTCTGTTTCGTTATAGCTTCATGTGATGTAATTGAACGCTGCAACAACTTGTCCAAGGCACAAACTGTGTGATATCCAGTGTGGAATTAGCTGTCAAAGCTAATGCATTGGGAATATGGCGGACGGTGAAGGTTGCTAGGAGATTAGAAGCTTTTTAACTCGGTCATTTCCGTAAATTTACGTAATTTAACGAAGTAATATCTTTTATTAAGGGTGTCTTCAAATCAACAGTAGTTTCAGTAAAGTATATTATTAGTGATATTATTCGATAGAATTCCCGAAAAGTAATGAATAAATAAAATGCACGACATTTCCTATCAACTAGAAATACCACAAAAATGCGCAGCCGCTTGGCTATCAATAGACTGATGCCAAGTCTAAATGTTTTCCTAAACTGGTTCCACTGTTGGTACGCGACGCAAGATTACCGCTTTTACTGTTTAGGTAGACAGAATCCCAGTCAAAATGTTTATCTTTAACATGCGCTGATGCACGAAAAGAGAGGGACTTACTAGTTGATTTAGTGGTGGACTGACACAATTATGACTTAATGAAATTGATTATCAATGTACTGCCAGGATGGTACACATACCAACAAGTGTTCTTAAGAATATCGCTGTCTTTGGCGGGGTTTTCGCTCTTGGTAGTGCGTACTACATGACTGAAAAGATTCAAGGTGACATATATAATTATATTATACAATATGAGATGACGTGATGACTTTTAGGCTTGATCTTACTTCATCAGTAGTTTAGACTAAATCCCATGTATGCCATTTATACAGCCCAGCCACCTTTACCTTTAAACACCTCATTTATTGGTCCTTTCTTATCACAATTATCACTGATAATATTAAACATGTGAAATGTAAGTGTTCCCTAATGAGTGAGTATGGTTTTACACTGATTTTAGCAATATTCCAGCAATATCACGCCGAGTAACATCAGAAATGAGCTTCATGCAATGTACCCATGTTGGAAATCGAACCTGGGTCTTCGGCGTGACGATCAAACGCTTTAACCACTAGGCCACCCGACAGCCATGTTCTCTAATGATATCAAATATTACTTGTATTACTGGGGGAAAATAGAAGTGGCACAAGGCATGACTCAGTTGACAGTCCTAGTATGTTTGGTTCAAGTCGTTCAATCCACTTTGTTTGCTAACCCACGTTTTATAATGTATACATCTATTACCGATAATTGTCAATGATTACCCTTAAATAATTTTTACCATGCAGAGACCATATATAGGCATGCCTATCAATATTTTGTATCTGTCATAAAACAATAATGTCTCAGTTTCACACACGCATTAATTGCAAGATCTAATCATGAAGGGAGCATAGGCATGGAGCATAGGCAGGGAGCATAGGCATGGAGCAGATATACCTGTGTTGTGTCACCACCGGTACAGCAACAGACTTTATGTTTTCAGAAAGGTTCAGGAAAGAAGACTATTATCGTATTCCCATGAAGATGCTGAGACAGTACCAGCCGGCAGTGGAGGCATTTGGTCAGCCCATCGTCAGCAAGAGGCTGGACCTAGGAGACACACAACATAACCGAGTGGATGGACTGAACGCCAGTGTAAGGTTGTCTGAACGATCTGATCCCTACAGCCGGCGATTCAACACTGCCTCTTATCCGATCCTAATTATTCTTTCAAAATGTAGAATCATTATGTGATGGAAAATGCTAGTTCCAAATGAATTGTGGAATAGGATGTCCAATCCTGAATTAAAATGTTCCGAATTGAATTAGAAAAAAAACCATTAACATTTAAAATAAACCAAACTCAACAAAAATAAAATATTAAGCTCCGAGCAGCGTGCATTTCCATGTCATGGAGGAATCATGACAATCTGTTGATTCTGCTTCCAGAGTCAACAGATGTGAGTTACTTCTGGGACTACCGTCATGTTATGGTTGATATATAGAATTTCTCAATAATTCTACATAATGGCTTATAATGGCTAGTGAAGTCCTGCCCGAATGTCTTGCAGATAATTTTAAGACTACTTCCACACTCAGTTTTATTATTACCTGTTTGATCATTGCATTGTTCAGTTTTTGTGGCCTCAGGTTTTATAACAAACAACTGATATTGTTACACCTCTAATATCTGGACCACTGTACATTGTGTATTGTGAATCCAAACTTTTGATGTGTGTTTGAAACTCTGAAAAGGTATATTGTTTATATTCAGACAGGGATCATGGCCATTTTGTTTGAAAACTATTTACAAGAACATCCAGTTCAACCAGACATAAACAAGTGATTTGTGTTGTCATTCAGCCTTGGGACCAACAATGTTTCCAAGTCTTTACAGTGTTGTCACTACCCCTAGTGTACAGTACGTTCACCCTGTGTTCTCAAAAGAACCCACTCGTCCGATGGTAGATGACCAGATGGTAGAAACATGAATATGTACATACGCAGAACACACAAGTGTAAACACGTTTGGTGTCGCCCTGGGCAAGTGACATAGTTCAAATGTGCCTCTGTTAACCCAGCAGGGAATGGGTACCTGATACATGTATGTGAAGTAGATACAAAAACCCTTTAGCACCCGTAGGCAGCTTGGGTTGAATACTCCCCAGGAAGTTGAGAATGATAGCTGGATTGCAACCAGATCCACTGGTCAGGGAACAAATAAAACCGCATTTGAGCAGAAAGTGCCTGGATACCTGTAGTATATATAGAGAATCTGGCCCGAGTGTCTTTTGATATCAAATATATCAACAAGAGTTGATAAAAGTGGAAAAATTCCGAGGCTTGCCGAGGATTTTTGCCACTTTTATCAACGAGTGTTGATATATTTGATATCAAAAGACACTCGGGTGAGATTTTATTTATCATCCAACATCATTCTTTCAACTTTTTCAATTTGTAGACAGTAATTAGCAGTGTCTTCAGTGTAAAAAGTACTGCAAACAGCTTCAGTAGCAGAGCCATTAGTGATGTCATTTGATTGTGACGTCATGGTAACCAGTGACGTCACAATGGTCTGCAAAGCATTGTGATGTAATTTCATTGCAGCGATATCTACAGTGTAGATATCTCCTGTGGGAGCCAGTTTTGGATGATAAAAATGTATAATATAATAAAATAAACTTTATTGTCTATTTTCCCTGATGATAGATATTATCATTTTCCTCACAATGTTTTTCAGCTGCTTATTCCAGTGAAAGGACCCAAGGATAAAGGCAGTCTTTACATTCAGGCCAGCAGACTTAGTGGTAAAGACAGGTAGGTGTCCACGGATAAGGGCTGTCTTCACATTCAGGCCAGCAGACTTAGTGGTAAAGACAGGTAGGTGTCCACGGATAAAGGCAGTCTTTACATTCAGGCCAGCAGACGTAGTGGTAAAGACGGGTAGGTGTCCAGGGATAAAGGCAGTCTTTACATTCAGGCCAGCAGACTTAGTGGTAAAGACGGGTAGGTGTCCATGGATAAAGGCAGTCTTTACATTCAGGCCAGCAGACTTAGTGGTAAAGACAGGTAGGTGTCCATGGATAAAGGAAGTCTTTACATTCAGGCCAGCAGACTTAGTGGTAAAGACATGTAGGTGTCCATGGATAAAGGCAGTCTTTACATTCAGGCCAGCAGACTTAGTGGTAAAGACAGGTAGGTGTCCAGGGATAAAGGCAGTCTTTACATTCAGGCCAGCAGACTTAGTGGTAAAGACAGGTAGGTGTCCACGGATAAAGGCAGTCTTTACATTCAGGCCAGCAGACTTAGTGGTAAAGACAGGTAGGTGTCCAGGGATAAAGGAAGTCTTTACGTTCAGGCCAGCAGACTTAGTGGTAAAGACAGGTAGGTGTCCATGGATAAAGGAAGTCTTTACATTCAGGCCAGCAGACTTAGTGGTAAAGACAGGTAGGTGTCCACGGATAAAGGCAGTCTTTACATTCAGGCCAGCAGACTTAGTGGTAAAGACGGGTAGGTGTCCACGGATAAAGGAAATCTTTACGCTCAGGCCAGCAGACTTAGTGGTAAAGACAGGTAGGTGTCCATGGATAAAGGCAGTCTTTACACTCAGGCCAGCAGACTTAGTGGTAAAGACAGGTAGGTGTCCACGGATAAAGGCAGTCTTTACATTCAGGCCAGCAGACTTAGTGGTAAAGACAGGTAGGTGTCCACGGATAAAGGCAGTCTTTACATTCAGGCCAGCAGACTTAGTGGTAAAGACAGGTAGGTGTCCAGGGATAAAGGAAGTCTTTACACTCAGGCCAGCAGACTTAGTGGTAAAGACAGGTAGGTGTCCACGGATAAAGGCAGTCTTTACATTCAGGCCAGCAGACTTAGTGGTAAAGACAGGTAGGTGTCCATGGATAAAGGAAGTCTTTACATTCAGGCCAGCAGACTTAGTGATAAAGACAGGTAGGTGTCCATGGATAAAGGAAGTCTTTACGTTCAGGCCAGCAGACTTAGTGGTAAAGACAGGTAGGTGTCCACGGATAAAGGCAGTCTTTACATTCAGGCCAGCAGACTTAGTGGTAAAGACGGGTAGGTGTCCATGGATAAAGGAAGTCTTTACATTCAGGCCAGCAGACTTAGTGGTAAAGACAGGTAGGTGTCCATGGATAAAGGCAGTCTTTACATTCAGGCCAGCAGACTTAGTGGTAAAGACAGGTAGGTGTCCACGGATAAAGGAAGTCTTTACACTCAGGCCAGCAGACTTAGTGGTAAAGACAGGTAGGTGTCCAGGGATAAAGGAAGTCTTTACATTCAGGCCAGCAGACTTAGTGGTAAAGACAGGTAGGTGTCCATGGATAAAGGCAGTCTTTACATTCAGGCCAGCAGACTTAGTGGTAAAGACAGGTAGGTGTCCACGGATAAAGGAAGTCTTTACACTCAGGCCAGCAGACTTAGTGGTAAAGACAGGTAGGTGTCCAGGGATAAAGGCAGTCTTTACGTTCAGGCCAGCAGACTTAGTGGTAAAGACAGGTAGGTGTCCATGGATAAAGGCAGTCTTTACATTCAGGCCAGCAGACTTAGTGGTAAAGACAGGTAGGTGTCCACGGATAAAGGAAGTCTTTACGTTCAGGCCAGCAGACTTAGTGGTAAAGACAGGTAGGTGTCCATGGATAAAGGCAGTCTTTACATTCAGGCCAGCAGACTTAGTGGTAAAGACAGGTAGGTGTCCACGGATAAAGGCAGTCTTTACGTTCAGGCCAGCAGACTTAGTGGTAAAGACAGGTAGGTGTCCAAGGATAAAGGTAGTCTTTACGTTCAGGCCAGCAGACTTAGTGGTAAAGACAGGTAGGTGTCCACGGATAAAGGCAGTCTTTACATTCAGGCCAGCAGACTTAGTGGTAAAGACAGGTAGGTGTCCATGGATAAAGGCAGTCTTTACATTCAGGCCAGCAGACTTAGTGGTAAAGACAGGTAGGTGTCCACGGATAAAGGCAGTCTTTACATTCAGGCCAGCAGACTTAGTGGTAAAGACAGGTAGGTGTCCATGGATAAAGGCAGTCTTTACATTCAGGCCAGCAGACTTAGTGGTAAAGACAGGTAGGTGTCCACGGATAAAGGCAGTCTTTACATTCAGGCCAGCAGACTTAGTGGTAAAGACAGGTAGGTGTCCATGGATAAAGGAAGTCTTTACACTCAGGCCAGCAGACTTAATGGTAAAGACAGGTAGGTGTCCACAGATAAAGGAAGTCTTTACGTTCAGGCCAGCAGACTTAGTGGTAAAGACGGGTAGGTGTCCACGGATAAAGGAAGTCTTTACACTCAGGCCAGCAGACTTAATGGTAAAGACAGGTAGGTGTCCACGGATAAAGGCAGTCTTTACGTTCAGGCCAGCAGACTTAGTGGTAAAGACAGGTAGGTGTCCATGAATAAAGGAAGTCTTTACGTTCAGGCCAGCAGACTTAGTGGTAAAGACAGGTAGGTGTCCACGGATAAAGGCAGTCTTTACGTTCAGGCCAGCAGACTTAGTGGTAAAGACAGGTAGGTGTCCATGGATAAAGGAAGTCTTTACATTCAGGCCAGCAGACTTAGTGGTAAAGACGGGTAGGTGTCCATGGATAAAGGCAGTCTTTACACTCAGGCCAGCAGACTTAGTGGTAAAGACAGGTAGGTGTCCAGGGATAAAGGCAGTCTTTACATTCAGGCCAGCAGACTTAGTGGTAAAGACAGGTAGGTGTCCATGGATAAAGGCAGTCTTTACATTCAGGCCAGCAGACTTAGTGGTAAAGACAGGTAGGTGTCCACGGATAAAGGAAGTCTTTACACTCAGGCCAGCAGACTTAGTGGTAAAGACAGGTAGGTGTCCAAGGATAAAGGTAGTCTTTACATTCAGGCCAGCAGGCTTAGTGGTAAAGACAGGTAGGTGTCCACAGATAAAGGCAGTCTTTACATTCAGGCCAGCAGACTTAGTGGTAAAGACAGGTAGGTGTCCATGGTTTAAGGCAGTCTTTACATTCAGGCCAGCAGACTTAATGGTAAAGACAGGTAGGTGTCCACGGATAAGGGCAGTCTTTACATTCAGGCCAGCAGACTTAGTGGTAAAGACAGGTAGGTGTCAACAGTTAAAGGCAGTCTTTATGTTCAGGCCAGCAGACTTAGTGGTAAAGACAGGTAGGTGTCCACAGATAAAGGCAGTCTTTATGTTCAGGCCAGCAGACTTAGTGGTAAAGACAGGTAGGTGTCCACGGATAAAGGCAGTCTTTACGTTCAGGCCAGCAGACTTAGTGGTAAAGACAGGTAGGTGTCCAGGGATAAAGGCAGTCTTTACATTCAGGCCAGCAGACTTAGTGGAAAAGATGGATAGGTGTCACGGCTGTATCCGAACAGGTCCCCAGACCTTGCTGCTGAGTATTGGATGGTGACAATGTGTGATCTGGCTCAGTGGTACCCTGAAGGTGGGGATCTTTGTACATGATGTGCATATGGCATACAACAACATTCACTCACTCACTCTTCCCCAAACCCGAGGACCCTGGTTCTAAGACCCCAAATATGCTGTACAGAGTTGCCTCCCTTAGGCATGCCATGATTCTATGGTCAATTGTTTATTACCCAGTTTAACCCTAATTATGATCCTTGGTGGTAAACATTTAAGACATGTATCAGTTTGAGCTTTTCTTCACGATGAAGATGACATTGTGATAAAACTGAAATACTGTTAAAATGGTGTAATACTCGAGTCCATCCCTCGGGTCATGTGTTCACTCCTGTGCTGTGTGTTTCAGCTGGGCTGTTGACCAACTGGACCTGGAGCTGAAGAGTACTGGTCAGCGGTGGACGTTTTATCAAAAACCTGTTGAGGATCCTTCCTCTTGACACTGTGTAGTGTTGACACTAGGATAATACAGACAGTCCATTACTTCATCATGAAGCAAGTTTTACTCCATCAGTATATGGATGATGCTTAGGGATGTTTGTCTTCATTGTGATATTGGATTGTAATTTGCTTCATTCCCAACAGTGAAATATTTTATTTTACTGTAAAGAATCTGTTTTAGGGTTTGAAGTCTCCATGCACATGTATCTAGATGGTTGAGTTTTACATTCTACTTGATTTGGCAAACCAGGAATAAAATTCGGTTTCATGGCTCTTTTTTCTTTTTCTGATTGGCCCTTGTTTGTTTTATTTTAAGTGCTAAAGCTAACATTTTAGATTTCACGCTGTGCGATTGGTTCCAAATTTAATTTAGCTTGGTTGAGTCTACAGGTAACCTACCTCTAAACTGAGAAATCAGTAGATGTATCTCCTAATTTAGGTCTGTCATTAGACAGTGATATGAAGTGGTACAAGGAGTCCTGTTTGTTTTGTTGGGCGGTGGGGTAGCCTTCTGGTTTTAGCGTTCACTCATCATGCCTTGGCCTGGGTTCAATTCCCTACATGGGTACAATGTGTGAAGCCCATTTCTGGTGTCCCCCTCAGTGTTATTGCTGGAATATTGCTAAAAATGGTGTTAAATCCAACTCCCTCACTTGTATCATGTGCATACGTGTATGTTATCTGAGAAGAAAGAAGTATTTTGTTGACCTGGTTATAGAATACAGTGTTGTAGGGGAACCAAATGAATGTATTCATTATACAGTGACTGTTTACTGAAAATGTATGTTTGTATTTTTCAAGGTGTTTTAACTCACATAAAAATATATGTAAAAAGCATTCTAAAAAATAGTACTCAGCCTAACAAACATGATAAATGTGTGTGTTAATTTATTGTGTTTTATCCATGCCCTAATTTTAAGAAATGTTCATGGCTCTACACAAGTAACAAACTGGTCAGTGGATCAGAGTGCACTTAAATTTCATCCTTGGCTCCTTGGGGAGTAGACAACCCATTAAGGGTGAAATGATGCACTGATCTTCCGATGCATCACAATATTTGACCCATGATACGATACAACCATTCCTGTATCATTGCAGCCCTACAACCCATGGTCCCCTGTGGGCATCAGAAGGTTTTGCGTTCACATAAGTATTCCCATCCATCCAGGTACTCACTCACCGCGGCGGGGCGGTCAGGTAGCCCAGTGGTTAAAGTGTTCGCTCGTCACGCCGAAGACCCGGGTTCGATTCCCGACATGGGTACAATGTGTGAAGCCCATTTCTGGTGACCCCTGCTGTGATATTGCTGGAATATTGCTAAAAGCGGCGTAAAACCATACTCACTCACTCACCGGGGCAAGCAACACTTGTACTTACTTACTTACTTTGGGTTTTAATGTGCGCTTTCAGACATGTGTATTTCACGCCCGGCCCACCAGGCCATTTAGTGATGTGGCCGAGAAGGATATGTCCGAAAGGAAAGGCAACCTGGTGGGGCTTTATGGTCGCTTAATTAATTTGGGCGGAAATTTGAATTTTGAAAGCCACTCACGGAGACAGTACTCTACTTATACCACAAGTGACAGAAAATTGCGCATGCTCAGAGTCCGTTAATTAAAATGATATATGGAATTCCTGAACTGGGACTACCAAGTTTTAGCCCAAGAAGACAGTGAAGCTATTGACGGGTTTTTTAATTTTTAAATGATCATGTACGGAAATTATTTTCTTGTGTGTTCTCAAATTCTGAAATGGCAGCATTCAATACGAAAGTTCTCCGTCCTAGTGGCTGCACTCTGTATTTCGTTTGAGTCAAGATCCATTTTTTGCCAATAGGACGCAGGATTGCGTCGGTAAATCCCTGCCCACAAGCGCGGATATATGCTACAGACGAACCAAGGGTGAATCTGGGACTGATAACCGCGGTTCATGGTACGACTAAGGGACGCAACTCTGCCCGACCAATGGTATCACTAATCCAACGATGCATGAAGTTTGACCAGGTTCAATAGAAACGTTCAATTGCATTCTTTTGCAGCACTAAATATCCTTAAAGTTTTACAAGGTAACAAATAGTTTGGTCCAGTTACATAACTACAGGTTGATGATATAACTGGTGAAATAGCCATGGACGCCCTTTGACGTACCTGTGTTGAAATATGTCAAAGGTTTGCGAAAATACGGGGACAATATTGATTATGTTTGTGAAGTTGCATAACAGTTAGCTGCGGTTACTGTGTATCTGTGCTGTCCTTTAAACGATTTTGGTATTGACCTATCGCTACACAGATTGCGACAAGTCCTTGTGAATATCGTTTTTTTTGGGAGCAGCACCGAGATACGGTTACCGCAGCTGCATAACAGTCTGTGCAAAACACGCTGACATTACCCACTGCACAGTGTAACGGTTTATAGAGTGAGTGAGTGAGTATGGTTTTACGCCGCTTTTAGCAATATTCCAGCAACATCACGGTGGGGGACACCAGAAATGGGCTTCACACATTGTACCCATGTCGGGAATCGAACCCGGGTCTTCGGCGTGACGAGCGAACGCTTTAACCACTAGGCTACCCGACCGCCCCACGGTTTATAGATGTTTGTTGTAAAACGTAGAGAAATTGGGACATTGTTCCCATATATGTCAAGTCTATAGATGATATCAAATTATTCACATGCATAGCTTTTACAACGCACAAATATTTCAATACAAAATTCATTTCCGCATCAGTTGTACGCTCCTACTTTTTATGCACACAATGACGTAACAAATATTGTGACGTCATAGAACAAGTTCGTCATTCTTTTTTTACTGCGACATTGCCCACAAGACGTGGTGCAGGCGGTGACAAACGTCGAAGGTAAGATGGGCCCCAAACTGTTCGCGGCAGGTGTGGTAAGGATGCAGCTCTCCGCGGCGACTGCCAGTACCTTGGTATATTGTTTTTCTAGGGATAGAGAGCCCAGTGATCAAGGAGCTCGCTCGTCATGTCCGATTCTTTCCATGACCACCATTCTTGGTGTTCCCGTAGTGCCGTTGCTTGACAGTTGGTAAAGCTGTCTACTTATTACCGTATGCATTCTGTGCGGTAAGCCAAGTGTTATGGTGTAGGATTACAGACGAGTGAAAAGCACAAAAATAATGTTGAAACTTTTCAAAGGTCTATTGAATGCAAACTGACCAGCGTAATTAAAACTAATGGTACAGTAGCGTATAGAATAATTTGGCTCATTGTTGAAATTATATATTAATATTTAAATTGTGATGTATAGAGAGAAATTGATGGACCAAAAATGTAATAGTAGTAGTAGTAGTAGTAGTAGTAGTAGTAGTAGTAGTAGTAGCAATGAAAGTATGCGGAAAGAACGACAGAACAGCAGCCAAATGCAAATGCACTGAACCCCACTCAATAAAGAAGCAGATTAAAGTAGGTGATCAGTGAATTATCTTTTCTTCTGCTGTACTATACGAGCAAAAAGCAGTGAGATGTACCGGAACCCCATTAAGTATTGTTATAAATGTACACCCAGGAGACGACGTGTTTTCGTGCAGCTATAATTGCCATCTTTAATTATACAATTGTGTTTCTATTTTTCTTATATGTATATGGTTGAAAGTGTGTGTTTGTGTGTGTGTGTGTGTGTGTTATATAATTATATAATATATTTATTTAATGGACGGAAATTCATTGACGTGAAAAGAATTCAATTTCAGTTTGGTATTAGCAATGTGTACTTTCTGATTATTCTACTAATTCTCTACTAGTTCTACAAACTAGCAATAACCGAGAAAAAACCCAACTGATTTGTGTTTGACACTATATACTAGTTTGCAAATATATATAAACAATGTGTTATATCTGCTACGTCAGACAGAAGCTATACATAATAATAATAATAGTTAAATATGTGCCAGGTCACCCCTTGTACCCAGCCGATCCTCAGTTGTCGGTTGTTTCGACCGGAAGGCAGCCTCAGTGCCCGGCCAGGGTGTGGCACGGTCCATAAGGCTTGTAGTGTGCGTTAGATGGGGGTTGGATGGTCACGGTGGGTGTTGTGCCTGGATAACCATCGATAACAATCACTTCGGGGAAGGCCCGGCCACACTGACAGTTATAAATCAAACCATCGTTGTAGTCAAACATGTGTTGGTGTCATTCAGCACTATGTCATTGATTCATGTTGCGGCAAGAGTTATGTACAAATCTGAGCATTGCTTTAAAATTCTTCAAATAAAACGTATGCATTTAAAAATCATATATATATATGGGAACTATTTTGGGACAAACTGTATGTTCTCTTTCAGAAATTGATAATTCACAATATTACAAGAGAGATTATTATCAATGGCAACAGCCGAATCAACAGTTACTATATATTCATGATGATGTATAAATTAGGATTTATTATATATGGTTTGTTGTTGTTATTATTCTTATTATATGTACGAGGGGGTAATTGCTGCAGCACATTCGTCTCCCGTGAAATGATTTCTGACAGCATTTAGCCAGGATGTGGTTTTTTGTTTTGTTTGACGCCGTACGTATGATGGATCAACGATTATATTCACGAAAACTTTCTCCCTGTTTTCATTCTCTTGATGAAGGAGCTACTGGTTCTGCTTCATCACGCCGAAACATATGACATCGTGTATAAGTGTGCATAGCCGCTCGCTTTATTATACTGTGATGTGTTTCATGTGTTTGTCCTAATATCCTGAAGGATGGCCTCAGTTGCGTCATATGGTTGTGCCAGGTTAAGACGGTCTTTGGTTCGAATCTTAGATTCTCCCGGAATAAGATCACAGTTCAGGCTGCACCCCGCTTATATGTTCTCACAGGTTTCAAGTAAGATGTATAAAAATGTACGGATCTCGTTGTCCCGTTGTAACAAAATCACCGGATACTGTTTAAAGCAGCCATAAACAGTAAAATATAAACAAAATTTTGATTATAAATTAATTCACAAGTAGGTCTTTATTTAAGTTTATTCTGGTGGTTAAACACTCTCCTCTCCTGCCTGTGGTATCATTATAAAGTTCAAGTCTTTATTCGGTATTCTAGGCCTCCAGCCCATAGTACATGTTTGTTATTTAATTTTGATTCTTATTAATGCTAATATCAACAAAATTAAATTATTGTTCACTTTTGTGCGCAACACTAAAAAACATACTTGTGACGTAAAAGTCCATTGTATAACACAATGGTACTTGCAGAATTATCTCCCTTCCACCAGGCTCGCCTTACACATAAATAAATGGTAAAATGCATGTAAATGAAATTTGCTTGTCTTACATAATTATCAATGGCAACAGCGTGCATCTCAATCATAAAGTGTACTTCATCTTCCATATCACACCTGTCTACTTCCATCCAACACATTGTTTCTTTCCATAGCTTGTGATTTCTTCACCGGAATCTACAGAAGCCGGACTTTAACTTTCCAATATATATTATGATATGACAGATATCGTATCACTATCAATGTGTCCTGATCATTCAGATGGACAACAAGACCGCATCCGGAGACAAGAAGCATGCGACCCCCTCCCATTTTGATATATTTAAAGGACCTCCGGTAAGTATATCCAGGTTTCATGGAGCGCGTGTTTTTAGGGGAGATATATACGACACTCGTCCTTAACCAGTGTCAGCTTCCTGCCCATCGTCTAGATTTTGGAACTCGAATAGTAGTAACATATGTTGGTTCTCCTACCCCCCTTATTCCACTACTTTCATTCAAACCCCACACTCCCCAAAAGGTGCAACTGCCTCTTTATACCCATATCCGGTCTGTACATTTGGGAGTTCCTCTGTATTAAATAGGGGCGGTGGGGAGCCTAGTGGTTAAAACGTTCGCTCGTCACGCCGAATACCCGGATTCGAAATCCGACATGGGTACAATATGTGTAAGCCCATTTCTGTGACCCCGCCGTGATATTGCTGGAAAATTGCTAAAAGCCGCGAAAAACCATACTCACTCACTCACTATACTGTATAAGTGCTCCCTTAAATTCATCAATGAGAAATTGTTTCGCAGTCACCATGTAGAGTCAATACGTATGATAACACTTTGTTTCGCAGTAACAAGTGTCAATACGTTTACACGCGTTGTTGTTGTTGTTTCACAGTCATCAGTAAGTGTTAGTTGTTGCTCCGAACTTGTCTCAGCAAGACTCTCTTCTCACACTTAGCGCCACGTGGCCCGGGTCACCAATGCACTCCAAGCCTACATGGATAAGGTAGAGGGAATGAAGAAAGCCAACGCCAACCTGCTGACCACCATGGTGGACATGTGCCCCAAGACGTGGAAGATCCTCCCGGAACTGAAGATCTACCTCGAGGTCAGTCGGTCATTGTTAATCAAATATACCCATGAACCAATGCTCAGTGGGACACAGTCGTGGCTGTTTGTTGTTTAATGCCGCACTCAACAATATTCCAGCGACATGGCGGCGGTCTGTAAATAATCGAGTCTGGACCAGACAATACAGTGATTGACATCATGAGCATCGATCTACGCAACTGGGATACGATGACATGCATCAACCAAGTGAGCAAGCCTGACAACCCGATCCCATTAGTTACCTCTTACCAGCATAGTTGCCTTTTACCGCAAGCATGAGTTGCTGAAGACCAATTCTAACCAGGATCTTCACGGGTGCAGTAGTGATTGAGTGAATGGTGTTGTGCGATTTTGCATGCACGTTACAAACAGCAATACACTATCTGTCACGGCTGTCTGTAAGTAATAGAGCTGGGTCACACAATCCCGTGATTGACAGCGTGTGCAACGATCCAGGTCGTCGGGGAACGATGACGCACAATCAGCCAGGCCACACATTGCAGCCACCCGATCCCCATTAAGGGATCTACCCGTAATCACAACCAGGGGTTGCAGGGACCTATTCTTCCCGGAATCACAACCAGGGGTTGCAGGGACCTATTCTTCCCGTAATCACAACCAGGGGTTGCAGGGACCTATTCTTTCCGGAATCACAGCCAGGGGTTGCAGGGACCTATTCTTCCCGGAATCACAGCCAGGGGTTGCAGGGACCTATTCTTTCCGGAATCAAAGCCAGGGGTTTCAGGGACCTATTCTTCCCGGAATCACAACCAGGGGTTGCAGGGACCTATTCTACCCGTAATAACAGCCAGGGGTTGCAGCGACCTATTCTACCCGTAATCACAACCAGGGGTTGCAGGGACCTATTCTATCCCTAATCACAACCAGGGGTTGCAGGGACCTATTCTTCCCGGAAGCACAGCCAGGGGTTGCAGGGACCTATTCTTCCTGCAATCACAACCAGGGGTTGCAGGGACCTATTCTTCCCGTAATCACAACCAGGGGTTGCAGGGACCTATTCTTCCTGTAATCACAACCAGGGGTTGCAGGGACCTATTCTTCCCGGAATCACAACCAGGCCGGACACGACACCTTGTTTCTTTAAGTAGTGACCTAAATGAAGATACGGTGGTCAAAATGATGATGGAGTATGGTTGCTGGGGTGACCACTAATCCTTGGTTCAGACCGTGTGTTTGTGTATGCCATTGTTCACCGTGGACATACTTTAGTGCACACCTTCTTCACCATTACATGTATATGATAAGGGCATAAATGTCAACGTGCTTGCTCGCCCAGTGATATGTGTTACATCTGTACCTGTTTGTCTTAAATGAATATGACATTAAATTCCAAGGCAAATCATTTTCTACTCAGGACCAGTCAATGTTGTGGAGTCTGGCCGTGTCGTCACTCCGGCCCTTGTTCAAAGCTCTGAAAAACTACGGGACCACCACACAAGGGGCAAAGGTAAAACATCACATGATGTGAGGATAGACACGTGTTATAAATGTCATAGATGCCAAAATTAGATATATAATATAGATTCAAGGAGAACCCTGCCATAGTGACGTTTTATCTTCCGCTAGTTTGTAATATATTCACGTAGCACCTGGAAATGTGTCGCCGAGATATAATGATTTTACGAATCTTCGTTATATTCATTTTCTTAAATTCTGGGTTCCCATTTATGTTTTGAAAAACATTTATCTAGTCTATTTGTACTCTCCAGTAATAATGCAATCATGACGATAAACCTAAAATTAAGCGTCTTTTTTAGAAGGTAAAATTTCACCTTTAGTAAATTGATTCGTTTTACACATGACGCTTTGTTTGATTTCAGGAAGCTCTGCTAGAGTTTGAAGCTCGTCTTATTCAAGTTAAGACAATGAGTGCGGAATATGAGGTGATCCTTTTCTCTGTTAAAGTCTGTCAGTCTATACGAAGCTACACACTCTACCTTGGCGTCATAGAGCTTGATTACTGCTGACTGCCTCGCTAAACGAGCAACAATTATATATGTTGTGCTGGGATCAGGAACACAAGGAGGCCTTGGCACTGTGACCGTCGTAGTTCTGTGTTAAAGCATGACCATTACCGGAACTGCACGCATTTAAGCCCTGGGCAGTCCCGGTACGACAGGCGCCTGGCGTGATAGTTAGCAAGGCGTCCATCCTCTACCAGCTCCAGTGTCCAGACCTAAACATTTTATATTAATACAGATAGGGCAGAATTGGTCCCCAAATAGCTAAAAATGCAACTTGGTTGGTCTGTAAGAGGACCTAGGTTCGGGCATTACACGGCTTTGATTGCCTGCGTGCGTATATAAATTAATTCTGGTAATGGTTACCCTATGTACAGTAAACTACGATTGTAACGGATACTCATTTTATGAACTAACGGATATAACGAAGTTCAACATATTTTGTTGGTCCCGCCATTTGTGTATATATGCTATTTACAAGCTTATAACGAACTACGGTTATAACGAACTAAAATTCGTGGTCCCTTGAGTTCGTTATAACCGTAGTTTACTGTAAATTGTGACATTGTCTCAGCTTGTTCACCTGCAGGTTATTGTGTGGTATCGATCTATTCTATTCTATTCGTAATTACGTGTTTGTTCCTGATTCCAGCTTTTGAAGAAATCTTCCCGTGTCTCTCAAGTTCAGCAGTTTCAGGTAGGTGCCTCGTCATTACGTGTGCGGAGTTGTGTCCCTTATCAGTGCCAGTACCCGCTGGCAAAGACTTTTAATTTTTGCCATTTCCCGATTATGATCTTGTCCCGTCAGAACGTTACACTAAGGGCTGTTAAAGTGGAACCTGTCTATGATATGTCATGCATGAGTTTAAGGTATTGATAGAACAGATATCACAAACAGTATGCTGTCTGAGTCACACTATAATGAGAAATTACACATCAGTCCGATGTCTGTTGCTGTTGGAAACAGTACTAACTGATAAATGTTGCGTCAGATATGACACATCGAAAAAAAAAGACTCAGGAGGATTTAGGATGATTGTCCTCAACTATGCAACTTCAACTACGCAAGATTTATGCGTCATGAGAAACGTTTGATAGGCATTACTGGGAAATGTATATCCCAAAGACAGTTAATCATAATTATTTTTGTTTAGAAAGACTCTGTCAAGTATCCAACAACGATGCAATGATAAACTTTGCAAAATTTCTAATGTACGTGTTCTCAACACACACACACACAAAAAAAGAAGAAGTATCAATTAGGTAACTCTTAGATAAATAAAATGTAAATGTATTTTGTACAATGGGTCAAATGGCCTTATACAAATAAATCTGTCTGTCTGTCTGTCTGACTTAGAAGTTGACGCATGACAAAGTAGACACAATCTATGGATAACAACTTCTTTAATACTGTAAATGCGACGTTTTGGTATAGATCCTTATACCGTTGTAAGGAAGATATAAGGATCTATACCGAAACGTCGTATTAACTGTATTAAAGAAGTTGTTATCCATAAATTGTGTCTCCTTGGTCATGTGAAACCCACACACAGTGATACAGTTCCATGTTAACCCTGCGCTTTGTGAATGAACACATGTTCTGCCATGACACCTGGTGTCTGTCTTGTAGATCGAGTACATGCTCCGCGAGTCAGGCCGAGCCCTCGTGAACACCCGCAAGGTGGTGGAAGAGAAAATGCTGATATTCAGACGCTCGTAAGTATATTAGTCTACAGTCTGCTAAACACGCCGGATACACTTTTACATTTCTTAATGATTTGTTTGTTGGTTTGTTAACTCCGCACTTAGCAATATGCCCGCTATACGGCGGCGGCCTGTATACAATCTTTTCTGACCGGACAAACCAGTGGTTGATGTTATGAGTAACGTCCAATGCCGTCGGGGAAGGATGACCGCAGTCAACCACCCGATCCACTTGGTGGCCTCTTACCATAAGCACGGGTTGCTATAGACCTATATGACATACTTTTTTGAAGTTGAGAAAAGTGATATTTTCATTCCAGTGAACATAACAATTGAAATTTCACTGCTGTGAACATAACCCTTTGACGGAACTATTGTCATACAAGCGTTCCCTCCCCGCAAATTTTCTCCTTTTATCGTGTCTAGCACAGAAACAAAATGTTTGTGTACCGTCCAGACACTTACGATAAAGGGAGACAAATTACCACACCTGTAATCTTCTAGCGACTTATTTTCGGATTAAGCTACAGAAATCGATTCTGTCTTGCATGTCAATGGTTGATGGTTTTCCCCATGTGTAACTGATTTTTTCCAGCCAAACCGAGCTCGGGAAGGAACTGCTGGGGACATTTGAGGATGTCATGAAAGTCACCTATTCAGAGGGTTGTCAGGTAAAGTCTACGGCAGTTGATTTCACAAGAGAACTAGATACCCCTTGGGTGTCCTGTTACGCATAAAGACTTTAAGTTATGTTAATGATGAAGTGGGTTGTATAAAGTTCAGTTGCCTGGCCCATCTTCTGATAAGTGTATGTACGTGTGTGTACGTGTGTGTGCAGGTGCCTTCATGTTAAAATATACATTTGCACATATTGCTGTTAAGAAGAGCTTTTATGATAAGAGACTTTTATGTATATTCATATTTGCAGGTTTCAGATTTAATTCAAAATACTTTGGGGGCCGCACCTGTCAAGAAAACCAACAAGAATGGTCAACAACTGGATGATCTGAACTTTGTCCAGAAGCAGGTCCAGATGGTTGTGGACAAGGTCGGCTCCACACCTGTAGACGTGAGTTCCAAGAGAAGACTGAACACCCCAGAAAAGGCAAAAGCTAAACCCCAGGCTTCAAGTCAACTGGAGCCTCAGGGTAAAGCCCACACTAAAGTTGTCCTAGCGCCGACCCAACCCCAGTCACAAGCATATCCTCAGACAGAGCCTATCACCAGGTATGAAACAAGAGAACTAGATCGCCCTGCTAGCGGAAGCCAGTACCAATTCAGGAATGAAGCGCGCAGGCAGTCTCTTGAAAATTACACCGAATTCAACCGCACTGCTTGTCCTTTCCATGTCGTAACCCAGGAGCAGGTGAAGATGACAAGAGTCTCCCGTCCCAAAGCAAGCACACCTGGTGCTAACTTGAGCCCCCGCAACAGCTCTGAGTATAATGCTAGACAGGAATATCGCTACGATAATCAGGCAGGTGTGAATGCCGTCACCTACACAACCACCAGGGCTAAAACTAGGCATGCCACTCCCAGCAGTGGTAATGACGTCTCAGGGCGACACAGCAAATCCTCAAATGCTGACGCTGATGTCTATGCCTGCTACCTGGACAACTGTGGAATAATGTCGCCCCGACCACCCACTCCAGGCAGACAGCGGAACAACAATGGCAACACTGACCAGGTGGCCTGGACAGAAGAGCAACGCCGCGGGACCAAGAGGTCATCGGAGCAGGACAGACAGACCCGGTTCACACAGACAACGGCTCAGACACAGGGACAGTCTGGTCAGAGGAGGTCTGGGCTGCCATTCAAAACGTCCATTCCTGACAGCTCGTCAAAGGATAGTGGTGAGTGCCACACCATAAAACGTCAGTGTGTATGTCGCAGTCTGATTGGCCGAAAGCCTGGAATGTGGGTATAGATTGTACATTTTTTATATCTCTCCTTTATCAATCTAAAGTTTGAAAACTTTTCATTTGGATCTGTGAGATGGAGACTTCATTCATCACATACTAAGTTTGATCAATATTTATCTGAATATATTTGAAATTTAGTTATTTTCCTCTCCATTCTGCTGACCATGCGATTTCATTTGACATTGATGTCGGCCATTGCATCATGACGTCACATGATGTCAGGGAGTCTGGTTATGTCTATTTGATAGCTGTTATAGAGTTCATGTAGTGCTACCGAAAACGCACCTCCACAATGGCATCATATACATTCAAATATCAATGGGCATTTGTTATATCTATGTTCATTAGATGGGTTTGTTCTACAACGGCATCTGTTGATTATTTATACCTTTGTCTGAGCTCTCGGTCATGACCAAACAGAAGGGTTTATCTGGTTTAGTCTGACATAGGAATGCAAAGGAAAATCAGCCAAAGCTCTCTTACGTCAGTCACGCAGGGGTGCTTTATTTCAGCAAACCTCTCCCAAGTCAATCATACACTGCTACTTAATGTTTCAGCAACTATCCCAAGTCAATGATACTTAATGTTTCAGCAACTATCCCAAGTCAATTATACTTAATGTTTCAGCAAGCCTTTCCCAAGTCAATGATACTAAATGTTTCAGCAACTATCCCAAGTCAGTGGTACTTAATGTTTCAGCAACTATCCCAAGTCAATGACACTTAATGTTTCAACAAGCCTATCCCAAGTCAATGATACTTAATGTTTCAGCAACTATCCCAAGTCAATGACATTTAATGTTTCAGCAAGCCTTTTCCAAGTCAATGATACTTCATGTTTCAGCAACTATCCCAAGTCAATTATACTGAATGTTTCAGCAACTATCCCAAGTCAATGATACTTAATGTTTCAGCAACTATCCCAAGTCAATGATACTTAATGTTTCAGCAACTATCCCAAGTCAATGACACTTAATGTTTCAGCGAGACTATCCCAATTCAATGATACTTAATGTTTCAGCAAGCCTATCCTAATTCAATGATACTTAATGTTTCAGCGAGACTATCCCAATTCAATGATACTCAATGTTTCAGCAAGCCTATCCCAAGTCAATGATACTTAATGTTTCAGCAAGCCTATCCCAAGTCAATGATACTTAATGTTTCGGCAAGCCTGTCCCAAGTAAATGATACTTAATGTTTCAGCAACTATCCCAAGTCAACGATACTTAATGTTTCAGAAACTATCCCAAGTCAATGATACTTAATGTTTCAGCAACTATCCCAAGTCAATGATACTTAATGTTTCAGCAAGCCTATCCCAATCAATGATACTTAATGTTTCAGCAAGCCTATCCCAAGTCAATGATACTTAATGTTTCAGCAACTATCCCAAGTCAATGATACTTCATGTTTCAGCAAGCCTATCCCAAGTCAATCATTCCTCTTCTCTTTCACTGATGCTTTATGTGTTTCAGTTTTCTTCGACTGCCGTTGATGAAAATCTGATCCTGAGAATATCAAGATGTCACCTTCAAGTTTTGTTCCTAGTTTTCAATGTTCAGGTTTTTTATTACAGGTTATCAGTTGTAACGATATTAATTGTACGGTGGAAACCGATCGGTACTTTACTAATTCAAGATAAGCACATCATGTATATAATCCCTCTGAATTCACTTCTCCTTTCCCAGTAGTAATCATCTAAGAAACTGTTTCAGAAGTGTCCGGGCTAACGAGAGGTCACTGTTTGTCCATAGTCATGCTATTGTACATCGTTGCAATTAATCAAAAACTTATTTGTATTATCTTTGCTCTGCAGTATTAAATACATGTTTTGTATATATTCGTTTTTGTATTCTTGAAAATGAAACCCAAGTGTGTTACGTATTCACTTGCTTACCATAGCAACCGGATACCACAACTACAGCAAAAGCATCTGAACTAGACAATGAACTCTCAACAATGTAACAAAAGGTTCATGCTTGTTACCAAAACATCCACTGAAAACACACACACACACACACACACACACACACACACACACACACACACACACACACACACCATCCAACAAATTGCGCGAGATTTGAGTGAATGGATGTTCATGCAACATCCCAGCTACACCAAAACGACCTCCAGTTGACAGGACCAGGCAATCCAGTTGTTGACAGCATGAACACTGATCTTCTGCTTCATGGTACCGATGCTACATACATTACAACCACCAATTCCACTTTTTTTAAAGTCAGCATTCATGCCATACATTGTGTTGTGGGGACGTCTTCTGGCCTAGTGTTCCATATAGTGAGAAAAGTGTCTGTTTCCCTATCAGTGTTCCTGTGACAAAGCATTGAACATATGGATTAACCGGGTTCCTCTGTCATGGTCAATTGTACATGGATGAGGTATATGTTTATGTTTCCTTGGTATCATAAAAATCATATGTGCCCATGGGTCACACGAGACTCGGAAAAAAGAATCCTTAACAATGATTGGCTTATAATGACCCGCGCCTCGTTTTCAGAATACACTACTTTGTGCATTAAACGTTTACTACGCACTGACGCTTTTACAACTGCAGTACCGAACCTACGCTGTCACGAGATTGGAATGGTTCGATAAACTGAACCAAACGTTTTACTTGTATGGAACACCATTATGTTTGATCATTGTGAAATGTTTATGCATATATACAAAATACAAACTCTTGAATAACTTTGAAACACAAATTTAATGTGCAAATTGCAGACGACACAAGGTAAACAATATGGCTGCTCAATCACATTGTCCGACTTCTGTCAGAGTGAATGACCTTGTCCAAGTAGTTGGGAGCTTAGTTGGAAGAGTTAAAGTGTCATTCCACCTCTCTGGACATTGACTGAATACAAGTACACACAAGTGATGGCGCGACACAGGTACATCGCCATCGACTTTCCCCTGACTCGATTCATATCAACTTCCACAACCAGTTATTGCTATTTGATACCCAATTTGAAAAAACCCATGATAGAACAGGGAATACCCTGAGTATTACGAACGTTAAACTAAAACTCGCCCAGGTGAAAATCTACGCTGGGAATCAGTACCCGAAAATAAATCCCCTTTCTTTACGTAAAGGAGTCATGGACGGTTAACTAACGACCCAAGAAAAACATACGATGTACTCGTTGAGCAAGCTCAGTAGGACACAAACAGTTTTGTAATACACTGAGTATATATTAACATGACCGTTCTAGCTTGTCTAAATATGTGCCTTTATATTTATCAAACTCCAAGAAAACATTAACGGGTTTGAACAACGGTCGTCAGTTAAAAAGGGGAGGTAACTCTTGTGAAAGCACCGATCAAGTTGACAGTTGAGGCGGCGAAATCGGCTAGAGCCGAATAAGATTTGTTTTGCATTCTAGTTACTCTGTATCATAGCGGAAGCTATATGACAGCAACATGTAAGTAATAGTCTTATCTTAAATTTACATAGCGCCTAATATCCGTGGGGATGTGATAATATATATGAAGAAATCCCCAGATATGTGTAGGACAACCACCTCCACCTTTACCTTAACAACCACCACCACCTCAACCCTAAAAAACCGCTACCATCTGCACCTCAAGAACAACCTCCACCTCCACCTCAACAACTACTTCAACAACCACCGCCAACTCCACCTCAACAATAATCTCAACCTCGACCTTAACAACCACCGCCACCTCAACCTCAACAACCACTACCATCTGCTCCTCAACAAGAACCACCACCTCAACCTCAACAACCACCTCCATCTCCACCTCAACCACCACCACTTCAACCTCAACAACTACCTTAACAACCACTGCCACCTCAACAACCACCTCCACCTCCACCTCCACATCCAACTCAACCTCAACCTCAACAAACTACACCACCTCCACATTCACCTTAAAAAACAACCTCTACCTCAATCCTCAACAACCAGCCCACCTCAATAACCACCACCACCTCAACCTCAACCTCAACAACTACCACTAACTGAACCTCAACCTCAACAACCACCAGCTCAACTTCAATCTCAACCACCGCCACCTCCACCTCAACAACCACCTCCACCTCAACAACCACCTCCACCTCAACGTCAATAACCTCCGCCACCTCAACATAACCACCACTTCAACCTCAACAGCCACCGCCACCTCAACCTCAACAACCACCGCGCCCTCCATCTCAACCTCAACAGCCACCGCCACCTCAACCTCAACCTCCACAATCACCGCCACCTCGACTAGTTAAGTGAATTTGCTCAATTTAATGAATAAATGTAATAAATTAACCCGATGTTTGTGCATCTATTAATGTGGGAATACTTAAATAGGTAAATAGCATCTGAATGTCGATGTCCTTTTCGAAGTCAGCCCACAGTGGACACTGAAGCGGATACTGTGGGGACCTCAGTTGTCTTTGTGGAGGAAGATTCGTCAGGTTGAATAGGTTTAGATTCCGTCTCCTCACAGCCAAACATCTTCTTGGCTGTGGCTAAAAACTTCTGACTCATCAACATGTAGATGACGAAGTTGAAGGAGGAGTTGATGATCTCTGTGAAGACGTTGGCGGCGGTGAGGACGACGGCGAGGTTGTGGTTCTTCCTTCCTACGTGGATATCGGTGAGCACGTGACGAACGATCATGAGAATATTTCCTGGAGTCAGACACAAGACGTACAGACAAGAAACGGCAACGAGCATCTTGGTCAACCTCTGCTCCTGCGCCGAGAATTTCTTCTTTCCGGTTCCGGTTTCAGATCGCCATGAATTGTGCCTTCGAATCGCACAAATGACGGCGATTGTTGATAACGCAACCACGTAACAGGGGATCTGCCGCAATGCGATGCTCAGAGCGATGTCACCGTAGCATTCGAAGGCGCGATGGTTCTCTTCAAACATGATGGTTGTCTGGAGATGGATGCGCGTGCGGTTGATGCTTGTGTCATACTCCCAGCGAGTCGTGTACACGCAGAACATGGGTGTGATCAACAGAGCAATGATGACATAGACGCTGATGACGCAGGATCTCATCCGCGTCGCTGTCAACCACCTTTTCGCCTGAAACGGCCTCAGAACTGCCACGCATCTCTCCATTCCGATCACCATGGTGAGAAGGCTGGTGACGCGACCGAAGTACACAGAGATGAAGTACCCTTGCGGATGAAGTAGTGCGGCCCAATTGTTGCCAGTGACCTCGTCCATCCTTGTCACGAGACATGACACCTTCTCCATGTAAGTAGTGATCAGGAACATAGTATCTGACACAGCGAGAGCGAAGAGGCAGATGTTTGTCTTCTCCTTGATACCCTGGCGTATGAATACCATCAAGGTGATGATGTTCCCGACCAGACCGAATAGCACAACTGGTGGCACGAAGCCACAGTCGATGACAGTCAGGCCTAAGTCACGCTGTGCTGCCGTAATGACATTGTCGGGGTTGTTCCACGGGATGTAGGATACGGCGTGGTGGTCGTCCACGTGTTCCTCGTGATGGTCGTCCGCGACCTCCACGTGGTCATCATGGTGCCCACCACCACTGTCTCCATGGCGATCCTTCGCATGTGTCACATTTTCTAGTATCCCGCCAATCACGTGACTTCCGGTGACCAGTATGGAGGCAGTCACGTTGACGATAGACGCGGGTGTACTCGACATCTTTTTTTTAGCACAGAAATCTGAAAAAGAAGCACAGTCATGACATATGTGGTATTTAAACAGTTATCTTGGCGTCACAATCATATATTTTTTTAGTTTGAAGTTTACACGAAATACGGCTTTTCAGTGAGACGAGAAGTCGGTCACATGACCGCGAAATTGACGTTCATAAGTGTAAGATCGACACAATGTGACGTTCATTCGTTTTTCACCAGACCTATCATTCTTGAAATGATATAAACACTGACGGACTACTTCCACATTCCCGGGGAAACCCCAGGGAATCCCCTAGCACGAAAACGTACAGAAGCGTTCTTTCTGATTATTTAGACCCTTTTTAGTATACATTGAGAAACGTCAGAGAGTTTGACGATCGTTCACGAATATCCTCGCTACGATCCGTGTCTAGGCTGGCAGTCTACAGCAATCTACGAGTTTACCTTCGTGTCTATTTGACACCTTTCAATGATCGGCCAATAGATCAGTGATGACTAAAACATGTAACCGCCATGGGTTCATTAGCGACTCCCGAAATCTCTCCCGTCACGTTAATCGTGTCAGCCATTTTGACGTCTTTTACTTGATGTAAATGTATTGCGACGCGCTATCATTGTGACTGACTTACTGAGGTAGTCCTTAACAGACCTTTCTCATCTGATGGTGATATTATTTGAATACATGTGTTGCGTAAGATGTTTCTGAAGAGCATGTTGTGCATCCATACGCTCATGTCACCTCTCTTTTTGAGGAACTATTTTATTCCGCGATAAAGCTGGTTGTTGTATGGCTGTCAGTGAAAACATGAAGTAACACGTAATAAATTGTGTATATATCTTGGCCTTCATCCTTTGAGGTAAGATATTGTGATGAAAATTATAAGCAATGACTTTCAATATGTGTGAGTTCACATGCTCCGACGTTCATACAGTTTGGCCCTCACTCTATGAAGGTTCATATTCCAATGAACAATGTGAAAGTCAATGCTTAAATGACATTACTTTTTACGCACATGACACTGCTTATCTAAGAAATAAAGTTTGCTCTATATAAAGTATAGTTTTGCCCTGAACAAGTTACAGTTAAAGCGGGGCGGTCGGGTAGCCTAGTGGTTAAAGCGAGGGCCCGGGTTCGATTCCCCACATGAGTACAAAGTGTGAAACCCATTTCACAGCCGTGATGTTAAGGGGATATTGCTAAAAGCAACGTAAATCCATACTCGCTCACTATAGTTACTGCACGAGGACTAAAGGGTAGAGCAAACATTACTTTTCTAAGACACCGACTAAACTCACTTTGTGGTGTATTTGATTGAACAGAAATCTGTATTAAGTGAAAATCCTCGAACAGTGCTAACCGACGAGGTGTTCCTCCTAATTGCCTATACCTTGTTAAAATACTAGGTACATTTTGAACATAATATAACACGACTACAAGTGGTAGTTTATGGTTTAACAATGTTACTATGGTTTAACGATGTCATTGTCCTTTCAGTCAATACCACTCAGCAATAAGTAGGATACATTTGCTTAAGTTAAATCAAATGACTGGAAACATTCCGCAAGTGCATTGTGGGGTGCCATTTTGCTTGACAGTGATGAAAGAGCAATGTTGACATGGAAATGTTAGTTCACGGGAGGTAATTTGAACAGCGGAGTCAGACCCTTTGGACGTAACTTTATCGCAATATAAAGTACAGTCGGCACTTTTGATCTTTTAGCAAAACAACTCAGAATATATAATATATCAACAAATAAAATTTACATACCTACCATTTGAATAACAGTGGCGAGACAGTTTTCTTTCGTGTGGATTTTTTTTAGAAAACCTTCATCACGATATGGCTGAAATATTGCCGATGTGACGTTAAACTTTAACTCACTCACTCACTTTTAGAAAACCTTGTTAGAACGTTGGAATGACGTAAACACAGAACCTTATTTATAAAGATTATAACGTTCGCATAACGTCACATATACACGTTGTAAAATAACTTAAGTTTTTTCAGGTGAATAACATTCAAACAACATATTAACAGTAGTTAAATGTATATGTCTGTAAAAATGTTGTTCCCAAACGTTGCAGAAAAGCCTATAAAACGTAAACCCCCTACATCTTGTTTATAACATCCGAAACAAATGCTTAGCGTTGAGAAAACGTTAGTACATGTTTATAAAAGGTTACCTCTCTTCGTGTATTATCTGTTTAGAGAAATGTAAATGCACTTCCCCAACAATGAGCTCTGATTGTCCTGTAGGAGAATATATATGTACCTGGGGCGCCTGTTCTTCTTGTCGAGGGTAGGATGTGGATCACCGTTTTGAACAGTATGTCAGTTGCATCACTGCGATCAGATTCATGTGGGGGAAAAGTGATGCAGGTCTTGGTAGTGTACAACTTTGGTGAAACCCACGAGCACAGGTATGGTACTGACTAACCTAGAAACCTTTTCAAAGCAAATCTAGGATTCGAACCCCTTTTCGGGTGGCGCTATAATTATTCCTTGCATGTGTATTAACTGGGAGAGAACCATATTGTTTGTTTCTGTGTAAAGCCATCTTAGGAATCAGTTCAAGAGTTCAATGTGAAATAATAAAAAGCTAATTTCATTTCCCCTGTTCCCTTTTGTCTGCAAACTTGATGTGCGAACCGAACATGCAGATGTTTTAGGTCTTAGAATGATGCCACCAATTCGTCTTTTGGGTTTTTAAAGTTCTGACCAAATGAAAATAGAGACAAATGATTGCTATAAACTTACCAATCGCTGTGGCAAACGGCGGGTGACGACATCGACCTTCGGTACCTCAGCTGCCAATGGCACCAGGCGCCTCTCTAAAGCTATTATAGTCTCCAGCGGCATTGTGCACGACATTAACCATGTCCGGCGTTTATCGGCGACTTCCGTCATTTAGAGAAGTTAGATGACAAAGATTTACTCATGAGTAAAAATCAATAATGTTACCTTGCCACTTGATCATCAAAGTAAGCGCACATTTGGGCTCTCTTTGCTTGCATTAATTGTTTAAGTTCTCAAACAACTTGGTCGTCATATATATATATATATATATACACACACACATATGTATGACGTGGATTTTTCATTCAGTGTTACCAGCAAGACATTCAAATTGCGTCCACAGTGTACGAGTTACCCCCATCCACCCACACCCTCCACCCACACCCACCCACCCACACACACACACACTCCACACACCCCCCCCCCCCCCCCCACACACACACCCTCCCCCAACACACACCTACACCCCCCACACACACACGCACGCACGCACGCACACACACGCACACACACGCACACAGTGACAAATATCAAATAGTCGGTCTGGGGTTTCATGTCAGCACCATACCCGTGCTGGAGGGTTTCAACATACTGCTCACATCTAAAACCTGCACCACTTCGAGCTTTCCACCCACATGTAACCAAACTTAATGTTATTATTACTGCATAAGAATAGGACTTTAAACGGTTTGGCCTCATTTGAAGCTCATGAGACAGCAAGTGTTTTATTTCAGTGCCATTGTATAGTTACATACTAAAAACCGATATCAATAGGAGACGCAATATTGTTCGCAAATAACAACATGGAAGACATGTTAAATGTTATCAGAAGTGTTACAGTTAACAGACAGATTGTTTGCGTAAATCTCACCTCGTTGCAATACACAGACAACTATTGGGTTAAGAAATTTAACGAGCTACTCTTTACATAGTTATGAGAGCCCCAAAACGTCATGAAAGTTAATACAGATATATAAATATTAACATAAAGCTGCCCCTATATAAATATTGAAAGTGTTTTGTTGCTTTTATTTACCTAGGTGTATTAAGTCTGGATAAGGAGTATACAGAAGCCCAGCAGCTGACATACCCATGAAATGTTACATGTCTTGGTTTGTGCTAATCGTAATTCGTGGGCAACGTCTGTCAAGAGTGTGTGGTTTATTTGTTTAGCTTGGATCTTCCTGGTGATGGTCTTCCTGGAAACAAAGAGTTAAGATATGTTAACCCCTGAGTGGTTAAGGACTCTACAATCTAGTAGTAGATGTGATTTATTCCCGACATATAGGTTGGAATCCGAGTTGTACCTTCCTTTACATCGTCGCGAGTTGATAACATTCCGTACAGAAATGTCCGAGTTAGCCGTGGAACAAGGACGTTAAGCTGTTGTCATTAAAAGTCAGCGCATTTTATTGATATGAAAACAAGAGGCCAGGAAAAGTGGGAGTTACAGTTTGGAAAATTGAATTGGAATATTATTTATTAAGCCTTCTAAAGCAACACAAGAGGTGAAAATGTGTTGGTTTCAGTATCGAATCATACATAGAATACTTGCAACTAATTCTTTGTTGTACAAAATGAATATTTCTGATACCACGCTTTGTTCTTTTTGCAAATGTTATGATGATACTATTGTACACCTTTTTGGGGGAATGTGAACTTGTACAAGTATTTTGGAAAACCTTCTTAGATTGGATAAATAAATGTAACCATATACATCATATGAAATTAAATGCTGAACTTGTATTATTTGGTGTTAAAGAAAATATTGTTACTAACAAAGTTTTTGATCTTCTCATTTTGATAGCTAAATCTTTGTAATGTAGCAACTTTTATAAATCATGGATCTTTTATCACATATTGTTTGAAGAAGCAGAACAGCAATAACATATGTATCTCTTTCTCATATTTGTTTCTTGCCAGGATCAGTGTTTGAATAATATTTTGAATGCTTGACTGTGTGTATGTTTTGTTATATTTCTTAAAAATAACCTTGGCACCATTTCGAATACTTGTATTTAATTTTCCCCAAATGTATACATACATCGTCTTCAGAATGTGAGGGTGACCATTGCCCTGGATGGCCATCCTCCTCATGTAACAGGGAAAAGGTGAAATAAAAGTCAGCGCGTATGTGTTCTATGGGATTTACATTGCATAGACTTTTGCTTTTGTTTTGATCTGTCCAGTTTATATATATCTTCGATATAGTATCACCCTGCACAGTCGAACAATGTTCTCTGCAGTCCTCTGTAAATGCCATGTCTTCATAAAATGAATCGATTAATAAAAATGCACAAAAATGTATTTGTTCATAAAGCCAAAAATATGAGGCAACAACTCCTGTCAGAACAGGGTACTTGAAAGTATAATATAAAATACACTACGCTTTCCGCAGTGAGAGTGATCAGTGTATAATAATTATTCATATCCGATACATTTACCAGCCATGTCATGCTCTGATATTCTTCTTGTATATGGATCAGTGTCCCAAAGTGCAGCACTAAAGAACTGTATTAAGCGTGGGTTCGTTAGTGTGAAGCAACCACATTAGTCCTATATTGAGGTAATTAGTGGCGGGGAGATCCACTTTGCTGTTCACTGACCACTACCACATACTATTGAAGCTTCCGCTTAACCCTGGCCATCGACGCGCTGCAAATTTAGCTTACGAATGGCTTAAGTGGGGGTATTATGTAAACGTTGTAAATATAATGTGAGGCTTTCAGGATGCAAAACGTGTAGGGGACACTCCTCTACATCTTCGTCTGCATCGGGAATATGTTTTGTAAAGTTAATCAATGGCTGTATAGTTACTTTATGACTATTTTTTAATGAAACTTGAGAGTGGCGGTGCTGTCGATAGAGAAGGACGCGCTTATGACTTATATTTGATAGTGGTCCTGCTGTGAGACTGATGTGGAAGGAACGCCCCAAGTGATGCAGGTTTAAGGCGTTGACCACCTTGGTGAAGCAAGACCACCTGTGTTTCTCATCCACCCCTGGTCCTACATCAACATCACGTGTTCAAATCCACCCATCCAACCTCTGGTCCTACATCAACATCACGTGTTTAAATCCACCTATCCAACCGCTGGTCCTACATCAACATCACGTGTTCAAATCCACCCATCCAACCGCTGGTCCTACATCACCATCACGTGTTTAAATCCACCCATCCAACCTCTGGTCCTACATCAACATCACGTGTTCAAATCCACCCATCCACCCGCTGGTCCTACATCACCACTACGTGTTTAAATCCACCCATCCAACCGCTTGTCCTACATCAACATCACGTGTTCAAATCCACCCGTCCAACCTCTTGTCCTACATCACCATCACGTGATCAAATCCACCAATCCAACCGCTGGTCCTACATCATCATCACGTGTTCAAATCCACCCGTCCAACCTCTGGTCCTACATCACCATCACGTGATCAAATCCACCCATCCAACCTCTGGTCCCACATCACCACCACTTGTTTAAATCCACCAATCCAACCGCTGGTCCTACATCACCATCACGTGTTTAAATCCACCCATTCGACCTATATATCCGACGGATATCCGAATGAAGGGAAATAGCTCTGTCTCCCAACTAAACAACTCCCAGCACCGAAACAATAACAGCTGCCCCTCGAACATGGTGTCCATTAGCGCTGTTATTAATCATGTTTAAACAACAGACAACTATAAGTGCTATTCTGAACCGATGATTTTATTCTCCCGATCACCCGTCCCTCTACGTCTGAGCACGGAGATGAGAAACACACACAATAAATATGGAGGCTCTAATCCGGGCAAACAAGATTCGAACACGTTCATTGGATTGATTCTCGATTATGTAAGATTATCAGAAAAGCAACGCAGGCATCTCATCTTAAACTGATATATCATATGCGAGGATTACGCACCTTTGCTGTTTTCTTTCGTCAGAAGTGATTTATCTGAAAGCCGCGTTTTCCCGCCACTGTTAAGACCCCAACAAGCCTCACCCAGGCACTTTACCTGTACCAAGCTTAACGTGTAAGTCAACACATGTCACTGTATACATGGCTGGGCCATAGGGGAAATCTGTTCACAATTCGAAATGCATCTGATCTAAATTCACGGCCTTTTTCTCATTTGTTTGGACAGGACACGGAATAGCTTAGCAACACAAACACACGCTAGCAGAGAAAACTGTATAGCAGAACCTCACCAAGACCTGTAACCACTAAGCTCCCCACCGCCGTTATAGCAGTGATCGGGACGACAGCTAATATTACCTCCACATCCAGTTTCTCCAACGGCTACTCACACCTACACGAAATTATGTTTGTGGGGAAATATAAGCGACAAAGCACTTTCAATAGTCATAAGAAATCTTGCCGAGTAGATTTACGATTCCACTGTGTCATAAGCACATGGTTATGAGCCACTATCAAATAGTGATGACACCAGGTGGTTGCGAAAAGGTGGCAATTGCCACAAACACACATGCATATTAAGCAAATAAATTGTTCACCTGAAAAATTACGGAAATACATTGTACAAGTCAACATGCGTAATGATAAATAATGCTTGTGTCATTGTGTTTACTCGTCCCCAGTTTTATCTGCTAGATCCAGCTAAAAATGGGGTCTTTACAATGTTCGAGCAGCTATTGGTGATAATGTTTTATGCCGCTCCCGGTTGCTTGGCCCAGTCTGAATAGTGACAGGCCGCCAGGTTGAAGTCGAAACACTGCAGACTGCTGTGGCACAGCAAATCGGTCACAATCGTTTTCTAACTTCGGAAGAGTCTTTTAAACTTCGCAATGCACTGATATAATGATTTAACCTTTGCAATACTTGAACGTCCCCCACTATGACATTCCTTCCTCCTGGCCTTGGAAGCCCGAAGTGGCGCAATACAAACGGTGAACTATTTAGTGAGTCACAGCTGCAGCTGCGGTTCATGCCTCTACATTACAATTCCAGACACGTTGACAAAATGGAGAGCGTTACATGTAATTACATTGGCTAAATAATACTAGAGCGTGTATTGACAGAGCAGAGAAGGAGAGACTAAGTGCTAT